CCGTCCCGTGATCGTCGTCCCGTGATCGATGTCTCGTGACCGTTGTCCCGTGATCGTCGTCTCGTGATCGCTGTCGCCGCCAAGGCCTCGGACGTACGCTGGAAGCGGTATCGCTCTCCCAGATCGTGACTTGATTAACGACAGAGCAGCAGAAGGCTCCCCACTCTTTGTACCTCCCCCGGAAGGCAGCTGAGGCATTTCCAACTTCGGATACCACTCGCGCTATCTCTCGCCCGCCATGTTTCCTGTCTCTGCTCTGTTCTCTCGACGTACACGCGACTCCCCCCATCCTCCTCCCTCACGAACGACTCCATCATCTTGGCGAACGAAGACAAGACGGAACGAACGGGATACACATGCGTTAGCGAGCTGAGCTGGAGGAGCGGGCAGACCGAAGTACCTGCAGCTGCCGCTTCTCGCCCCGTTCTGGGCCCAAGAGGCGGGTACGCGAGCCGCGTAGGAGCGTGCTGGTTGTCTCTCTGCCGACCAGACGAGGAGGATCGCATCTGATCTGGGCGGCCACGCGACAAGCTTACCCGCCCGCCGTCTGGAATCCTGCGAAACATCTCCTCTACCCTTTTCGCTAGTGAGAGGAGTCGGATACATCGACAATCGCCATCATGCCATCGAGACCCAACGCTCGCCGGGCGGCGATGTACAACACTCCCGCCATTCGCACCGGTGGCTTCGGGGCCCTGCAAGTCGAGGCGATAACGAATCGGCCTGCTTCCATCGCACGACGACATCTCGCGGCGAGCTCTCTGCGAATGCGCAACATCGAACCCGAAGAGCTGAGTTCGAGCGAATGGGTGCGATTCCTGGTTATGGAGGAGAGGGAAAGAGATCGCTTCATCGACCAGTTCATTACTCAAAGGCGTAGGGACAGCAGTGGCTCTTCCAGTGGAGAGGATGGAGACTTTTCGCCTGATAGGCAGGTTCAATATGACAAGGCGGAAGAGGCGAGACTGGAAGCCCTGGAGGCCAGGTATGTACAACAAAGATGGACGGCGTCATAGAGAGTGGATGCTGACTCGCAGCAGAGATGAAGTGGGACCATCACCAGGCCCCGTATCGCCCACTCCGCGACCTGCACATGTCCGCAGTCAATCCAGCGGCTCTACGCCCTTTGTCAGTCTATGGGCTCGCCACTTGGACGAGATGGAGCGAAACGAACGGACTGACGCCGGACCGAGCACGTACAGTGCAATGCGTCCGAGACACACCCGCCGAGAAGTCGACGACTTCGACGCGCCTCCAGCTTACAGCACCATTGTCCGACCGTCCACGCCGCCTCCCGCCTACGAGCCTCGTTCAGACGACGAAGGCGAGGGCTCATCGGGCCCATCGCGGATACGAAGGTGGAGCAGTAGCGTTTTACTGAACCGTTTTTAGGTTGTATGGATTCGGAATACTGATGTGACCATGGGGCATGACTGTAAACGATATCATGGCCGCTTGGTAACATGAGTGCATGGATGAGATGCCAGGCGCAGGCTCAGCTAGATTGGGCCAAGGGTCGGCAGGGAATTCGGTGTCTGATGATCTTGAATCGGGATGTTTTCTCCTTGGGCAAACTACCGGTGGCTATCGCGTAGGTTGGTACTGCATCAGATTGGAATGCGAACACTTCACCACTTCACAGGAACCTCTCCCTTCCTCTCCCTCAAGTCGTTCATGTCATCCTACGAAAGCTACTTCCAGGCCAACCTCTGAGCGAGCGATAAAACTGATCCTTATGACAAGTCGACCGGACCCAGAAGCACACTGGCATACGAATCGCCCGTAGCTTCAGGAATCAACCTCGTTACCTTTATCTTACAAGAGCATACTCCACCCATAGCGACAGTCGATCCATTTCATTCCCCAAATTCGAGGCCGTCGTCTACTACTGCACAACACACTCGCTCCCACCAAAACTCTTCTTCACCTTTTTCGCCTTGCTACTCCTCGAACTCCGATCACCACCTCCAAAAGCACGATCCTGCGTATAAGGACTATCCGCTACCTCTTCATGATTACACCTCGCTTCCTCCCTAGCCTTTCTCGTCTTTTTGCTCACCTCTCCCCCCCGCCTCCTAATCAGCACAGCACGCCTCTCCACTATATGGAAAACTTCAACCCACAGTACGAGCCGCCCCTGCTCTCTCACCAGGAGTAGCCACGGCACTCACAGCGGAACCTGCATCCACACGGCCTGGGAAAGGTTCTGCTCCAGCTCCTTCAGCGCCGGATTTGTCGGCTCCAAGGAAGGCGTTTAGATGGCCTTTCGTGGATGCTCTGGTTCTCCATTCGAATTCGAATTGGTCTCTGTTGTTGGCGAGGCTGTGGTCGGTCCTTTGGGCGTGATTTGACAGAAGACGCTACGGATATAGTCAATGGCTCTGCGATTCAAGAAACTCGTCGAGAGAATCGTAACACGAACGTCTATTTCTATTCACAAGCAATCAGCAGTGCCGTCCGGCCTATACACGATATGTCTCTCAGAGCGTTACTAGTCTTGCCTCTACCACAATCCCTCTCTACAGCCTCGCCAACGGCCCATCACTCCTAACAACGCCAAGACATTGCTTCGTAATGTCCCTCACACTCCTACACCCGGCCAACTGCATACACTTCCTAAACTCATTCTCCAGCGTTTCAATCATGATTTCGACTCCCTTCTCCCCATCATACGCCAACCCCCACAGCGCAGGTCGTCCAACCCAACAACATTCCGCTCCCAAAGCCAAAGCCTTGAAAATGTCCGTCCCCGATCGAATTCCCCCATCAACATGAATCCGGATCCTCCCCTCCGCAGCAGCAACACACTCGGGTAGGGCATCTACGCTCGCCGGAACCCCATCAAGTTGTCTGCCTCCGTGATTCGATACAAGAATGCCATCACAGCCCATCTCAATCGCTTTCAGAGTATCCTCCGCAGTCAGAACGCCCTTGATCCAAATTTCCATTTTCGTAGCACTCCTCAGCCAAGGGATTTCCCGTTCCCAGGAATGGTCATCCGCATTGAAACTCTTGAAAGCGGAATCATGCGTCGTCTCCGTCGACCAGTTCACATTGGGGAATCCCAGACCTTGCGGGGCCCGGAAATCATTTCGCCATTCGTTATATCGGACCCCTAGCACGGGAGAGTCGGCGGTGAGGAAGATGGCTTTACAGCCTTGTCTCTCCGCACCCTGGATCATCCGGAGTTCGAGGTCGCGGTCTTGCAGGGTGTACAGCTGCATTGCGTGATCGATGGGTCCTACGTCGAGACCCGCGGCGCGGATTTCTGCTACGGAATAGTTTGCAAATGAGCTGATGGCCATGTTGATTCCTCTCCTCGCGGCGGCACGGGCGGTGGCTTTTTCGCCTTCCGGGTGGGCGGCGGCTTGCAATCCTGCCGGGGAGATTCCTAGGGGGAAACAGACGTTGCGGTTCCAAAGGGTTGTGGAGGTATTCGTGTTAGAGACATCCCGGAGGACTCGTGGACGGATGCGGTATTTATTGAAGGCTGTTGAGTTTTCGTTGACGGTGATTTGGTCTGTGGAGCCGGAGTTGTAGAATTCTGAGGGAATCTGGGTATCAGCAAGCGGGCTGGGGCGCGATACTCCGATGTTTGAGTATATCACCGAGAATTCCCTTGGGGAGCTTCTTCGCTGCTGCGTCTTGCAGGTCTTTGATGCAGAGGATCTTGATGTCTTCTTCCGGTTTTGGGACAGGGACTGGATTGCCTGCCATGGTCAGGATAAACGAGAGGATCGCTGCTCTCGCTATTGTCTGCGTAGACGGTTTAACATCAAGAACTGGGGATCAGACCGGCCAACCTCTTAATATGTGCTGTGTATCCTTACGGCGGCTAGAAGGAACACGTGTTCCTGATCCACGGCAGATGCCAAGCCGTGCTATCTCCAATCAGACTCGTGTTGGCTAGCAAATCGCACAGCGAGTCTTGTTGTAAGCATGCTACTGTACTAGATGATCACCCAATGCAGATGGTGGATAGCGCTGGATACCCGTATCCGGTTGGTGCCTGGGCAGGAGATGCGGGTACAGTCGGCCACTCACGTGCTCGCTCACAGTAAGTGAAGGTCCCGTCCTGGATGCTTTCCTCGCATCACAGCACATGGCATAAAGACATGGCAACGGCGGTGGAGGCAAGACAGACGCCCTATCACTCTGCATGTGCTGATGTCAGCTTGCCGAGGACACCGCATTGTACTGAATCGTGTTCTTGTCCTTCTGAACTTCCTCATTCTTGCTGTCCAGCTTCATCGGCGTCTTTTCTCGCATGCTTCGACACCGACTCAATCTCACTTCTGTTGTGCAATTCTCATGCACTTCAGAGGCGGCATGCTGTCGTGTTGTTGTCTTTCGGAAAATCGAACTCCAAATTTAGCGTTCCTCCTCGAAGGCAGACCAGGGATCATCGGCTCCCCTAGCTCTTGCACACAGCTCCAGCCAATGAGCAGCTATACAAGTCCGATGATGCATGACACTGGACCGGAATTGTGAGTGTCAGGTCCGAAGCTTGTGAAAGTCGAGCATCGTCAGCTACTATAATTGCAGAGGCGCCCGGTAAAAGGTGTAGGCTGGGACCACGTTTCGCCAACGCCAATCCAATCTCCTGGACTTCTACAGCTTCTCTGCGACTACACAGAATCACAGACGGACATCCATTGACATTGGCATTGAGATATATTGTATATTGACGAGAGCTTGCGAACATGGCCAAGTACGTCTCCCTCATCACGATCACGCCTCCGTGGCCCTTGACTGACACACAGTACAGACCCGTCCACCCAGCAACCGTCCACTTTCCCATCGCCTTCATCTTCCTCTCCGCCGCCCTCGACATCCTCAACACCCTCCGCAACGCATCCCTCCTCCCCGCCAGCGTCACCACCCAACTCCTCGCTCCCAACGACCTCACCCGCGCATCCTACTACCTCCTCGCCCTCGGCCTCCTCACCAGCATCCCCGCCGTGGTAACCGGCGGCGGCGAAGCCATGAAGATGATCCAGAAGCAAGGAATGTACGAGTCCGACAACAAGACCATCAAACCCAAAGTCAAAGCCACCATCGCCCATGCGGTGGTCAACGACGTGGTGATTGCGGTGAACACGTACGTGTGGTACACCCGGCGAGCAAATGCGAGGGATTCGCTGTTGGGCAAGATGGGGACTGCTGGGGGTGTTGGCACGGCGGCTAGTGCGTATGCGCCGGAGACGTGGATGGTGGCTGCGCAGGGTGTTGCGTTGGGATTGATGCTCTTTGGGGCGAACATTGGAGGCGCTCTGACGTATAACTACGGCGTTGGATTCAGCAGCATGAACAATAGCCTTGCTTCGGGTGTTGCGGCTAGAAAGAGCAAGTAACCGAGCACCTCTTGCTTGATGGGGCAGAGAGGAGAAGAAATACCACGATAGTAGTACTATGAGGAAGCCACACGAAGCCTCGAACTGGGCAGAATCCATAATGGAAGTGGGAAAGTCCGGTTTAGAGTACCGATGAAGCTGGAGCCGAGAGAATGTACTTGCTCGCGGCAATCTCTTGGGCTCTGGAGCAGAACGGTATTAGTGATACAATCAGGTTGATTCCAGCACCTCTATTCTCCTCTTACAGCTTGACTCCTCCAGCCAACGCCTCCTCCCTCGATATCACGGCCAATCTTCTCGGCCCTTCTTTTTTGAAATCCACCAACACGCACTCCTCACTGACTCCCGCCCTCTTCGCACCACTCGTCTCCAACTCCGGCCCGGGTCTGTTCAACCCAAGCACATTCCTCCCATCCTCCCTCTTCTTCCCATTCCTGGGGGGTAAAACACTCGGAGAGATACACTTCTCCGTCCAAGGCGGAGTTCCAGACTTCACAAACTCCACCAATTTCTTCCTCCTCCGCTCCAATTCCTCCCTACTCTGCGGCGTCCGCGATATACTTCCATAATCCGTCGGGGATGTCAAATCGTCAAAGTGCTGCGCAATCTGATGTAGCAAGAAGAACTGCGGCGGAAACAGGATGATCCTGCCCTCCTGCGCAAGCCGACACCACGCGCTCGCGGGTAGAAACCTCGCAGTCGTGTGTTCCTTCCCTCCATCCGTGGTCGGCAGGGGGATCTCTACTTCCTCTTCCCCATCCGCCTGTAAGCCTTCGGACATGGGCGTCGAAGAGAGCGTCGGCAGGAAATAGAGATACATCTGCGTCGTGAAACGTTTGGGGACATTCGTGGGCGTGACCCATCTCGTGAACGGCGTGAGGCCGTCTACATCCGCCCTCCCGCCCTTCTGCGCCAGCCACTGCGGGAAGGAAACCTCATTCCCGTGCACTTGTCTCCGGCCTTGCTCTCGTTCCTGCTCAGGCAGTTCGATGAGTCTCCCGAAGCCGTTGTTCCTCGCGAGCAAAATTCCGGATTCCTCGAATGTCTCCCGGATTGCTGCGTTGCGGTACACCTCGCCATCGACGTGGCGGTCCGCGTGTTCCGGGTCGGGAGCTCTGCCGTCGTGGAACTCAGAGACGTTGCCGCCCGGGAAGACGTGTGCTGAGGGGAAAGAGGAAGATTGTTTTACTCTCTGTAGCAGGAGGATCTGATTCTGAGGCGAAATCAAGATCACACTCGAACTGGGTCGAGGAATTGCCGGCGCCCGTTTCTTCTGCCCCGAATAATCCAGATTCGATCCAGACATCTTTCGCTCTCCTTGGCCCGAAGTCTTCCTTGCCAATCCTTCGTTTTCCGCCTGCAGATCCGCCGCGATCTTGTAAGTTTCCAAATGGGGAGAAGTCGCAAATCCACGAATAGAAGCAGGTAGTCGCAGGAGGTGTTTGAGATTGAGGATATGGGTTCGAGTTGATGGCGATATCGACATGTCGTGACCAGAGTCAGCGAGCAACGTGATGGAGGTGACATCGTGGACTGGAAGTCTGTTGGCCCTCGGAAGAAAGCTGCTTCCAGGCGGGGAAAGTGGTGCCGATGCCGAGGAATGAATTCACATGCATGAGAGACAACGTTTTAGCGTCACTAGTGAGGAAATGCAATAGTTTAAAGAATCTTTGTCGGGCGAAGAGATGTCAGAGACGGAGAGACGATGTAAGTATCTGTGGCCGCTGAATCGATAAAGATCATCCCAAGCCCGCCTCGGGAAATTCGCGAAACTTGGAACCAGTACGGAAACTCTCCCATTCTCAGTCCATTCTACATTTCACGTCAAACGGTAGGTACAATTCATGCGCCTCGCTGTAGACATTAGACGAGCGCCATGCCAACTTACCGAATGCGAAGAACACAGTAATTCCGCTTCTTCAAACACTACGTCTCACTGATAGCTCCCAGCACTACCAAAGCTCTGGCCCAGATTACTGCTGTATCGTCGACTGATACCTTGCCGACCCATGCCGATGGGTATGCTCATTCTTCTCGTCACCCTTCTCGAGCCTCTCCTACTCAAGGTGGGAGGAGCAGCCTGATCTTGTGAAGTTGTCCTTTCGAGCCCCGAAGCCTTGCGACTCACCGTTCTGCTTGCAGGACCGGCTTCGTCGTCCGAGAGCATAGCTGATGAAGCCTGTGTGTTCGTTCTCGAGAGCGGCGCCAGGCCTCCGTAGGCTCGTTCTTCGTGTTCCTCGTCTTCGACTGGAGGTGGAATAGGTCCGGCTTTGCCTCGATTCTCTGCTTCACCTTCCAGAGCCGCTGCTCGCAGGCCATCCTCTTCCTCATCGTGCTCTTCATCGTCGCTCACTTCGTCGTCTCCACCAAAGCCCTCTCCTTCAACGAGCCAGAAGACTGGCACAGCGGCGATCAGAGCGACAGCCGTGAGAAACCACCAAGGAGCAATGACATAACCTCTCTTGACACCGACGGTGAACATAGCGCCAGCCATTGCCGGACCGGCCGCTCGTCCGACGGCGGAGACGGATGTAGCAATTCCATTCAATGTACCCAGAGTCCTCAGGCTGGCAGCGCTATTCGTGAGAAGAATGGTGCTGCAAGGGAAAGCAAAGATTCCGCATAGACATTTCAGCAGCATGACCGTGAACATGCAGCCCACCTGAGACCTAGTTGTCGGCAGTAGAGCGGTAAAGGGCGTGATGAAGTAGATGATCGGAAAGGCACACGCAACCACCTTCAGCCAGAACAGAACTCCATACTTGCGAGCAAGTGGCGGGAAAACGAAGAATTGAACGACCATGCCCGCGACGCCGTATCCCGTGCTCATGAGACCGATCTGGAAGCTGTCCAAGCCAAACCCTCCGGCAAACTTCAGAGGTGGAGAGTAAGGCGTAGAGTCTGGGGTTCCTAGCGGCGAGTGCTGGGCGAAGACGGGAATGAGCTGATCGAATGCCATGGCGTGCATGGCAAGCAAAGCATATACAATTAAGTTGATGACTGCTTGCCGGTTCAGTACATCCCTCCAGCTTGGCGGTGCCGGCTTCGCCTTCGTCTCATAGGCTAGGCCATCTTCCTCGTCTTCTTCGGAAACTGTTCGATGCTTGAGAAGAGGATCTCGCTCGCCATTGGTTTGTGCTACTCGAGCATGCAAAGAATCTCCGAGCTTCAGAGAATGCCTTTTGAAGAATTTGGTGAGTTTCGTGCCCAACGTCAGTCCCCAGTCTCTTCTTCCTCGTGCGGTCTCCAGAGTTTCCTCCAGGAACAGCAGACCAGTCGTAATGCCCACAGTAAAGAAGCAAGCCGAAACGATGTTGGGGAGCGCATATGGAAACACCTCCAAGAAGCTCGGACTGTCTCGTTGCTCTCCTGGCTTCACCTTGAACGGATTTGCTAACGATCCACCGATTGTAGGTCCAAATATACTGCCAATGTTCCATACCAGCGGCATTAAGCTGAATGCCCTCGGCTGTAGCTCTTTGAACGGCACCATCTCCGCAACTGTGGTCCGTATGATTCCAACATTCCCGTTACCAGCGCCAGCCAAAGCTCTTGCAACGATTGCCATGGGCAGATTCTTGCTGAAACCCCAGAGTAAAGAAGTGAACATTGTAGACGTGAGGCCGAGCAAGATCGCTGGTTTGCGGCCATACTTGTCGGAGAAGCGGCCCCATGGAATGCCCATAAGCGCTTGGAAGAGGGAGAAAACAGCGGCGCATATGCCCGCCCATTTGCCGACTTCGTTCTGAGGAACCTGGAACGATTCGACCATCTCAGGGAGGTATGGGTAGAGGGAGGTGCTGGAGATGGGTTCGGCGAAGCGACATATTGCTACGAAGAAGTCAGTCAACCATTCGCTGCCGTGATGGGATGGAAAGGCGGTACAGCATAGTCAATGCCTCAAAGATAACGCTGCGATGGGATTATTCTCGCCCAGAGAATGCATTCCTCGCTTCCCCTCAACAGCCACTGCCACGGGAGCGATCGCAGCCTATGGCCTACCATCAATCCGCAGGGCACAAAGCATTCACTTACCCAGGATAGACAGCTGCTGAACGGGCAGCTTTCGCTCTCGATGCTTGGCAGAGACAGCCATAGCGGACGCCAGACTCCTTGGGAAATAGCTGGCGCGGGTGGTATCACGTCGGTGTCATGTAGAATAACAAAGACGGCGCCTGGCTGACACCGCTTGTTGCCGCTTGTGACATGGTCCCGGCCTCTGCGGAAAGGCGGTAGCAATAGCAGTAGTCAGCAGAGAGAGCTGGAGCAATGTCCAGGCTCGTGGGTCCGTCGATCGTGACTGTTACTCTCACATCTACGTTATCGGCGCTTCGGCCAAGAGATGTGGAGCCACGTGAGTGAATTGAGCTTGCCCGGGCGGGGATGGCCGCGCGGAATTTTCCTGCGTACTATCATGGCCCGTGCGAGGTGGCTTGTCTTCACTTCACCTCTTCTTCGCTTGTGAGTGAATGTTGCTTGCATGTGATTCTGTAATGGGTTTGTCGAGAATGTAGGATTGCATCCAGGATACGGAGTCTTATACAATAGGACGTCGATTCATCGTCGAAAGATCGCTTGCTTGCATTGATTTCGCGACGCTCCGCCAACGAGCCAATGGCTTTGGCATATTTGGCATGGGACAGTCTTCCGGCCATGGAAGCTAGTCGTGGATTGTAAGTGGAATCAAGAGGGAGTTGAGATCCGATTGTTGCCTTTGGGAACTCCGGACATGCCAGAAATCTCACCACGAGTGCCGCTCCTCTAGCAGACCTGAAAGTCCCCGGTCGGGGCAATGGAGATGGTTCAGAAGCAAAGCATTGTCGAAACACGTAGAGATCCTCGGTCATATGTCCCTGCGACATGATTTACTCAGAGTAGCTCCGCCATGCCCTGTCTCTAGCGTTCTGATCCGGCCGGTCGAGTATGACTGTTGGACGAAGAGAGGAACAATTACAGTGGACCTCCTTCGCCAACTGACGCCCTTGCCGGCGCCTTCGGCTTGGAGAATACAGTCGATGAGCATCTTGTGCATGTCTTGTCGGGTATATCTATCTTTCCATTAGCATAGTCCTCTTTCCGTAGGCTGACCTTCCCGAAATCCAAGCGATGGTTGATCAACAAGTGGTGCTTGCCCTTCATATCGACACCACATAACTGCCACCGCCGTTGTTGATACGTTGAACAGACAACAGAGCTTTAATTGCAGACTAAAACTTTGGGACGCTTTCTCTGGCATCTATTCCTTGTGGGGCTGCATCTTTCAAGCCATCGTCGTCGATGATCGCTCTAGACAGGAAGTTTTCTGAACCAGACGATTGTATATGTTCCCATCCGATGTTGAAGGTCTTTCTCATGATGTCCATACGTCTCAAACTTTGCAGGCACAACTCCGAGTGGACAGATGCAGCCGATGTAGAGCCTTCCTGATATTTCGCCGACTCTTTCATGCAGCTCGAGGACAAGGGGGAACCAGTACGTGATTGAACGATTTGAACTTGAAGTGAAGCGATGGTATTCAGTACTCTTTCTTGTCAATTGTGCATCTTTATGACTCCAGTTGACAGTGTTCCCATGGAATTCGATGCGTAGCTTTTGCTTTGTTCTTGTGATCCATCGCCGCGGCAATACTCCTCTCTGCATAAGTTTGAGATGGCGGACGCAAGGCCGCACATTTGATCACTGTAAGGTTTCTATGTGAACTAGCGGTGGTGTAGCCTTCGAAGGGAAGCCAGCAGTGGAGGAGAAGGGGAATGGTCTGTCGATAGTAGTGTTTCGACATCAGAGGACTGAGAAATCGCTGCTGCAGCTGTCGCCTCCTGACCGAGATATCAGCACGCAGAGGACGCGTCGTTGTCTCTTCTCTGCACCGGAAGATGGTCTGTAGATGTGATGAAGGTCACCTGTCAATAAGAAGCAGCTAAACTCAATCAATCAGGGGGCGAAAGAACAATCGTGAGGGTAAAGTGTACAAAGGACAATACTTGCGAGAGCTGTGAGTAAGCCTCATGTATGACTGCCCTTGCTGAATAGTCCATCAGATATTGATTAAGTGGCATTGTTGTGTGTACGTCACCAGCGGACAATAGTCGGCTGATTTGGCAGCGAAGGGTAGGTCAACGCGTTCTGCTTCTTCCACCTCACAACAAACACCACAACCACCACCCTCAAACGCACAGAAAACTCCACACACCATCTGCGCCAACCCGCAGCAAGCTTCCACATTGGTAATGACACACTGCCAACAAGCTCTGTAGGTTATTTTCCACCGCCGCCGCTGGCGCGCATCAGTGGTGCCGTCGCTCGTGCCTCGCAACCGAGCGGCGGCTTTGGCGACATTGCCGCGACAAAGGGCGGCGAGACTGGTGGCGCCTAGGCACGCAATGCTCTTACACCTTTGCCTGTCTTGCCTCATCAGCATCATCGTCCTGATCATCACTACTATCGGTCTGACCATCGCTGACACCCGCAGGGACAGGTTTCCGTCGCCCCCAACAAGATTGACTCCGATTGAGCTGCCCGGCGGTCATCACCACCACGCGTCAGCACTATGCAGTACGCGCGTGGTGCCCAATGTTGGCCTTACCCACCATCTCCAGCCGTTTTGAAGCGGACAATAGTCACCACAGGCTTGCTTCACCGATGTTCGCTTTCTTACAAGTTACAGCGCTCCAGTGGCCAACAGCAGCTTTGAGCTGCTTGAACGCCTCAACCCGTACTTTGCACATCCCACCACGCTCTTCTTCCCATCGTCTGACATCGCTAACGAGGTCTTCCATTAGAGCTGTTCTGCGGCACGTTCACTGCTCATCACCACTGCATCGACAGCAACCACTAGCAGCCCACCGCAAGCTGTCGTCGCCGCGCCTTTCGGGTTTCCAAACAAGCCATCCTGTTACTTCACGCCACACCCACAATAAACAAACAAGCAATCCGTCATCGCTATCACCGCGGTAAGCCTACTTCAGCACTCTCCTTGCCCATACTATTTCAAAAGATGATCAAAAACACGATCTTACTGCAAAGATCAGTCTGACGGAACCCGTGCGGTTCGCCTGATCAGACCGTTCTGGTCCATTCATCTACACAGAGCTCATATCTGACTTACACCAACATGCTTCCTACCTACCCGACCATTTCCATCATATTACAGGCCTTGCTAACACAAGCTCATCGCAGAACGATACTCCCCCTTCTCGGTTCCTTGGCGCCGACTACTTCCAGAGCTACCTTGACTTCGCGACGCACAAAGACGGCATCGGCCTCTTGATGGAGAACAGGCACTCCAAGCAGACATCAATCGGCAAGCTGAAGGATGAACGGTGCATCCACTCCTTTTTCCTGCTGCTTCTCATTCGCATGATGATTGCTAGTTGCTGTTGCTTGCTGCTGGAGAGTCTGTTGACATCGGCTACATTTCCGATCTCATACACCCCAGCCTCTCCGAATTTGGTCTATCTGGCAATGATGACAAGCTGACAAACACTCCACTTTTCTCAAGGGCGCTACAAGTCCTTATCATTTGGCAAGCTGAGCCATCAACGGTATGTCCACCCCCCTTTCCGACTTCTGAACATCCGCATGATGACTTCAAGTGCATTCTGCTCCTGCTGAAGAGTCTGTTGAGACCTGCCAAATATCTGACCCAATCCCCCCTGTTATCTGCATTCATCGATTTCCTTTGCCATGATCACAAGCTGACCGAGACTCCACACCTCTTCAGATCGCAGCCATTGTCGCTCCCAGAATTCTTCCATCCAATAAAGGTACGCACAGCCGCCTATTCATCCAGACCTTGCCTTGGCATGATGACTGCCACCTTAGCAGGTTAAGCTGATCCTTGCTTGATTACACTCGTCCCATCTCTGATCTTTCTTCAACGCACCTCTTCTTCCTTCTCAACTCTGGAGGACAAGCAGCAGCTAACACACGAACGAGTTCATTTAGGGACAAGCGTTATCTGCCCTCGGGCAACACAAGACTGAGAGGACATCGCGCGCCATTCCGCGACGCGTGCAGGTATGTACCCCTTCAAGTCTGCTCTCACGACTCTTCAATCAACTACGCACCATTCAGTAGGATCTGTACCAGCGACTCGCTTCCATTTGCTGGGCGGACTACATGCGTGCAAGAAGAATATCTGAGTGGTTGGTGCCGTCCTGCCGTCCACATTGCTTGACACGGCCAACGCTAGAGACACGCATACACCTCCACTTCTCCCCTTTTTGTTCCGTGACATAGTGCTGACTGCAGGCTTACAGGTTCAGGTTTCAAAGACTCGCAGCTTTGACAGCAAAACGGAAGCCAATCTTCAAGGTACCGACTGCTCAACACATCCCCTTCGCCTTCAAACCCAAGCTCTTTCGGCATTGTCGCGCGTTTCAGAAGTCAAATTATTGTTTTCGCTTGGCTTCAAGAGAGATCCAAAGGCCAAAGTTGAAAGCAGAGGAGAATACTTCCGCGCACACTGGTCGGCATCAACCATAAGAATCGACAGACCTGAGACCTCTTTTCTCGCCCTTTGTCTGCTTCACAAGATCTTTACTAACAGTTTCACAGCTGATTGTTTGAACGCGTTCCGCCACATCTGGCTTACAATGTCTCGGTCCGGCCCACAGAAAAGACGCATTCAAATTTTGGATGAAGCCCTGATGGTAGTGTCCACGCACAGCGAGTCGGTTGCAGCGCCTCGGAAGGCCCAATGCTGCTGATCAGCCGCGCGTTGTTATCATCTCACACCTCCAGAGCCTTCTCCTTTGATGCCTTGCCGCTCACCAGAGCTCGTGTCGACCACTAATCCAGCTTCAAGCTGTGGTTGCAATTGGCAAGAGCGAGAATGAATGGATTCCTCGACATATCCTTGGCAAGGCTAATGCCTTGCGATGCTACTACCGGAGCCTACATACCTCAGTTCCCACACAACCTTACTGATAATGACGCAGACACCGCGAGATCCAAATAGCATCGCTGGCAGCTGCTTCAGCTTGGTACGTTCAATCCTCATTGTCCTCTACTCCTTCACTGCAAACCCTCCGGTATTAGGGTAAGCTCTCGGTATTCTTCAATTGCCGCTGGAGCTACTTACCGGAGGGAAGATCAACGGGCACCAGAAAACTTTCACTCAAACATACTACATTTGCGCTGTTACTTTTCCCATCGCCCTACATGCATCATTTTCGATTGGCCGCTTGGCAGCTTGCTCAACTCTCTAGAAGGCTCGCTAATCAGCACCAACAGGTATCGAGGCGCATTTCTGTTATCGCGGCGGCCGAGACGCCTTCTCGCGCGATGTTGCTCCGCTCTCTGCATTCGAAACCTCAACCATTGCGATCGCAAAACCCAAGACCAGCCAGCCGGGTATCTCATTCCGAGAAAAGTCCTCCCTTCCTTCCACCCCCTTTTGCCGCTGATTAAGATAACTACTACAACCGTTCCGAGACGGAGACCAGGTCCTCCGCTGGAGACCCGACTCCCCAGGCGGATACCAACAGCATTCTGAAGAGAACATCTGAGGCACTCCACATGGCTCAATCGCGCTGGTCATCTTGCATCAATGAACATTGCTGACCGCGACCGCAGGTCCTACTCTCTGTTCAGCGATCTCTGGATCCAACATCAGCTTCCAAAGGCCAATGCGCTGGCTTTTTACTCCTTTTCACCGACGATGACCCTCCTCGGAAGCTACACGCTGAGGCAAATGTACTGCCTGGCCAAGGCTTTGCTCTCGCGGGCTTGGGACGGCCGTAAATGCCTACGACGCACCAAGAGCTCTTGGTGAAATCGGTTGGACGTTGCGCAGCGTCTTGTGGTCCCGTGTCAGTCCCTGTCAACTGACCCCCTTTTTCAGACCGTCACGGCGGCGACCCTCGAACGCGCCTCGGAGCCCAATCAACACCGCATTCAACGTCTAAAACACCAAAGGCAAGTCCGCTTGCCCCTTCCGCCGATTGTTTGATGAAGAGAATTAAATTGTTGAAACAATGTCGTGCTGGTCATCCAAGCCTTTGCTTTGTGCGGGGATTCGGATAGCCGTCGACGTTTTTGATCAAACCACCGAGAGTCCGAGAACAAGTTTGCGATTGCATTTGTACAGCATTTGCCCGTGTCAGTCTTTGTAACTGACACCTTTTTCAGGCTTACAAATTCACCACACAGCTTCTTCATGAAGATACGACATCCTTGGGCTCCAAAAGGTACGTCAGTAATATCCCGCCGTTGAGAAACTTTTGCAGCTGACATTCCCTGTTCTCAGACCCGAGAGTCGACGCAAGATCCACCGTGAGACAACGCGATACATTTGGAAACAAGGCAAGCATCTCCGATTCCTTTTGTATTCTTTGCGAGCGCGTGATTAGAACACTGGGTGTGAGCGCATTCCCGTCGTTCGCCCGAGTTTTCAGCTCGAGGCAACCGTTATGCGTATTGACGACCGCAACTTACCTGTTATGAACAAGACTCTTCTCCCAATCCTTGTCGACGACGATGACATTGGAAAGCACACAACGCTGATTCAACTTCTTCTTCACAGCGCGAGACATCACGATCCAGACACCAACTTCATCAAGGTAAGTCTCCCACGATTCTATCAGCATCCTCCCCGAGCGCGTGATTAGAACAATTGATGCGAGCGCATTCCCGTCGTTCGCCCGAGTTTATAACTCGGCGCGACCGTTATGCGTGTTGACGACCGATACTTACAGAATCTGAAGAAGACTCCCGAGACTAATCAACAATGATCCGATTGCACAGTACACACCGCTGACCTTTCTTCTCCACAGTGCAACGACCCACGATTCAAACGGAACCACACACTAAGGCGAGTCTACCACCAGTTCTTCTTCATGCTTTTCGACTGCGTGATTAGAATTTGCCAAGCGAGCGTATCTCTGTTGTTCGCCCAATCTTTAGCTTGTCACCTGCTTGAAGCCCGCTTCAGCAGGTTGACATGGCAAAATTTTGAGGCAACCGTTATGCGTGTTGACGACGAAAGACTTACCTCTTCTGAAGATCTTCCGACATATCCCTTGATACACGAGCAAATCCTTTACAAAAAGTACATCGCTAATATGAGATCCTCGTAGGTTTCTTCTCCCCTGCCGAATCATAACCCTCTCGCCGAGAAAGTACGTATACCCACATCTCCCTTCTCCCTGCACTGATGAAACAATTACGGCTGAGCACAGTCACGCTTGTCTCCTTGGCCTCTGGTAGATCCAATTGCCGTCAGTGTCTTCCGTTCGCGGATGATACAGTCTCCATTTGGTACCCCAGACGCTGCGGGCAACCGTGATGTGCGATGAGGGCTTTCTTCATCGTTCTGATAATACATTCTCTTCTGCTCGCAGCACTGGTCACGCACTACTTTTACACGATACTGACACCTCTGCGGACCAGGTTTCCATCCTTTGCCGGGCCTGGAATGAATGTTCTCGACGCGTGGGGACGTTCAGGCATGAGATGCATTGAGTGGCCAGAGCCACCCGCCCGGCGAGTCATTGGTGGAAGAAAGGAGACGCTGGTGAAGCTTTTGACTGGCAAGGGGTTCGATGTGATGGATAGTTGCAAGTGAGATTCACCCTAGCAGAAGGGTATGAGAAGCCGAACTTTCCTGTAATCAGTGTAATGAGTGGACAATATCACGAATTCAAATTTGTTTCTACCTCCTGTCTCACCAATCTCTCATTACCATCTCATGCGTTCCACTGCACCTACCGCTACTCCGCAGTGCCATGCAGTGCTATAGCCGCCGCAGAGACCGAGACTCGGCACGTGAGTCTTGGCGAAAGCCGCACGCTCAATCCACGTTTGATTTACCACTGATTCTCACGGTGACACATCCGCACAAATCATTAGCCTTTCCAAATACTACGAATATCATTAAAAAAGACTCCCAACACGCGAGGAGCCCTTGTGTCCGCGTGCGATAGCCTGTCTGTAGACCAAGATGAGCTGCGCAACACGATCTGGAAGCAAGCATTCGGTGATTCCACCATCCCGTATTCCATTGGTGCATATTCTGAGATACTACAGGTGCAAAGCCGGACAACTTCAGCCAGTCTCCATGGACGTAAGTCTGCCGTCAGATGCGCTTCGAAACCCGCCCCATCTTCCACCGCTCCCGCTTGCGGCTTCACCATCCCCATTGACAGCCGTGAGGCCGAATATATCGCCGAATGGATGGCGATGCTCCACTCGCCCTCATCTCGAAGATTGCAGGCCTGAACATAATTCACGAGCCGGTGCAGTACTTCACCAAGCCCAACTACGAACGCATGCACAATGGATGGTTGGACCGCGTGATGGAGCTACAGAGTCTTGGCCTGGAATTGAAGATGGAACTCGAAAAAGCGTGGAATCTAGACGCTGTCTTCTGTATTTGAGAGAGGTGTTTGCGTGGCATACTTGAGGGAAGCATACATCACGTCTGGAAGAAGATCTGAGTGAAAATTGGGTCAAACGCGGAAAGAGATTTGTGTACAAATCTGGGCGATGGTATCGGAACACTAGCATCGCGTACATCACAGCTGCATAGCCAGTTGTCCAACACGTCGGCAATGGATCCAGTGAGTTTCTATTCTTGACTTTAAGTCCCAGAGCCTCACCTCACCTCACATCCTCTAAGGCAACTATGTGAAGTTCAACGTGGCTACCTAATCAGCGAGGAGAGCATTTTTTCAGGTGAGGATGATTATTCTTCAATTCAGAGGCCTTGGATATTCTAGATAACCCAGATCACTTCCATTTCCACGCCTTCTGCACGTCGAGAGCACCAGAATCACCGATTTTACCACCAAAGCTTACCCAACATCTCGAAATGGCAACCATCGACCAGCAACAAGAGCAGACATCCATTCGCATCGTCGACGACAAATCCGTGGAGATACGCGACAGCAAGCAAGTGATTTTTAAATACACATTCAAGAATACGAGCCTTCTGGAGGAGGCGCGTACACTGCCGTACGGCGCTGCGAGCGGGCCTCAATTTGACAACCGAGACCTGGCCATGGCGGGTGATGGACTCATCACCCGACTCATTCAAAGACGCTGGAGACAAAGCGCTCGCCCACGCAGTAAGTCATCTCACGTATAACATCTCCAGGTAAAGAACGAAGATTGTGCTAACGCGTGGTTCTAGGCGTCTATTTAGAGCTCTACCAATTCGGGATGCAGTCAAACGCCTATATGGCTCACATCGCAGACCAGCGCGGCCTCATTGAAAATTGCATGAAGCGTAATGGCCTCCCAGTCCGTAGCGCCGATGTGGACCAGCATACCAAGGGCGATAGCGACATTGGATGCAGGCATCCAGCTATCATGTCCTTCAAACCGAGCATTATCTCAACGGCCTCGTGATTTCCCCCCTTTTCGAAGTACTGCAACGCGGCAGCATGGAATATCTAGATACCGAATGTCCACTCCTGGTATGTATTCGACGTCCGTGCGACGCGGGAGAAGTTCGTGATAGGCTCTCATGGGTGGGAAGATGAAGGGCGCTGGTCTCGTCGTATCGACATGTGTATCCGTCAAGGGCATGACGACATCCAATGGCCGGGCGAGCTGACCACTGGCGTTCGCGGTAGACGCGTACGTGAAATAATTCGAAGAGTCTCATACGCGGTTTCAATTGTCAGCGAGACCGCATTTGTAAAGAGCCTAGATGGCATGTCTACTCACTGTCCGCCCCAGTGCATGCGACTCTCCTCGATGAGCTCGCCTGTTGAAGAGTCCAGCTTCATCTCCACGTGTCGATCGCTCAGTCGGCCGTAACGGCTAGATCCCAAAGGTGGATCACGATGATATGCCTCGTTGGTGGAGCGGTGGAGATCAGATTCATCAGAATGAAGCGGATGTCTCTGAAGTTGGCCTACTTTGCTCCCTGCAAGGGCAGAGCAAGGCCAGCGGGAACGTCACTGGGTACTAGGTCCGCCTTTCCATGTGGCTGTGCGGATGCCCAAAGACTGCGAATGACTTGCAACAAGCACGAAGCTCCACGCCGACCTCCTTACGCGCCAGGTTCCTGGATCTTCTCTAGTTGTACTTTGTCCCATGTGCTCTCATATGCAACCTCGAAGACCTCGTCCACTCAGGAGTGTGAGACGTTGTGAACAACCCCCCCTTGCCGCCTTGGAGTACGTTGAAGCGAAGCAGACGCAGCCATCAGTGTAGACCTCTTGGTCGCGTGTCGGAAGGTAGGATGGTTGACGTGGAATGCTCGAAGTTCATCCAGAGCTGCCCTCCATTAGGTCAGTTATCAATCTGTCGTCGGAAGAGAATTCTAACTTATCTATACGGCCAATTTGACAGTACTCGCCGTCGTGCTCGTCACGAGTCCTTTCCTGCAGCCGCGTTTGCGTGTAGAGAGAATCCACAAGTGCAGGATGTTGTTGGCCGACGGAAGAGAGAGGTCACCCTAATCAACGACAAGTTCTCCGGCGGTGGAGTAATGCCTGGAAACGCGGCTAGTCGGTAGCGTAAAGACGCGTTGCGGCGTTGGCAATGATGAGAGCCTTGATCCATGGCCGTTCTGCTCTCCCCGCTCAATTGACGTCCACGTTGAGGACGGAATAGTTGAAGGCAATCTCTGCACTGGCGAAGTCGCGAACACGGCCGGCTTCGAGAATGTAGTCATGGCCTTGGTTCATGAGCTCTGCGGACATCTTCGTAAACGGAGGTTGCGCCCCCTGAGGATATGTCGCAGGCATTTTGGCTGGAACGGCGATGAGACGACGCGTTCTTGTGTAGCCGCACGGTGTGGGTGTGGGTATTGACGGGGGTAGATTGTTGATCGTATGCTTTGCTGTAAGGTACCGCGGTTCGCGTTTTTGGAGGATCCGAGACTTGTTGCGCTTTGCACGTATGGGTATGCGATGGCGAGTACAGACTGCCATTGGCATGGCGCCTAATATGAAGACAATTGTGACTTGTCGCCGTAATGATTCACCGGATGATGATGCTGCTTGTGGGAGAGCTTTACCGCTCCTGCGGCAAATTCTCGCTACAATCCGTATTCTGCCATTGCGGAGTCTCCATCCTCACAACACGCAACTATGATTCAGACCCACTTACCATACAGATTCATACGCGCGGATCAGCTCATTAATTCCATGACACGTCCAAACACTCGCCCAAGCCGCAGACAAAGTGGGCACGTTAGTCGACTCAGACGCGTGCACCTCCCCGCCGCGCACATTTTACTACATGCTGACCAGCTTGGACCAGACACAAGCCAGAACTCCATCGGCGACTTTTCATTCAGATACCGGAAGATTCCTCAACCACCCAGACGCGTACGCAAGCCCCTCTTAGATTTTTTCTGCGCGCGTCATACCAAATGATCCAAATGATAAATCCTCGAAAGTCGAGACGCCGTCTTCGCGCTCTGAAGCCACATCCTTCGCCAGGAACACAATCTGTGAGAGCAATGGTCGCCTTGAAAGAATGCTCGCGGGGATTTAGAACGATGTGCAGTTCTACCTGCCGCAGTGCCGACAATTCGAGACTTTGACAACGCCAATCTGGCCTTCAGGACAATTCATACAACAATGAACAAGGTTTTGACAATAGCAGAGAGTGTGTACACTCGTCTGCTCTGGGACACTCATCACATATCCAAGCAAACATCCGCAGCAATTACGAACCTTGCGGCATTCAGGCACAAGCTCTTTGGTCCGCACGTGTCAGGGGCAGGATGGACATGGATCCAGATAAAAACATACGGAGACCGCATAATTCTCTGCTGGATCTGTGGAGCAAAGATACTCGGGCATCTGAATAGCCAACGCGACGGAAAACGTGAATGTGATCACGCGTTCACGGGCAACGCGTGGCTTTGAAGTTTGTTGCATGTACCCACGAGGCTCCTGCCCAGTCAAGGCATCCGTACTTGTATCGTACAGGATCAGAATGACCACGAACTCGCGCTCAGTCATTGCATCAGACAAGGGGAAGAGCAAGAACGATGCAACTCTGGCTCTTCGCTCAGCGGTTCGCAGCAGCTCATGTTCGATATGGGTGCGTACTGGCGCTTGCAACTTCTGCTCGGCTATCGTGTGCTCTTCTGGCTGCCTGCTGTTGCTTTTGGGATGTATGTACCGCATGTTTCTATCGCTTGCTCTTTTTTCGCTTGCTCTTGTCATGTAGTCAACCAATGCGTCTCTCGCCTCGGCGTTGCAGGCGTGGTGGGAACCAAAACCTCCCGGCTCTGGAGGTCTTCACGGTCTGATACATTATCATACAAGCAGAGAGTTCCCATCCCCAGATGACGCGTGGAAGCTTATAGTAAAGGCACGGTACTACAGTCTACCTACCAAGCCAGCACGGTCACTTCGGCGTAACAGTACTCTAGAGCATGCTAGAGTGTCCTGAAGTAAACAACAGGTCGGAAAGATCGGCTTACGGAGAAATATCTGTTAGATTCGCGTAAACCCTAGTAACTGTCTCTGTTCCCGATAGACTTTTTCCGATTCTTTACTTTGTCTAAATAGGCGTAAAGAGTTTGTTCTATTACTCTTCCCGTAACAATCTGTTACTATACTCTCTTCTTATACTAGATTAACTAGAGCTACTAAGTCGTAGCTACCTACTCTACTAAGATTAGGGACTACTTCTTTCTAGATTTCGTAATATATTAAATAGCTATCTAGAGATTCTCTAGACCTACCTAGAGCAGAGCTAAGTAGTAGATTTAGTAATAGAGAAATACTAGAAGATTAGACAGTTTCGAGAATTACTTCGCCTCTTCTACTACTCTAACTATTAAGTCTTAGATCGTAAGTATATAGGCTTCTATAATTCTTTTTCCTTATCTATAAATATACTACCCTCTTATCTAGGTTATATAGTAACTAGATAGTTCTATACGGTCTTTACTTCTCTATTATATTATATAGATCTAGTCTCTAGAGGTATATCTCTTCTTACCTCGTAGGTAAAGGCTTAGAATAGACTTATATCGTTTTCGTAATCGTGAGGAGGTATTTCGCTTATATTAAATATATCTAGAAGATTTCGTAATAGCCCCGGGAGTAGAATACTTCCGCGGGCTATTAGCCGGCTTCGTTAAGTTAAATACTAGTACAAGGGCTATCGGTTCTTCTTTGGATACTCGCTACTAGAGTGTACGCGATCTAGGCCCTACGCTTCTTTCTCGTAGCTTTCACTTTACTAGATCCGCTGGCACGTGCCCCTTTTTCCCCACGTACGCCTCACTTGATTGAGTTATATATACTTTCGCAGCGGCAAAGTAGCCACTAACAGAACCACAAGTTTGGCCTACTCAGATCGTTGCCACCGCCAAACTGCCACTGCAACTGCCACCCGACTGAGGACAACATCCATTGGGAATTACTGATCGAGGTGTAGACAAGGAGACTGAGCATTGAGCTCACAAAGACTTTACAGTCCAACAATTTTTTTTTTTCCTTCGATCGATTTCCTTCGATCGATTTCAAATCGTTCCATGTATCTTTGGTTGATCCAGTATTTCGCGACAGATGATTCTGCATCGTTGACTTGATTTTGAAAGCTCTTTTTTGGCCTCCGCAAATTTTCCTGGCCGCCGCGAGGTGAAGCTATCGTGACATCTAATGGCAACAAGTACAGACGCAACAGGAGACATTTCTTTCATAAGTTTCATTTGGCACTGGGTCAAAGGTCTGCGGCGCGCCGGTTTGGCTCCATACCCACTCGTTCGTGAGTTCAGGCAATTCAAATGATGCGGGACTGCATCCATGGCCACGCGACGCGTCTCCCAGGCACGTTTTCTTGCGGCCGGAGCAAAGTTTATACAAACAACAGACCAACAACAAATTTTCGCCCACCTCTCCACCGAATGGCCCCATACGACATGCAGCCACATGCTCGAGCGGCTCCAAGATCCGCTCGCGTACCCAACGAGACGCAGCAACATCGAAACGACGCGGAATAATCGTCAAGCAAGAGCAATGTCCATCTTGATTCTGACGGAGACGCGCGGCGCGTCTCCCAGTTGCAGCTCATCCACCTGGAGGCTGGAGCGATCTTCCAACTGCCATCATGCTCTTCGGAGCACGCGAAATGAAGTCAAAAGCACGTCACTTATTTATGGATCGCCTGGGTGTATTGCCAACGCTTACGGGCAATAGTAGCTGAGAGCTGCCTGAGGAGCTGACACTCGACTAGAAAACTCCATCGCAGTCCTGCAATTTTGTTCTCAGCTTACCATCAGATCAGCACGAACACCGGAGCGGCAACACTCCGCCGATCATTAATACCCATGCTCCACGCTCCTTCACACCCCTGCTCCATCTTCACCGACGCGATCTTTGCAACAGCCAGACTCAAGCGCTTCGAGCGACGAGGGCGCGCACCAACAACCGTCCGCCTACGGTCTACCTCAGACTTATCGACACCGAGAAAAACAAGCGAGACTCAAGAGCGACGAGCTACGACACTATACGCCGGTAGCCGCACCGCAGCAAGATTGAAAAGCATGGAGTTAGATACATCACACAACCCTCAATCTCACCCACCCCTCCAGCGAGTTGCTACCGACCACAATACCTCAGAGGTGAGACTCATAGGTTTTGGGCTGAGGAACCATCTACGCCGAGTCTCAAGCCTCTCGTAGGCCAATAAGAATGATTCGCCTCGAGCAATCCAACGCCGCGCACGACCCAAACCGGCATTTAACGCCTTGAACGGTTGAACCACACGATAAGAGTACCGCGCCAAATTTCCCGCCCCAGTCGATTGCAAAGTCTTGAACGACAGCCATCTCTTCAACATGCAGTACAATGCCACCGGTGGCCTCACGTACGCCGAAGCAGGTTCGAAGATTCGTGTTGAGGGGCTGGGCCCAGGAAGCAATGCCAACATCTTCGTTGGGTTTCTCGCGGAGGCCAAGCATGACCATATACAGACTCCACGGACTTACTACAAGGACTACTAAAGCCTACGATCGTAGCACCACTAGCACCATTGAGTTCAGTAACTGCGAGTTCGTTATGAAGAATGTTGGGCCCTTGGAGTCTTGGACATCACGCGTGTTTAGGAGGCACTCCCATCACCTCCACCTTCATCACAGTGTGACAAAAGCCTAGATCGTGCGACTGCTGCGGTACGTCTCAACATTGGAAGGCGAGATTCGAGACTGAATTGAACCCCCAGATGCAATTCGCACTCCCTTCGCAGGAAGAGGCAATGGCTTCTCTTTCACCTCGAGACTTCTCTGCCTACGCCCACCACTCACTCGACCGCCGCGCACATCGAACAACAATTCCTGACAGACTCAAGATTTCAGAGGTCCATGGTATTTGGAAAGAGCAACGAAAGACGAGAAGCCCCATAGCATATACAGTACACGAGTACAGGGGGTCTATTGAAAAGCTTGACTGTGTTTGAATCTCATTTGCAAGGCCTCGAGCTATCGAATCGTCTACACCCAAGCTCGCGTATCCCGCACCTCGTCCATCGTAGCAATGGCTGCCAAAGACACCTTGCCCATTGCCGCTGCCGACGGCGCCGCAAACACCAACAGCAACAACACTGATCAAAGCTTTCCGCGCGAGAGTCCACTCGCGTCGTACGTCGCTCCACCTCGCTCTCGCCCAAGATGAATTGAAGCAGCCTGGTTTCTTCCTACATGCTATCCCGTGGGCTATGGTAGTGCCTACAGCACGGACGGGATGATGAACCAGAAGGTGGACCTCCGACCAAAAGCATGAACGACGAGCCAGTGGGTGTCTTCAACTGCTACGTAGAGTTCAGCGACGGGACACTGCAGCTCCACGAATGTGCAGTGCTCTAGAAAGATACACGGTTCATGATCTATTGTAATTCTCTCTGCGTTAGGATTTTGCTTACATTTGGCTAGAACGCACCCGTTCGAGAGCTCTCGAGCAATATCAAACTCCAGCACGACCCTGAAAGTTACAAGCAGCTTCCAAACCCCGGCTTTGGGTCCGCCACGACAAGAAGTCTTCTCGCTATCTGTCGCTGCAGCACATGCGAATCGTAGTGCACACGGCACACAAATGCGACATATACCTGCCTACGAGCGCGGACTGCTTCGTGGTTGCGAGAAAGAACAAGGAGAACAAGAGAGTCCATGGCATACAGCAGCCTGAATATCAAGGGTCTCTAGCAGAAAGGCATGCTACATCTTTCCTCGACCGCCAGGATTCTGTTTGTTCTCCGTCAAAGAAGACGTACTATCTCTGCAACTTTCACTGATACTCCTCTTCACCATCATCGGATTCGTCACTTCTCAGGTCTACCAGGTGCGCACCACTGTCGCCTTCTCCGCCATCAATAGCTACCATGTCGAAAATCTCACCCGCAGTAGGACTTCGAATTTGTAGTCAACAGCGACCCAGAGTGAAGGTCATCCCTGCTGTGATGTTCGCCGCAGAGCGGTCTACTATTCGACACGTCGAATCGGGCCTCCGGTGGTTCGCCCTCCGGCAGTGTCAAAGATCCAGTGACCCTCAAGATTTCTGAGAGCCCGGCGTATCTCAAGGCCACACTTATGTGGACAGAGGCCAGCAGATTGATAGGCATTGACGAGCTGCTTGAACAAGTGGCATACGCCTGGTTCGAACAGGGTTCGATTTGGAAACCGGTGATCCATGGACATACTCTTGCATCGATCAACATTGGTATGGTCTGTAAGCACAATGAAATTATCCAACTCAGCTTGACATGACCTATTGTCCCGTTCAAGGCTACATATACTCGCCGCCGCTGACTTGTAGGCACAGGGATCAGCGAGAGCCGCTGGTACTTGTGATCAACACGTCCTGCAGATTCCGAGCACAACGTGACGGCATCACCCTTGTAGCTACGGTAAAGAAGATCAGCTGCCCTCAGAAGGGATCTGACATCATCAGGGCCTCTAGACTACATTTTCAGTCCTTCAGTGAAGCACTTTCTTGCCACAACTCAGAGAACGAGAACGGGGATAACCGAAGGCAACTTTGTTCATCTGAGAAAAGAGGCGATAATCCTCGGATGCAGAGTGAAACGGGTTTAGAGACTGTCATTATCTTCTATCTGCTGCCGTGGTATCATTGCGCCTATGCACTGCTACAAATTATCCCTAATTCAACCTTGAGTGGCGCTCCAAAGGCTTAACGCCCCCTGCTCATATTCTCATTACTCTTCTGAGTCCTCCCATTGATCCAACTTGGAAGGCATGCAATCTAGCATTGGTACATTCCATTGACCAGGACGTTGCACTCCTCGCTTGGGCCAGCAGTACCATCAACGGCATTCGGGCCAGGTTGTGCCATCGTCAAGATTGGGCAGTCGAAGTCGGCGAAGAAAGGCTTGACAGCACCGTTGAGGAAAGCATTGACGGTGCCAATGTTGTCAGCAATACCAGGAGCAAGGAATCCGGGAGTCTCGTCAAAGATTGCAGTGGCAAGGAAGCAGGTTGCAGCAGCTGGGGTGACGTTGCTGATGTCCATGCCGAGAGGGACAAAGTTGTTGAGACCCTCGTTGGCACCAGGGACAGTGAGCTCAGAGGAACTGGAGAGGAGGGTGGCAATGTCGGAACCGGTGCCTGCGAGAGAGTATGGTGAAGCACGGCGGAACCACTGCGGTGGGAAAGTTTCGTTCATATAGAACGGAGCGATGTTCTGATAGTCCGCAAGGTCCTCGTGCGTGCCGTTAGGAAGAGCACGGAAGATGAAGACACGCTCGGCAGTGGTAACAGCAAGCCAGCGGACTCCAGCGTTGAATGAGGGGTTGGTATTCTTGGCCTCGTTGTAGACGAGCACACGCTCCTCTGCGAAAGCAGAATTGCCGAATTCGCCATTGTACTTTTGGGTGATGTTGACCAGACGGTTGAAGCGGTCCAGACGGAAGTCAGCCTGGTTGCCGAAGTAGGTGTCCTCACGAGAGATGGAGTTGTCCACCTCGAAGAAACCGTGGCGCGAGATACCGAGAGATGGGCCCAAGGTGTTCGGTACACGAGCATCGGCACCACCGATGGAATACTTTCCAGATGGAAGGTCACCGCCGGACAGCAAGCCCAGGGCAGACAGGAAGGTGCAGGTGTCGTAGCCAAAGCCAAGAGTAATCTGACAAGCGTTGGCAGCTTCGGCGAAGGTAGTGATACCGTCACGGGAGATGTAGCCGTGGTTTGCCATTGTGTTCAAGGTTGGGCACATGCCACGAACGTCGGAGGTAGTTGGCTTGACGTATTGATGATCTGGGTCGTTGCCGGGGATGAGCTGGAGGCCAACCTCTTGGGGACTGCGCTATGATTAGAGATCTTCTCCACCATCAGAAGGTTGGACTTACGCAGGAACGTCAAGAAGAGCCAACACGCCGCTGAACGGCTGGATAACGCCGCTCACGAGACCACCACCGAGGGGAAGATCTCCAAGGTCAACCTGACGCTTGTAGAACTCGGCCTGTCTGGCATGCTCAGCACGCTTGACCTTGTCCATCTGAGAATTGACGGCCTTCTCGCCTTCAGCACGGGCAGCGTAGAAGTTGCGAGCCTCAGCTTCTGGAAGAGCGCCACGCTCTGCGAGTTGTCCATAGGGGCATGGCGAGGCAGCGGCGAAAGTCGCCAGTGCAGAAAGAGTGATGAAGGACTTCATGTTGGTGATGTTGATTGAATACGTCGGTCGCAAGTGGAGAAAAGAGGATGAACGTCGTAGATGCCAATCATGAGGTTGAGGCGTCAGACGACGCTTCCTTTATAGCCAATCTTCGAGCCTTTCTGACCTCGGCGGACGTGAGGCGTTTTGACATCTCCGTGCGTATCTCATAACGAATATTGTATTTCTACACTCCTGCTGGATGTAGAAAATCTCACGATGATCCGCTGGTGACTTGTCTTCCCTTCTCGCTGTCGATCGTTGGTTATGGACCTTATAGTTTAGCACAAGTTGTACCGCAAATGCACCACCGTGCTGTCGGCCAATCTATCGGAGGCTCACCTGTCAGGTAGCTCAGGATGGTAACATCGACAGCCGCTCAGGAAGCTCTGTTGGGCGCCGGTACTCGAGGACTTCCGAGACAACCCCTGCGGGTGAGCGATCAGTATCTCCGACCGAGGGCTGAGACCCGGGTCAGCAAGCGTCAGTTGAGACCTTGAGAGGCTGGACAATCGCAACGCTGAAGTCACATGATCTCTATACGCTGTTGTTGGCTTGCTCTAGGGTGGTTGATCTTGCGAATTCTCGGCATCCAGCAGAGAATCTGGTCGTCTTGTCACCCGTATGGAATCTCAGTGATCACAGGATCATTGCGGCCTATACTGCCCTCTGGAGCGAAGAACATCATGCTTCTAGCCACGAGTGAAGCCCCGGTCCTCACAGAGTAATTGCGGCCTGTTCTTCTGATAGCGCCAGATTGCGCCATCGCTGAACAATGCACAGTCGCCGCTGGCATTGTTCTCCAAGATTTTTCCGAGATAAGAGTCTGCTTCGTTCGTGCAGGGTTGCCGGACCCACGAACCAGGTCTGCCCGTGAGGTCTTGATAGGATGCATAGAGCTTGCGTCTTAGTTTGCGACGTCACAGGAATGCTCAGGCTGTGGTTTTATCGGATCAGCTATTCGGCAGTGACGGATGCTTGAAGGATTTCGTCGCATGAAGGCGCCTTGGCTTGCAGCGGGCTAAGTAAGGTTGAGTGATTCCCTGTGCGTGGAGAAAGGCGCAATGAGGCTGATAAATGCTTGCAAGACCATTCGCTCTCCATCTATGTCGAAGATAGGAACAGGTGGAATGTAGCTCAAAGAAGCTTTCTACCTAGCTCCGGGGCAAGGTTTGCCGGATGATCTCCAGCTAAGAACGGTAGGTTGGATAGCGATCTCATACCAACTGGGAAAGCATAATGTGGAGCGTGCAGTAGTGCGGTGGCCTGAACATAAAAGCCTACCTTAAAGGGATCCGAAAGATAACGACCACAGCTCCGGCTCCACTGAGAAGCGTGATGGCTTGTGTGTTGCACATTTGCGCCATAGCCGCGGTATTGTACGTTCCTGTTCAATCTTTGCGATTGCCGCAGACGACGTCGATGGGGCTTCCATTAGGGCTGCTCGTTCATGTTCAGATTTCCCAGTGCAACATCGAAAAGCGGCTTGTGAGTACGCATCCTGTTTGCGGCAAATGATTTCGCGGAGGACGCCTTGGTCATCATGAGGGACGTTGACAACTGGAGTATGATCAGAACGCATTTCACTAGCCTTCAGACCTTTTCTCGGCGTATCGGTGAAGATACAGGACAATTGACGCGAGAACAAAGCCATGCAGATGCTCCACAAGGGTCTTGCATTCACCGCCAGTAGCCAAGACGTACCCAAGGGTCTCTGGTCTCCTATGCATGGTCGATCCGAAGTCAGTGAGCAACCCACTGCAACTTGACTGTTTCTACTCTTGTCTCACGGGCCGAGAATACTGCTAATCTCCCTGGGTGGTAGGCAGCAGATAAGTATTGGAGTGATAGTTGCGAGCGCACGACAATTTTCGTTCGATTTTCCACGGAGGCTGACTTGGCATTGATAACAGCAGTCCTGTGTACCTTGACGGCGTCCTCAGGGCGATGTATTGCTGTGCAGGATTCCAAGACTTGCATCTCCGGGGAGGAACATGTAGAAGTCTTCCATGGAACCGCAATAGCGCTGTCACATGCGAGTGCCGAGATTGCACTGCCTCTCTCCCCTCTTCAGTTGTAATCAAGGGTCCTCGCCATGATATGATCTGCTTCTTGATCTGCGTGATGCGGTCGACACATCTTCCTCGGCGGAGGCACAGACCCCAGCAGCTGCGCCGCGGGTTCCTGATAGCCACCTCGGTCAGATACCAAACACCAACACAGATGCAACAATATCCTGGATCCATAGTAACGGTATCTTTCGAAGCTCCTTAGGTGGTGGAATTGGCGGTCAGGGGTGCAGAACAGAATGATTTCGGCGCTTTTGACCCCCGAATGCGAATGAAGCATCCAAGAGATGACAATGTTTAACCGTTCGGGGAAAGAGGCTCGGTGGTACGCATCCCGTCGCATCGATGGAAACAAAAGGGTGTCGTTTGTAGACGCTCTTGCCTGGGCAAGAAGTGGTGGCAGTAGAGTGAAGCGCGACTTTGCTCCCGCGAGCGTTCTGTGCGGAGATAGTCGATCTTGACTCCATTGATAGGGTGTATGTCTTCGGTATGGATCGCGTTCTTTTCGAGCTTCGCTCCCCCCATGCTCGCCTGTGGCCTCAATATACTGTGCACTAGCTGGCGCCACCAAGCGATTGGTACCATTGCTCCATGCAGAATGTACCAGTATAACCAGCGTCGTCTCCAACTCATCTCGCATTTGGGAAGATCTGCAGCCGGAGTGTGTGGAGTCCTGTGGCTTGGAAATGAAGCCTCGCCCTCTTGGACATATGGCAGCGACCGAAAAGTGGTAAACCTGCCTCTCTCAATCGGCTGTCCAGCTTCCGCTCAGAACACAGATGTAATATGCAGATCTGGAGATATTTGTCGAGGTTGGTGACGTAGCGCCGGCGGTTGTCTTGTGCGGATGGGGAGCGGACCAGGCGTCCGCAGTTTTGCACTCTGTCGACGTCTCGGTGGCCTCGAATGGCCAGCGTGAAGACCTTGCCCGGCTGTTACAGAGTCGTGCCGTCTCGCTGTCGCGTGGATGAGTGGAAAGAGAGGAGGTCGGAGAAGTATCTGATTTTATCGACTCGACTTCGCGGAAATTTCTGCTGGCTCTACAGTGTCCCAGTCCGTCAGTGACTTGATCGAGCCGCTTTGATGGCTGGTCAGCGGCTCCCTGGACAAAGTGTTGCCGAAGCCATCTTGTGTGTCCTCGCATTGGATATCGCCATGGCCGCGTCGAAGTTGGGAAATATCAGGTTGATGTAGCTGAGTAGAAGGTGGGAGAAAGAACATAAAGTGCAGGATTGGCGGCGACAAAGAGGGCTTCACAAGTGAGTCCCTCTGTTTACTTTCACCAAAAAACCATGCGTCGCGTTAACGCGGTGCAAAGGTTGGATTCCGGTCGCAAAAATCAACCAGAAGTCTAATCAAATCTCTGACACGTTGGATCATTTCCAAAATAATCTCTCCGATTGGATACAGTATCGAAAGAAATGCAAAAAAAAAAACAGTTTGGTGTGATGATACCATCGGCCTAGATCAAGAAGAAGTTAGCAAGTGTTCTCCAAAGTGTGCCGTGGTGTAGGCAGTTTGCAGCTCTGAACTACCCACACCACCCAAGGCACGGGAGCAAAGTCTCGAATATTTAATATATAACTGAAGCAATGCTCCGCAGTCCCTCCGGAATAGCTTACTGAGGCAACAAAGCTGCACCAGACAACAAACCCTGTGATCACCGGAGCACTCAACGCGTATGTTCAAGAATAATCCTCTCTATATCACCTGCCCTTACCTTGGCTACTGCACATACTATTGCCACTTCTTTGAGTCTAAGCTAAGCCGCGTGCACGCCCTTACGGCGGGAAAGCCTTTTTCGACAACAGATGCAAAGTTGAACAAATGCAGCTTTTATTCCTCATGCTATTACTGGATTCCGAGGCATCAAAGGCATTCTCGTCCAGTGCAAAAGTGAAGTGGAGATCAAAGCATCTGCAGCATCGTATCATCTCTGTTCTGAACCACGACACCAATAGTAGACTTTCTTCCGCGGAAAATATTTCTTTCTTCTGTCTTTCATCTTCTCTCCTTCACTCCTTCACCACACCACAATGTCTTCCAACAGTATCGCCCTATTTCTGCCGGCCAGAAACGAAACATACCTTCTCAACCGCCGCGTACCGCATTTCGACAATGCATCTCAATTCCACCGACGGCATCCGTGGTAATTGGGAGGTCTGGGTGACCAACCGCAGCTCCACGATAGACTGGCGCAGCACCTACAGGGGCTCCGAAGAAGACTCCTCCACAGAAAGCAGTTCCATCAACAGCCTCAGCGATCACGGCCAAGCCTACACCCAAGAAAGCGCCTACCAAGAAGAAGAAGAAGAAGAAGAAGAAGAAGAAGAAGAAGAAGAAGAAGAAGGATAGCCTCGATCTCAATAATGGTAAACTCGAGAAGATATGGCTGAGAGGGAGGGGAACGAATCTTCAGGGCCCATCGCCTATGCCAGAGGCTAAGCCTGACGATGAGGATCCAGACAGCGATCACAATGTTATTTATGGAGATGGCAAGCCATATTTCAACTCAAAGTGCCTCGCATCAGAAAAGGACGGCATCTCAGACATGAACAGTGTTCTCACTTGAAGAGGCCCATCCCCTATCGTCGACCCGCAGACCTTCGTCGATGTCAATGGCAAGAGGTCCATGAGCGCAGTAAAGTGGTGCGGCACTTATACAGATAGAGAAAAAGATGGATATACGCGAGTGATCTATTTCCGGGGATGATGGCCCGAGACCGTTTTTACCCCGAGCTGGCTCTCGAGGGTTATAGCGAAGATGCCCAACTCTTTTCGCTGGAGGACAGCGCTTACCAGGCTTTCGAAACCTATACTGAGGGTCCGCAAGAAGGGTACCTCTCCGCCGCATGTGAGCAGAGGATTCTCGTCGCGTCGCGCGAGCTGTTCTGGATGTATGTACCCTTCATCCCCGTTTTTACACAAACTTCTGTGGTACAGACCGGTCTTCCAGCGCTATGGTTCGTTAAGAGCTGGCCGGGATCGAGCGAAGGAGATTATTGTCGAGCCTGCCATCTCTCGTCGACGTTCCGGCTTGCAGTCCGACAAAATGTTTGTCAAAGCAGCTGGGAAACACGCTCTGGTCGCGGTTCCAAAGCAACAACGCCCTAGATACGGTCAACAAAGTCCATACGAAGCTCAATCTATTGCTTGAAATAGCTGAAGAGAGGACTCAGAGCGTCGCTGTCATATAATACAAGAGAGAGAACACGAAGTTGCAGACCGAGATGCAGGAAGTGTCTGCAGACAGCGGGCAGTTACGTAAAGACAACGCTTCGTCTACTGCTTCGCTAGAGAGCTTCAGCCAATATGTCCTAGGAGGATAGGATCATCCGCTTGAGACAACAATGCTCGGATCTCTCTGCTAACGTTTAAAAGTCATGATCAGCGGCACAAGAAAGAGAAGGCCGAGTTGGAGACTGAGATGCAGAAACTGTCTTCGGACAACAGATTTTTCAGCACCAGGCGGTGTGGATTTTTGAAGCCAATTTCCCGGCGACCTTCTGGTTCAATCTCCGATAGCGGAATTGCAAAAGGTCAGTATGCCGCGCGATGTTACCTGAAAACATGTGCCTGAGGGCCAGCAAGAGGCGGGAGAGCATCAGCAGCAATGACCTAGGCTCCGTTGCACTGGAGCCTTTCGCAGATCGTCCTACCTCACAAGTATGCGCTGCTCTTGAGCTTGTACTTCTCTACCACGCGGCAATGTAGTGCGGTCATAGCTGGAAGCACAGCTGCATATTTATCCTTGATGTCCGACCAATCGAAGCGCTGTGCCATGAGAATCAAGCCATGTTACCACTTGTCCTGTTCAAGTGTGATTTTGAAGCTGCAGAATAAATCAACGTCACTCATAGACCAAATAACCAGGTATCCGCTCTTCTCCTCTCCCTCGAATCTGTTGAGAATGGCACATATTGTGGCCTTATCACGTTCAAATCTCCAGTGATGCATTGGAACACTTCTCAAAGATGGTTTGTGACTTGTTCCTTGCTGCGATGTTTTGGTGTGGCTGGAATCGTATGGTTTGTGAGCGAGCCAAGCGGGCTAGGGTCTGCAAACAAGTGGTCGATCCACCGCCACAAGAATGAATGCCGATGGGACATTAAAACTTGCCGCACTTGGTGACTTCTCTTGTGGTTGCTTTCAGAAAGACTTGTTAGGGTGGTCATATTTCTTGTATCTTGGCAAATTTGCATGTGATTCCAGTGGTGAGTGAAGTCGGCTGCTTCCGTTTGATTAGTAAGGCCATGCTCCAGATCACGTGCCGTCGCGAACTCCGCGATGGTCGAGCGATCGCGCTTCACGTCTCTCCTGCACTTCGACGCATCTGAAAGCACAACACTGGACCGCATCACGCCCAATCTGCATCACTTCTTCCTCTTCTCCTCGAGATGGTCGTCATTGCTTCGGGCGATCATGACCGGCCGAAGTCCCATCGTCCTTGAGTCCTCGCCACACTTCCGCGCCCCATCAATCACCCCGCCGAGCCATCGTGCCAGTTCGAGCGTTAACGATTCCTCCTCTCCCGGCCTGCTTTCCCCGTCTACGCTCTTTGGACCAGCTAGCACTGGTGTCAAGTCAGGATCCCGGGCGCAGCAAAGGCCGGAAGGTGCGTCTACGGCCTTCGCATCGGCGGAGGGGCTTCGGAAGGCGGAACAACTCGAAGCAGAACGCAAGACAAGAGAGAGACACAATGCGGACAACGCGAAGGGAGCAGATGTGGCAAAGGTTTCCAAAGATGGGGCAACTTCGAAGAAGAGCACGGCGACACTCGCGAAGCCGAAGGCAAGACAGGCAATTACAGACCTGACTGAGGGGAGTGTGCGACAGCAAAGCCCATTGCAAAGTCGTGCATACCAAGATTTGACTCTCAGAAAAGACTCAGCAGGCTCGTTGCCGAGGATTAGTCCTCTTGCTCAAGAGAACGACCACTCGGTGATGACCACGCTGAAGAAGCCAGCCGTTCCTTTGTCCGAGTACGATTTCGTTGCGGAAGACATGCCGCCTCCAGCGAAGCCAGCGGCTCATACAACGAAGCCAGATCGTAGACTGCGAGCGAAAACAAGTAAGCCAGACAGCGTCGCAAAGGTCAAGAAGCCGAGGAAGCCAGCTGTGAAGGCGACAGAGACTGTTGTCAAGCCACCTCCCAAGAAGCCAAGGAAGCGGTTTACCAAGTCGGAATCCATTATTCTGAACTCAGATGAGCCCGAAATGCTCGCCGAGTCCACTGTCGGACTCGGAGACGTCACGAAACGGTATAACGCGGCGGATATTGGCGCATTTGCGCATGTTGAAGGATCGACCAACTTGCACACAAACGATGTTGACGTTCAACGAGTAACCGCGCTTGAGTCTGGAGCACGTGAAAGTACATCGGAAAAGTCAACATATTTCGCTGATGACACCAACAACATTGGCAAGACATGCCTATCCGAAAACAACATCACAGCGAGATCGCAGTCTCACTCGGTGCTCTCCGCTACAAACTCTGCGAAATGCCACCCTCCACCGGTGGATTCGACGGAGAAGTCTAAAGCCTCTCCAAAAGCAGACCTTGCAGAGCAAAGCGACATGCCCGACAATGCCACCTTGACGAGCCCTGAGGAGCCACAACGTTGCCTGCTCTCTGTGCTGAGTGGCTTTGGCTACTCAGAGCAAAATGCCGTTGGAGTGATGTCGGAACGGACTGAGTCTGGCCAAGCGCTGACAAAGCGGCGACGGATCGAACTGGCGGACGCTGGGACTGTAGGGCCCGCAATGCGAAAAGCGGCAGAAGCTCCCGCTCCAGAGCCAGTCAAGAAAGCAAAAGCTGTGAAGAAGAAGCCGCAGACGATCACCGATCTGGCAACCAAAGCATATCGAGAGCCAGCTCAAGAAACCACTGAGCAGGACTCAGTTTCAGCATTCTTTGCCCCCCAGAAACAAGAGGCGAACACTGAGGCAGGAGTCACCAACGCTGCTGCGCCGAAGAAGCCAAAGAAACCTCGTAAGCCAAAGACCAAAAAAGCCGATGTGGAAGGATCTGCGAGGGCAAATGCGGGCGGGCAATCTGCCAAGCCCAAAAAGACGAAGGCGAAGAGCAACGACGCTGCGAGTATGGCCAAGCTTTATTCTCCGGGAGCAGCTCGTACAGTGGAGCGAAATCAAGACTTTCTCTTTGGCACGTCCAGCCAGCTGGCAGTCGAGGAGTCACCCACCTTCATTCGGGAAATGCAGATGGTGCTTCAAGAATCTGAGGTCTTAGCAGCTCTATCATCCAGCCCACAGCTCAAGAGCCGCATACGAATTTCAAGTGCTCCCGAAGGGACCAGTCTGTCGATTGGTCAAGCGTTCAGAGATCTGTGGTGCACTTCGGCGCGAGACCACGGAGGCGATACCTTGGATTCTTTAAGGCCCAACCGCGCTGCAACTCCATCTCTGATAACGGAAGGTGATGATCGGGAACGTCGTCTCTTGCCTAATTCTCCGGGCACGCTCAATACCACGAAGATGCATGGGGGAAATGAGGGCCTTGTCACGGTGGAGGATGCTCCTGTCGACACAGAAGTAGTACCTCTGCGAGCAGACGAGGCAGTTCCAAACGCTGGTCATCCGCCTTCAGACGACAGCTGGATGATGCTGAAAAGTGACAGCACAGTAGCCGACATTGCGAACGTCGCCGACACAGCAGTAGTGTCCAAACAAACACTGGTCGAACCATTGCCACTGCAGCCGCCATCAATGCAGAGAGCAGCCACGTCTCCCACGAGACTCAGGGCCGCACTTGAAGATCTTGATGCGAATGCTGGTTTGTTCGCACGCACGTCTCCTGTTAAGGGAATTAACTTCGGCCAACGAACTTACACGACAGACGTAAGAGCAGAGCAAGCAAAGCGGCCACGCGGACGACCACGGAAAGATGCAAGTGCTAGCAGAGCAGCCCCAGAATCTCCGAAACGAAGAGGGAGGCCTCCCAAGGTGGAGCGTATGGTTGCGGATTCTGCACCACTGTATTCACGAATTGTGTCGTCCAAGACAGGACTGTCGGCTTCTCAACCCACGACGAGCTCCGGCTTTGTAAACATCGATGAAATTTCTGACTCCGATTCACCAGCTACTCCATCCCCTCCCCGCCGCCGAGCAACGTCCTCGCCCCCGGCTGTGCAGCCTCTCACGCTCGGCGTTGTTCAGTCGCCATCCGTCAAGGCCAAAGCACCAGCTGCCGTTACTTCGACGCTGAAACCTGGCGATGCGGATTGGCCTACAATACAAGACAAACTGTTTCCACGGATTACCCAGGTCGTGACATCAGTACCTCGGAGCGACGACATGGACAATCCCACCTGGCACGAGAAGATCCTGCTTTATGATCCTATTGTACTGGAAGATTTGACTGCTTGGCTCAACGAGCAGGACATTCGAATCGAGATACAGAGATTAAAACCCAAAGCCAAGACTAAGGGCCGGAAAAAGAAGGGCGAGGAGGTTGAGGAACCTGAGTATGAGACAGTCAGGAAAGAGTTGGAGCCATGCATGGTACAGAAGTGGTGCGAGGATAAGAGCATTTGCTGCCTTTGGAAGGAAGGACTACGTGGTGGTGTCAGGACCCGGTATTGAGTGCTGGTATGGCGGCAGAACTACTTGACGGTAGGATGGTACGAATGATTATATGACTGCGACTTCTCTCCTTAGCATAGAATTAAAATTGGCCTAAACAGATGGTGAACACTTGTAGCAGTCGTTGCCGCAGTGACGTGCAGTGCAGTGTAGACTTATGTCAGCACGTGCCTAAGGCAATTAGCCGAGTGTTCTTCAGTTAAGCAAACTAGATCACTCACGGATCCCTCACCACATCACACTCGAGACATAGCTTCACCAGTTTGAATCCACCAACATGTCTCGCAACGGCTTTCCTGTCTCCACCATCGGTATAGCTATATAATCCTTGTCTTTGGCTTGGCGGATCACATGCTAACACGTGCTGTTGCTAGACATCACCCACATGCCACAATGGCAAATCGAGTCACTTATCCGCAATCTGGTATCCGAGAATCACATGCTTGAGGTCGAGAAGCAAAAGCTTCAAAGTGAAAAGGACGAGCTGGAGAACAAGGCCGAGAACGACTACTGGCTCAATTGCGCGAACGCAGAGCTCGCCGCCGAGCGCGACGATGCAATTGAGTGCAGTGAAAATCATCGCCTAGAGGCCAAGCGCGTACGTCACATGGCCATGAGACAGGCAAAGACACGTGATGAGTCTGACATGTGACATTAGATCTCGAAGAATGCTATAATGCGCGGAAAGACCTACCAGAGCGAGGCCGAGCAACTGCGCAATCAGAAGGACGCATTGGTGAAGGCAGCGGACAAGGTAGCACAAGCTGCCTCACACGTGGACTTGCCCCCTGCTTTGGGCAGTGCCGTGCGCGAACTGAAGAGCGAGGCAGACAGGGCTAGAAACTAGATACCCGGCACATGCCAATACGCTTGGGGCAAGTGGCCCATGATAGCTTTCCATGTGATCGGAAAATCACATGAGAAACTCTTTCCTTCAGCTTCCTATTGCTTCTGATACACTATCAATCTGCATCGACTCTGACCACCACAGAAATTTCAAACGCCGCCGATCGACTCCGGAGTCCCGCATTCTTCACTCCCTCGCTGGCCTTCTGCACTGTCTACGCTCGCGTCTGGAAGCGGATCCTTAGCAACGGCATCCCTTGCGCGTTTCGACTTCGTTTGGGGCCCATAGTCGCTGTCAGTGTCGTCGGAGATATCGACCTTGCGCTTCTTGGCTCGGCGTTCCTTTGGCGGCGCAATTGCAGCACTGCAAGATCCGTTCTCGCCCAGTTTACCGCCGGCATCCGCGATCTTCTTCAATGCTCGATTCGTGAGCACTCTGAAGCTAGCGACGCTGGTGCTCCCGTAGTCGCGGCTTGCTTGTTGCCAGTCAATGGCAGAGTGATTGCTGAAGAGATAAAGACACAGGAAGCGGTCTTTGTCCATTTCGTTCAGGACGGACTTGGCGACTGAGTAACTGTAGGCTGGCATGGCTGTTGCTGAAAGGCCTATCAGAATTTGTCAAGATAGGAAATTTTGTGCGAAGGGTGGAATCGACGGGTGTCAGATGGTGAGAGAAAACTTGATAAATATGTCCTGATCTCGCCGGAAAAATCGGATGACAACACACAGCTTGTTCCCTGAGACGACGTCTTCTCAGAGATAGATAGCATCTTATGGGTAGCTAGCCAGCCTGCACAGAGTTTGGAGCGAGACGACGTTTCTGCAGAGAGTTGACTGGGTGGGTCATACCGTATAGGTACCTCCCGAGGTTGGAGAACTTAAAATTATTCCCCATCGGCGTGGGATGCATCCTTGTCGAAGTATAACTTCCGTCTGTGGCATGACGTGCAGTCTCCTGACCTTGAAGACGACGTGTCTCCCGACATGTGCCCTACAACATTCTATTGAGACATCGAAGAGCAAGAGCCCGGTGTGAAGAAGAGAAAGAATCAGCAAGGATGCCACAGTACATGAGCTTCAGACCACTCGACAAATTATAGCATTACTGGCATTCTGATCCTAAGCAGTCAAAAACTCCTCGCTTTCGGTTAGCTTAGGCAGTAACAGCGACAGGTGCTGGCTAAGTGATAATTGTCACTTCGTCTTCTGCCAGATTCGGCGGGGTCGGCACCGTCAGATCGACCTGATCTTCCTCTACCGCGGATTCAAAGCCCTCATCTCCATCTTCAGAGGTCTCATCGATGACAATAACGGGCCTTTCGGACTTGGCACGTCGAGGCTGCATCACTCGCACAGGACTCTCTGGAAATCCTGAAGAGCGGCCCCGATACTCGTCGCTGGCCTCACTTTTGACAGAAGCGTCATCGTCGGAGTCTTCATCTGCGCTCATGTTGCCATGCTTACGCTTGCCTTGCGGTGGGGTTCCGAGAACGCTGCGACCAAACGTTGGAGAACGTCCCCCGGTGCTCGGAGGAGGCGTGTTTGGGGTTTCTCTGGTGTCCCCTTCCTTCTTGATCGGTGACAGAGGCAGCTCGGTATCATCTCTACCATTGGCCGGTGGCGATATGAATTTTGTCCTCTTGCCTGGTGATCTCTTGAGAGCGTTTGGCTGAGTCGAGCGCTTGTTACGGACACCAGACGCCTTGCTTGGAGACATCCCTAGGGACTTCTTGAGTTTGAAGATATGCTCTGTGATGCCTCTCTTAGTGGGCTGGTCACTGCCGTCGCTCCCTAAGCACTGTCAGTCGATTCCCAAAATGAGGAGCAGATCTGCCGTACCGTATTCCTCCTGCCACTTTGCGGCTATAGCTGCAGCATCGAGCTTTACTATGGACAGAATGACCAAGAGAAGTCTCTGGTCCATAGTGGCCGTCCATGAGACACCCATGATTGCAACACGACTTCTGAGGAGCGCCGAGTTTGGCTTTCGACTTTGAATTAGAGGGCTGAGGATACTGCAGGCCAGCGCGCTTTTCAACGTTAGGTTGGGAAAGACGGTATATCCTCACAGCTAGAAGGTCAACAGGATACAAGGCATCGATGGTCCGATCTAGAGGTACTGCGTGGGATGTAGAAGTCGACCCAGCCCGGAGATGTTCGCGAAGTACTTGTCGCTCTTCACATTTTGCTCTTCGCTGGTCTCGGCGTCCACCAGGGAGATCTTCTCGCACATGGATACATTCGACGGTATGTTTTCGCCTCGACCTGCTGTAGAAAGAAGTGCCGTAGACCCCTAGGATCTCCATAGGAGGATATCGTTGTCCACTCACATGCACGCTCTTCTGCTTTGAGCTTTCTTCTCTGCTATAGCATTCGAGGGTGTTTGGATCAAGGCTTGCGATATGTGGCGAAGTCTAAAAGGCAATAAAGTTAAGTTAATACACCCTGATCTTTTCTTCGGAGTATATTCCTTCCGCGAGACTTCACGGTATCTCACAATCTGCAACTGGATTCACGACTGTTCTTTCCGGCATCTAGATTGATAGAATTGTCCGTAGACAGTCAGGCCAATGTGGTTTGTTTCATACATTGCCTTCTACATTCCCGTATGCGTAAAGGCACTCTCGTTAAGACCGTAAATCTTGGCCTTTGTACAACTGCGCCGGATCAACAACTTGAAGTGACTGATGAACTTCGATCAATCTGTTCTCCTCCGAAGATCCACTTTGCTGCACTTGGAGCTGAGCAGCCACCGCTCTGGAATCTTGCAACTCGTCCCAAATCTCTTGCACGACGCTTGGTCGTCGAAGAGTATGATTACGCCTTCTTTTCGGTCGTTTGGCGAGCGGTCGTTTCTCTTGTTTCGCCTGCTCGATCAGGCTCTTAGCTTCTGGCTTCAGAGCTCTTAAACGCTGCTCCACTACGTGGTATCGCTCGTTCATGAAGCGACCGATTCTCTCAACGTTCGGCTAATCCGACATTTAAGCCTGCGTCGTTATAGAAAGGGGCCATCTGAGCTTACCGATTCGCCGTCTTCGTAAAAGCAAGCCAAGATTCCCACGAGCATCTTCTTAAACTCCACAGCTGACAACTTTTTGCCTCGATGGCTCTTCTTCTCCATTTCCGGATTTCTCTGGCAGAAGTGAAGCAGTCTGACAGCCACCATCGTGCTCACGGTCTTATGGTATCATATATGCATTCGTTTGAGGCCGTCTTGTGTCGTGAAGTAAGCATAGGCGAAGTAGAAACTCAAGATAAAGAAAGCAAGGGGAGCTTTTGCGCTATGAAACTTACGAGGCGTGCTATAGGTACATCCTTCGCGTTCATAGTGCGGCATAATAATCAAAAGAGTCCATAGCATTGTTTTAAGGTCTCGTGAGCCTGTGTAGCATGGAGACGGGAGTGAGGGAGTGGTCTGATCCCAGCCCGGCTCACCATTCCGGTGGCGTGATCTGATCAATTCCCATGCCCAAGAACCCGACTTCACTCTTCTGACCAGTGGTTGTTCTCACTCACCTTCCAAACAAGACCAGACAACCCACCAGGTTCGAGCATGTCATATGCGAAGTGTAGACTTTTGACGAAAAGCTGGGTCATCGCTCCACTCCTGGTGTATCACCGCAACCCCGGCTTCACTGACGAAGACGAGCATCACGTACTCCTGCAGCGACTCTGGATGCCGTTTCGCGCGACTGGCCGTGAAGTGTACAAAGCAAGAGCTGAGATCCCATGAACGCCTTGAGGATGTTCGAGCTATACGACGTGGCATGCAAAATCGATAAGTTCAGGGTGTGCGGTCTCATCAGGATCACTGCTACTTTCTAGAAAGAGCTTTGACAGAGGACAGAGTGGCCAGTCATATCGATCTCGTACACTTCTCGATCACAGATCGGTCTTGGGGGATGCCCATCCAGCATGGCCCTCCAATTATCGTTACGGAGAAATGGTCGCCCATAGACCGTGGTGGCAGAACGCACCCGAATTATGGTCTAGGTGTTTGGCTGTTGATTCTCAGAGTCTCAGCACCCTTGCACTCAGCGCTCTGCAACAGGGAGTGCCAATCAGCGCCAATGAACGTAGAAAGATTATCGATGGTCTTAGCTTCCACCGGAAGCAGCGCCGTTTCGATGTCTTTCGCACATCTAAGGGCAATCTCGTGAGATACAACAATCCCCAGCGGAGCTGATTTGGCATCCAAAAGTACGTCTTCCAAAGATTCTTGCAGCGTTCAAATCTCACGGCTATCTTAGATGGGCAGCGATCTCGAATTCACTGCACGCGAGCGCGAGATTATGGCTGTTGCATGGCACTGCTTCGAAGGCGAACCGAAGATGAACTACCAGAAGCTCGCCGAGCTTATGGAGATGACCAATGTCGGCTCGGCGTACAACGCTTGGAACAGGATCCGTCATAAATTGATTGGCAAAGATATTGGTTCGCAGTCTTCGGGCAAGAAACGCAAGGCGGCCGGTGCGAGCAAACGTACGTCTACCAAAAGGATCAAGGTCGAGAAATCGTACTCGCAGTCAAAGGAGGATAAAGCCTTGCAAAGCGATCAAGACGTCTTCAAAGAAGAGGAGGAAGCCGCTGCAACGGTTGCAAAGGTCGAGAGCGAGTGAGAAGTGGTCGCTGTCCGCAATTGTGTGCTTTACAACCACATGTTATCGAAAGCATGGAGATCATCGACATAATGCTCGACTTTTTGCAACATGTACCTCATGATCACGGCTTGAAGATCGTGTATCTCTGTCCTCTCGGCGTCCTTCGTATGTAGACAACGTTGTCGAAATCACACGGATCTGTCATGTGATCGCAACTCGTCTCGAGTGGAAATGCATCAAAGCAGAGACCAATCTGCGAGGTAAGGTTTGCGGAATCGTTGGTCCGAAGGCATGGATCACCCTTCCAGTCAATCGATCTCGGATGCATAACTAAGAAGAGCGGCAGTCAACGGCAATGACCCTGGCCGTGTCTGAGGAGAGTTGCGATAAGTCAAAGGTCCCTATTCCTCTGGACAAACCGAATATCGCAGTCCCGGAAACCCCAACTATGGCGCTTGGGAGCTCTTCGCAGTAGCTTCTGCATGATGCAGCCTTCATTGTCGGGGCAAGGGCAGTTGAATAGCTAGGTGCCTCTCCGAAGAAGGACGCCTTGCTCTTGCTCCCTGCTGGTGCCGAAAGTCTTTTCTGCAAGCTCGACTTCACATCCAGACAGTCATGATGCCCCAGGAGAGCGACTTATAAATCGCTCTCTTGTATGAGCAAGATCATCGTCCGCATCCCTTTGCATCATCATGGCACCACCATACCGTTTGGAGCCAGACTTCGATTGTCTTGTCGATGAGGCGGACTTGTCTTTGAATGCGCCAACTCCTAAGGATGGGGATCATGTCCCAAGTGAATACATCAATCAGACTCCTCCACTTTCTCCATGTGACCAGCTCCGATCATCCCCCGTTGATTCTGCGAGCGAAATTTCAATGACAACTGACTCGTCGTATCCCTCTTCCGACGGAGCAGCCTCCACGACGGAAGAGTCGCCACGATCACTGTCGGAATCTGCCGTCAATTGGCCCTACGTCCCACTCCCGGCAATTTCATGTGCAGTTCCAATCCACTTCTCAGAGATCGGAGCAAAGGGCAAAGGGAAGGAATCACTCCCAGATCGTAAGGCATATTACTCTCCAATCATGCATGTTGACTAACTGCTGCAGCCAACTCGAAGCCCTACCGGGGTTTGTCCACGGAATTGCGCCTGATGATATGGCGAGATTTCCTGGTGGCAAAAGAAGCTGTGAATGTAAATGGAAAGTTCTGGAGGTCAGCTACAGAACTGACCGCAGTCTTCAGTCTGTGCAAAGAAGTTTACAGAGAGGTGCGTGCATCCCGCGCGAAGTTCAGAATACTTGCCTCACACTCTGCAGGCCACCGATGTCTTCTTCCATGACAACTGCTTTCGAATTGACAACCGGCACGCAATACGCAAGTTCATGTGTTGTATCCCTGGCCGAGCGAAAAGGGCACCTAGGAGAATTGAGATGGTACTCGGTAATACGACTCCATCACAAGCAGGTCGTTCATACACCATGGCCAAAATGCGGGATCGAGGAACCGTCGATGCCTTCATCAGACATATCCGACCTCTCACCAATCTCATGTCCTGCATCATAATATGGCCGGACTCTGATGATTGGTTCTGGGACAAGAACTTTGTGGTGAGTGCGGAGGCTTCCATCCTTTCGAGACCACCATGCTCACACAGAAGTAGTTCAAAGGCTATCTGGGAATATTCGCGCTCTTCATAGAACTGCGACAGTTGCCTGAGAGATGCAGTGTAGAGGTCCCCAAGGCTTCCGAGGAGGTGCAACGCACGTTTCGTACGATCCGGAAGTGGCCAAAGGGAATTCCAGCAACGACGGGCGATCTCGATCACTTGTTTCGAGCTCTTCAGCCCAGCTCCCATCCATCGGGCGCTGATCCCAGTCCTTGTCAGATCGACGCTGCAGCGGATATGTGGTGAAGAAGGACGAGTGCAAGGTCCAGGGCTTTTCTCGGGGCATGATCGTTGTCCTGCAATTCTTCGCACGTCCAAATTGGATTTTTAATGCATTCTCCAATCAGGAAACATCTCCAGCGCACCGAAGGTCTTGATTCCGAGCTTCGCGTATCCTTTGATGGGTATATAGGATCAGACGATTTCTTTTGCTTCTGACCTATTCTTCCGCTTCCTTCTTCAGTCACTATTGCCACATCGATCCAATCGTCCAGTCAACATGCCTTCTTACAGCTTCGAAGTTGCCAAAGCCGTGCTGAATGACACCGACAAGAACCGCATACTCTGCATCTACCTGAGCAGCAATCAAACGGCAATCAACTGGCAAAAAGCCACCAACGACTTTGGATCCGCTAGTGTCGAGAGCTTCATAAAGATGAATGTCAAGATGCTCAAGAAGATCGAAAATGCGGGTGGCTTGGAATCCGGCGAAAACATGGCTCCGCCTCCAGCCAAAGCCAAGAAATCACGAGGGAAGTTGTCGAAAGATTGCAGCGATAGTGATGCGGACGAATCGCCACCTGAAAAGCCTAGGCGCAAGGCTGCAAGGAGAAGTTGCGTTGTTCCTTACGAGACTCCAGAAAGCGACAATACAGACGATATGCTGATCGCCGAGGGAGCCGTGTCTGAGGGAGAAGTGGACGTCGTCGAGCTGTTGTGATTCTGTGTCCCCCGGGGCATGAGATGGAATGCTAATCAGCTTGCTTGAGCTGAAACAGAATGTAACGAGATCGAGTAGGCTGGGAATTCCAAGGCGTTCGGAGGTAGTTCGTAGTCTTCGTAATGACAATTAAACCAACCCTTGCTCGGTCTCTCCTCGCTTTCCGTGAACCTCCCACCTACAACTATAAGGGTTCAAACTGTGGCATCGATTCGTTGCAATGGTGAAAGTCGTCATGGCCAGAGTAGTCTCTCTTCCCAATGGTGGCTGAATGTCTCCCTGCCTTGTCTTGGGCATATCAGGCGCCGGATATCTCCAGCGGCGTGTCTCAGAGCCGTGAATGTAAGCTTGAACTCAGGTGTGAGGTTCACGGCACCTCACGGCACCTGAAGCCCTTCAATATGCAGCTCCGGGATCATTGGTATACTTCGCTAGGTACGTCGATCAGCTGCGGGCTTAATCGCTGCATGTGCTTGAACGGTTGATCCTTGCTCAGGCTTATCAGAGCAGAAGATGCCCGAGAGTATATCCGGGGTAGTTGCACAAAGTCCTGGGATGTACATCACTTCAATGCCGTCAGACATTGTCCGATCGTGGTATATCCTTCTGAGCTCCATACCCAGACTCCTTCATCCTCCAAGGCTTATCTTCGTCTTCTCGAAGCCACAGGACTCACTACCAGCGGAGAACATGAAGACCGACCATCAGATCATCAGGTCTGTCCTGAGCGAGGATGACATGGAACGAATCTTGTGTCTCTGGATAACAGTCGACGAGTCTCAATGGAATACAGAAAAAGCAGCCAGACTTCTCGGCTCTCCTTCCGAGACCTTTCTGGAATCGATCAGAAACATGTATGGCAAGATCAGAGCTGCTTATGCCAAGGAGTCGAAGGTCTATGTCGACCACATAGCTCGTATGAGCTTCCATCTAGACCATCTTGAATTCAAGCGAGGAGGTTTTGCCAATTCGCGCCTCGAGTATTCCCTTGAAGGCCGCAGCGGGATGCACGCCGCCGAGACTGCGAATGAACAAGTCAAGAACACCGAAGGGCAATTGGTGATGAGAGACGACGATGCTGAATCGAGCAACAGAAAGCGCAAATCCGCGCAGTCGGCCATGGAAGAATGTGTTGAGAAAAGCAGCTTCAAGCGTTCCAGAAGATTGATAGCGACGAGCAACGTATCGATGTGAGCGTTCACATCGTGTTGAGGAGTGAAGGCGGTAACCACATGGATGTGTGTAGGAATTTCGCCCGTGGCCATACGATTTTCGCCATACACTGTCAGTTCCAGTCGGTAACGTTGTTTATTTGATTGTTCCTTCTCCAAGACTTCCACAACAGTTCCATTCCAGAGCAGCCATAGTAAATTTATTGCATTGCCTGAATGTCCTGGGCCCTGAACATACATTCAAAGACAAGGAAGTGTAGATCGAGGCCGGCTGTCCGTGAGGGTTTTAGGTCAACGAGGGGAGTCTCTGCCATATCGTCCGGCCACTCAGAAGCCAGATGACTTGACTGGAAGTGGGATGCACGGCTCCATAAAGCCTGAGTGGTCCCAGCTTATCAATAACTTGTCTCCATCTTCGCATCAGCCATATGCACAAAAGTCCTCTCCTCTGAGAAGCAACTTTCGAGTTCAGACTAGCAACGTCAAAGATGCCGCCAGCCACCTTCGCAACGGCGAAATCAGTCCTCAATGACGCCGATATTTCCCGCATCTTATGCGTTTACTTCCATACTGCACCATCTTCTGTCGATTGGGACAAGGCAGCACAAGAATTCGGGGCGCCCACTGTTGAATCCTTTCGACATGCCATGCGCAGAATGATGAAGAGGATCGATGATGCCAGCCAGACAGAGTTCTCCGCAGACGCCGGCGAAGGTTCCTCGTCACCAGGCTCCAATGCGTCCAACACTGGCAAGAAACGCACGGAGAGCGATGACGAGGAGGAAGCTCCAGCACCAAAGGCAAAGCGTGGTCGCAAGGCGGCGAAGAAGGCTGCTCGCAAATGAGTGTCAGGGGGAGTCGAGGGGCGTGGACATAAGTCGGTTTACCGAATACGATATTCTGCAGTTGCAGACTTCTGTCGTACGAATGGAAAAGCGTGATTTTTCTTTCTTGCCTTCTTCATCAATCATGTTCGAATAGAACTGACAACGGCTTCTTCTGCCGATTGCGCAGCGAAGTGAGAGATCGGCTCCAGGATTATTCAGACTTCGCATGCGAGCATAATTGACTTTTCTGGCTCAAACAAGCCAATCCCTGAGCTCTCGCCGAGACCCTCGAGTTAAGTGAGATAACCGCACCTCCTCTCCTTCCCATCCCTTCACATTCTCACACTCTTCCGCCCCCTCACGCTTGACGACCAACAGAATGTCCAGCAAATACGACACCGTCATGTCGCTCCTCTCCGAAGCCGAGAAGAAACGTATCTTCTGCGTCTGGATGAACAGCGAAGCAATCAATATCAACTGGGACAAAGTGGTTGCAGACTATGGTAGCGGAAATGTCGAAACTTTCAGGAAGAGGAACCGGGAGACATTTTTGAAGGTCCAGAATGTTCGTGCATACAAGGATGGAGGTGGAAAATTGACGCCATCTCCTTCTCCAGATGCAGCTGTTGGGAAGCCTCAGAAGCGTAAAGAGTGTGCTGGAAAAGCGAGGATCTGCAAGGCAAAGCGGGTTCGAAAGTCGAAGAGCGCGAAGGCAGAGAAGGCCGATTCGGAGGGCAGTTCGTTGGGCGATCTTGGTCTGAAGGACGAATGAGCAAGCGAGGTGTTGCCCACACTTGTTGTTGTCTGGCAGAAATGCGGTTAGACCTCATGATGGTCCCATGCGCGAGAGATGTATGTTGTCCGTTCGTGTCGAGCGCAACGATGCGATAGCCTTATCGTCCATGCGCTTGTCACCAATTCATTCATCCGATCGAAATGTGTAACATCAGTTCTCGAGCTCTTCTCCATCTTACGGCAATACTCCATGGTAATGTCAAGTCGTTGTCTAGCACATCTTAACCACCGCGCCATATGGATGAACTCCAAGCTCGAGAACTTCGCCGGCGAGAGTAGAGCCAGTTCAACTGCCGAGTACAGGTGCCAGGCCCAAAAGACAGTAAAGGAGACCGAGTCGGCCTCGTAAACACCTGTTCATGCAACATTGAGAGCTGCATCTGTCTCTACCTTGGGTATCTGTCGCAATTCTGTGATCCTTACGCCGACGCTACGAAGCCCAAGCATCCGCCAACGCCATCGCTAATCCTTAAATTCAAAACAAGAGGACCCGCGCATTCAACGTTCCAGCCATTTCGAAAAGTACACACACTCCGCAGGGTTGACCGGACTATCCTCATGACAAAGATCGAATACCGGGCAACGACCACAGGGTGCCTGCGTGAGCCCGTTCCCAGCATGCTCTTCGTACTCATCATACATCGCTCCTGGAGGCTTGAAAGTCACACCACGCACTGTCCTGTAGCCCCATGAGCCTTCGCTATTGGGCACCTTCTCGAGTTTGTCGTCCCAGACCAAGACGTCCAGCAGACCCTTAATCTCCTGGGCGGTCAATGTAGAGCCCTTCGTGGCTTTGATGGCATCGGAAGTGATGACAAACTCGTGGATGTCCTCGGCTGTGGGATATTTGTGCGAGCCAGCACGGAAGATGAGCTGCGTGAAGTCTGTCTCGGGATCGAACTTGAGTGAGCGCCGCTTGGTACCCAAAGGCAGCTCCTCGATGTCGGTCGCACGCTTGCGCTTCTTATTCGCAGAGTCTGCATCCTCTGCCACAAGAATTGGTGAATCTGGACCTCGGCGACGTGACGTCTTCTTGCCATCCGCCCAGCTCTGCTGACGGACCCAGAAAACGATGAGATTCATCAGCTCATCCCGGAAGCTCTCATCCAGGTCTCCGGCGTCGAAGAAGCTATTACCCGTAACATCCTCGCTCGGCACCAAGTGATACAGCATGTAGGTCTTCTGAAGCGGGTTCTTTACGCTCTTTATACTCTTGATGAGCATGCTCTTCTCCATCTTTGCCAGCGCCTTCGTGACCGCATTCGGAGTAATGTTTGTCTTTTGCTTCACAAACCTCGCCCATGTTCCCTGAGTGTGCGACTCTTCGATGACTTCGTATATGAGCTTCTCATCGCGATCGAGGGCAGAAATCTGCCGGGCGGCTTCGCGAGGTCTGGCGCTCCATACCAGCTTCTTCTCTACCCTCAATGTGCGGAATAGGTTCTCGTTGGTGAGGTACTGTACGAGTGCCATGAGCTCCTTTGGACTTTCGAGGCCAGCATGTGCCATGAGCTGCTCTTGTCCGAAAGTCTTGCTGCGCGCGCCGCTTTGCTCGTCCCGAGAGGCATTCGCAACGGTAACGTACAGCTTGTCGGCGGCCACCGCAAGCTGCTTCTTCTCGGACTTTTCCGCCTTTTCTGCCATGTTGAGAGTGTTTTCGGCTGGCGCAGGAGGCTCGTTGCTATCGGTAGGGCATGTGATGTGTTTGGAAAAAGGAAGAATGGAGGTGCAAATGGTGTTCCTCGCGGTAGGGATTGTGGTATATTCGTTCTTCAAAGAATGAAGTCGGTGGATGAGTCGGAAGAAGCTTTTCGCGGCGACGGCTCACCCCGCCAATCCAAGAGCCGAGACAGGGTCTGTGCGGCTGAACTCTATTTGTTCGCGGCATCAAGGACCTCCACTGCTTTACATCTCCAATCTACGCCTATTCGAAGATATCCATGTTTTCGTACTGTTGCTCGCCGTCGCCAATGTCGCGAATATCAGCCGAGCGCACTCAGGCTTCAACGAGTATCCAGTATGCACTTGGTCATACGAGATCGCTGCGGCGTAATGCTGCGTCGGCTACATGACCAGAATATCAGGGTCTTGCAAAGACTTTTCCAACTCTCAGATGCCGGAATCTCACATCCTGCGCTTCCCTCTGACCTCTTGGGCATCCAATCCCAACAAGACCAAACAGACCAAAGTCCGCGAAGCAGCATCGGCATGCAGAGCCCCCAATTTCCGGCATCCTTCTCCTTTCCCCCGCATGCAGACCCAACAAACTCCTCTTCCCTCCCATTCGCCCAAGAAGATCGAAGACCAGGGAAATGGGTTCGGGCCGTACGGCTCGGTGCATCCCTCTAAGCTCGTTGCGGTAGGGGTACTGTATTCGCTACCTCAAAAGGAAGACCCCGTTGGGGTGGCACTCGAAGCGAACGTTGCACGAAGATCCACCTGCGAAGGAGGCAGCACACAGCGGGTCGCGATTTCCATGTCCATGTTCCAATCTCTTCGACTTCACCTTCACCACTTCCATCTCCTTCTCCTTCTCTTATGTGTGTATACTGCGCTTCACTCCTTTGCGCATCGCACGAGTCATTCTCTAATTGTCACTCGTTTCATAACGGAGTTTCAGAAGATCGAAGCGGGAAAGAGCATTGACGATAATAATTCCGCATTCCTGAGCCCGCCAACCACGCAGAATTCACCTGCCAGCCTGCCTACCTGTTTCGCCGACGCGCAGCAAACAGCAACACCGAGAGAATCGCACACGCACCTCGTCTGCACTGCCGAGGAGAAATACTATCACCGCTCAAGCTCTCCGGCTCTAAGAAATCCATACCTCCTCCACGAGAATGGCAACCGTCCGCGATCCCGCTTTCTGGAAACGCTTCTCAACAGCCGTCCACCTCGACGAAGAACATGCCCATCAGGATCCAAAACACACGTACAGACTCCCCTCAATCCTCCACATTCTTCTCCTCCGTACTAACCTGCTAGAACAGCGATTCCTGGCTCGCCCGCCAGAACGCAAAGAAATCCCGCCGGACCTGGATCTGCTGGACTTTCTGGCTCTGCTTGCTCGGCTTGATCGCGGCCATCGTGACGGTCGTCATTTGGTTGCTGAGTACTGGCAAGTTGAAGGGTGCGCCGAGTTGAAAGGAGGAGGAGGTGGAAGAAGCACAGGCTATTGGGGGGGGGGCATGGACACGGACATGAACAAAACTTGCAAAATGATACATAGATGCATTGCACGGCTGCACAGGACGCATGGGACTACCGTCCGCAGCAGGCATGGTACACAGATGTGGTAATGTGTAGATTAGACCCATGATATGATGATGAGGACAAGAAAACAATTACCAAATGAATAGTTTTGCTCCCTCTGCATTTCTTCGCTGCTTTCTCGCTATGGCTGGCGCGTGGTCCAGCTGTTGACTGCATGTCCGTGGCCTCTGCTCGTTCCAAACCCATCTTCATCCCCTGTCAGTGCGCTCCTTCATCAAGAATCTTCTCCTTCGCCATGTGTGCTCACACGCAACGCACTCACCCTATCAACAACCGCGAGCTCAGTGCCCAGCTCGAAATGCAAGTATGGGGAAGATGCAGCTATCTCCCGATGTCTCCCACTTGATCGGCTTCTCCGAGTTCTGCTTCTCGGTTTCCTCAATGCTGTTCCTCAAGCCGCCGACCGAACAGTCTTCCTCCACTGGAGTGTCCATCTCAGTTAGGTGTTCCTGCTTGTCCCGTGATGGCTACCGCTGAACTGGTCTGTAGCAAACCTAGCGATCCTGGCGTTCCTAGTACCTGGGATTTGCAGGCTCAGGGCTGGCACTGCCCGACATGCTGCGCTCATCACGGCCTCGCTCGCGCAACCACTTCTTCGTGGACAGCTCCAGCTCCCTCTCGAGCGACGCGGTCGGCTCCTTGCGGTGGATGAAGTTGCAGAAGCCTCCTCTCACGCAACCCTCGCCGCTATTCAGCCTGCAACAGGCCTCTCTGAAGTCCGTGACGGGGCTGAGCTCGCAGTAGATCGGCCGCCCAGCGTACCAGCGGCTGTTGAGCGCATCGCAGGCCTTCTGCGCGGAGTCCTCGTACTTGAAGCGCGCGTAGACGTTGCCGATCAAGTGATCATTGTTGTTGTCACAGACGACCACCTCTTCGATCTCGCCGTATTTGCACATCTCGCACCAGAAGTCCTCGTAGAAGTTGTCGAAGTGGTTTTGCATCTGCGCAGGCGTCATGCGTGTCTTGTTGTCGTAGGCTGGATTCTGGTAGAGATTGGGAAGGAGTACCGTTTGCGAGTACGAGGGTTTGACGTGCTTGCGCGAGCAGCGGTCGCCATGGCGGCACGCGCCAATCTTGTAGTAGAAGGAGCAGTTGACCTTGTCTTGCTCAGTTCCGAAGATGGAGGCGAGGTAGTTGGCCATGTTGGGTGACGGTATGGGTGGGAGGTATGAAAATTGGGGGTAGGGATTCGAGTGATATTCGTCGTGTTCGCGCGCGTAAAGGCTCTTTCTCTATTGGTGGTGAAGCTGGCGAAGTCGAAGTCGAAGTTCAAGTCGCAATTGGAAGCAAGGATGCGGCGAGTAGAGTTTCGGTAGCTCCGGCAGCTTGGTCAGCATGCTGTGGTCCAAGCTTCCATCGCTTTCCACTTCACTCCACCAGATCATCTCCTCGAACGAACTCGCCAAAATCGCTCTTTCTACCTCGCCGTCGCCTTCCCTCTATTCATCCATTCGGGAAGAATGTAAACTCCGAAATAACGCAATGTGTTACTCAGGGGAGTTCGAGTTTGATGAGTCTTCCGCTTCACACTAGCCCAACATGCTCTGAGTACCTTGCGCATGAGAAATCGTCTTCAGCAATGAAATCGACGTAATTGTACTGCGCGCGTCGCTGCGGCCTTGGTCTCTTGCAATGTAGTTGGAAAGAACGCAATCTCCAATATCATATGGCAGTGCTCGCAGGAAGCGAACTTCGGCTCTGCTCGAACCCAGGTCCATATGAAAGATTATCTCCACCGTGATGTGGGCAACAATACATTAGCTTCGCGCCTTTGTGCGACGCTCTGATCGGACACAGACTCAGTGCTTTTGATTTGCTCAATCGACATGACTAGTCGAGAATAAGCCCCGTTCCTGGAACTTGGCTTCGGTGTAAGTGCTTCCTTCTTCTTCGTCGCCTCCTACGCCGTCGTCGTTGACATTTCATTGGAATATCGCCTCGCTGTAGCTATCTGTCTTTTGACATGCGGATATCCAAGCTCAGCACAAAATGCTACGGACTTGAGTAATACTGGCTCACATGTTCTCGACGTGAGCGCAAGGAGCTGTGATTCAGAACACATCTCGGGCAAAGTCTCAAGCACTTCCAGTAAAGGGCGCCCGCACGTCGCTCACATTGTAGTTCACATTGCACTGAAGGGAACATACAGGCCAATTGTTGCCATGCCAAGTGACATACACAATCTTGATGCAGTGTTGGCCTCCTGTGGCATGTTTTACAGTGCGGACTCCCTATACACTCCGTGGCCACTGGGTTTGAATATGAATCGGGATCTCAGTGGATAAATCCCGTACCGTAGGCATTGCATGCTGGCCTTTCGGCCATTGAAGTAGAAATACCAACACTACCGGCTTCCGTCTCCGGGGCTTCGACAATTGCGCCGGCGGCCACGGATCCGCCACCCATCTCAACTTCAACGTCTCCGCGAACACTGAAAGCACCGAGCCAACCGCTGGCAGCACCGCAGTCAACATCGCTGTCTCGACCTACCCATTCGTTCGTCTACTCCCGACGCCTCGGAGCCATCCCCGGCGCATTGTAGTCAGGCTCCCCTTCGACAAAGTCGGCTGCGAATGAACTTGCTCCAGGACAATGCTTGTGGATAATAGCTCTTGGATTCCCATCATGTCAGCTTGTGTGTAACTGTGTTGTACTCATTGTGCTCCATTGTCAAGAGCTTCGATCACAGAAGAATATTCCTGCATCATTGTGGCGGAACAATCACAAGCCTAGCGCCAGCCACTAGACGAAGCTAAACCGCGCACGGGCCCGATCTGGCAATCCCAGAGCGCATCTCCATTGACACTGAGCAGCGAGAGGGGAAAGCGAAAACACTCTGGCGTTTCAGATTCTGTTTATCTCATTCATGGTCATGGTCTGCGAGAATTCATCATTCGAACAAAGATCGTCACCCATCTACCAAGAACGCCCGTCGCTTCGCACTGGCGACCAGGGATTCGTTCGCCGCCCAACGCCTTCGCTAATGCTGAGAATGAATATTCGCTGAGAATAAATGTTCGTCTTCTGTTCACTTTTCACAGCGTTCAGACTGCAGGACCGCCGCCGATGTTGTGGCCACCGCCTTCCATTTCCGTTGTGGCCTCGCCTTTGGCGTCTTCGATCTCCCGCTCCACCTTAGCTTGTTCCTTCTGAGCCTCCTTGTCGGCATCATCGCCATCTTCCGCCATTTCGACGTCCTCGGCCGTTGAATTGGTAGCAGGCTCGGTGGTCTCAGCGGTTGTCGCAGGTTGTGCTGGAGACTTCGGCGGCGTACTTGTCTGCTGCGCAGCACCTCCGCTCGGCCCGGCAGCAGGTCCCGCTGTGGTGTCTTCCTTGTCGACTTGCATTTCATCATCGGCGGCCTCCTCGTCAGCTACATCTTCGGCGCCACCTTCGCTCTGATTACTTGCTGTTTCGACCTTTGTCTGCGTCGTTGAAGAGTCGGCAGGTGCTGGACTTTTGCTCGCTTTTGCCGACAGTAGTGCTTCTGAAACCGCAGCGTTGGCTTGGTTTGCGCTCTCAGTTTGCATCGCTGTAGACCCGTTCGGTTCTCCTGCTGCAGGTTCCTCGGCATCTCCAATCAAACTCCGAGCATCGTCGTCCATGGGAGTATTGGCGCCACTGTCATCGACAGGAGCGTGAGGGTTCGGATGATCCATGATGCTCCTCTTTTGAGGGCGTGATTGTGGTCGGAGTCCGTGTGCTTCGGCCATCTCCTCGTCATCGCTGTCGTAGAACTCATCTGTCCGCTCTACCTTTCTGTCCCATGCGCGTTGAGTGTAGCGCTGGTCCTTGTTTGCCTCCTCGTCTGCCTCTTCGTCATCCAGTCGGTCTTCTTGCTCGTCGAAGGTCTCCGCTTCGCCATCAGGTCCAGCGGCGTGCATGCCCAAGGGCTCACGTGGGACATCATGCATCTGCACTGATGGTGCGTGCTGAGTCGTCCGCTTGAGGTTCTCCAGTACTTGTGACTTGATCTTCTCGAGGTATTCATACGAGTTGGCGTTATCCATGTTGCTTGGCTTGACGTCGAGCTCGAAATCGGGTGAGTAGTATTCGTAGTAGTCGGTGAAAGGAAGATCAGGGCCCATGTCGACTCCAACGAGCTGCCCAGTCTCGTATGCCCACGTTCTCGCAACATTTCGCATGGTGTAGCCTCCACCTCCCAAGACAAGAGTTGGCCGACCAAAGCTCTTGACGTAATTGACGCAATTTGCGTGGCCGCGCATGCTCAAGTTAAAGCAGCCAAGTCTGTCTCCCGATAGCGAGTCACCACCGCACTGCAGGACGACTGCTGTTGGCTGGTAGTACTCCATGACCCAGCCTATGGTAGGCTCGAAGATGCTCTTGTAGCTCTTGTCGTCGATGCCGTCGCGCAGAGGGAAGTTCACGGCGTAATGCTTGCCCTGGCCCACGCCGATATCGCGAAGTTCACCGGTTCCAGGGAAGTATTCGCCGTACTTGTGGAATGATACGGTCATGACACGGTCGGTGGAATAGAAAGCTTCCTCGACACCATCCCCATGGTGAACGTCAATGTCAATATAAAGGACACGTGAATGGAATCGGAGGAGCTCGAGAATGCCAAGCACAATGTCTGTGTGAGTAGGTTAGCATGCCGCCATGTGCGAAATGTCGCACCTTACTTACCATTGACATAACAGAAACCCGAAGCCTCACTCTTCTTCGCGTGATGCAGACCGCCAGCCCAGTTGATGGCGATGTCGCATTTTCCGCGATTCAATCTTGCGGCGCCCTCCATGCTGCCTCCAGCGCTGATTCCACAGAACTCGAACAGTCCATCGAAGACCGGACAGTCGTCGCCAACGTTATATCTGCCCTGCTCCTTCATGAAGTTGTCCATGTTGTCCGGAGTCACGCGCTGCAGAAAATCGACGTACTCGTCCGTGTGAAATTGTGTCATCTCGTACTTCGAGGCTGGCTTGGCGCGATAGATCTCGAGCTTCTTATATAAGCCATAGTTCATGATGAGCGAATGCGCCATTCGGATGCGGTGCGGCTTCATGGGATGGCCAGCGTTGTAGGCGTAATTTCCGACATCTGAATCGTAGAAATATGCGACTTTCTTGGGCTGGGATGATGGCGCATTGGTGCCTGCGCCAGCAGGATCAAGTGGCGTGTATGAGCCTGTGCCTGCAGGCATCTTGGCCGTATCCTAATATGCGATCGCGTCCAGAAGGAGGTATGCGAATGCTCGCGTGCGTGGAGGAAGTGGTGGAGAAACTCGCGATTCGCTTGTCGCAGAGCTTGAATATTGGGGTCGAGGCGGTTCCGTGTATAGCCAAGGATCTGTTGTGGAGTAGGTGGTCGCTGAAAGTAAGTGCAATGTGTGTTCGCGCCGGTGAGCTCAGAAAAGGTGGCCGGATTGTGAGGCCAAAGAGGATTGTCTAGATGGAAGTGGAAGCAACTCGAAGACAGTAACGGGGAGCTCTGTTCGGCAGGATACCGGATCTCGGGACGTGCCGCCAGCCGAGCCGCTGAAGCTCTGTTCCGTTCGGGTGTCTGTGCTCATCGGCGGGTGATGGATGAGGTGGATGGCAACGCGCCAGCTGCATCTGCCTCACACCTGAACATCTTCACCTTCACAATCACTCACACGAAACACACCCCCATCACCAGCGCCGCTTCCTCGACCAACGAACTCGGAATTGCTCACGTCTTCACGAGCAATTACTACTACTGGACTCCACCCAAGCGAGAAGCACAAGCTGATCAGCCAAAGGCCATCGGCCATCCGCACAGACATCACAAGCAGCGACCTGAACATCGCAGGAGATGGATCGGTTATCGAGAATGCTTGCCGCCGCTCAGGGCATGGGTGGTGGCGGTAGTGCGCCTGCACAGGTAAGAGAAATCATACACTGCAACTGCCAAGTCATGTCCGGATGCCGCTGTCGGGGAGGTATTGGACGCCTGTACTATTGCCGAGAGGGAGAGAGCAAAATCTGGAGAAGATACCATCACAATTTGCCGGAGATTCCGTTCGACGCGATGATGAGGCAGAGCCGCGACGAGCTTGCTCGCCGACGTGGAAACCTTCAGCTATGATGATGGACCTTGGCTTCTTCATCACCTCTGCACCTTCCCAAGTCGAGTGAGCACGACTTCTCCTCACGAAATACGGCCGGACGGGTTCATTCAGCATGAGATTCGATCATGTACAACACTGCATAGAGAGAACACGGCATACACCTCTCAAGCATGGCTCCGGAACCACCTCATTGGCCACCACCTCCTTATCCTACTCCCGTCGTGATATATCCCACTGGAGACGAACTGGCGGATCGCAATTATGTCCAGTCATTTCGGAGATTATACCGTCAAATTGACACCTATTCGGAGGGTGACTCGCGGCGCCACCTCCATTAGGCCTTGCTTGTGCCAAAGGTCTTGTTGAGCAAGATCGGAGAGGTATATCCATTGGGTGAATGCAGGCGCATGGCTGGATTTCATGTTCCCCGACACTGGATCATCTCGAGGTGCCTCAAGTGGCATTCGGACATGACCGCGCAGTGACTAGAATGAAACGGTTGAAAGCTTTTGCTGACATGGTGGCTGTATAGGATACCAACATCATTGACAACGCTGAGACAGTCTACATCTCCTCCCTCGCCCTCCTCAAGATGCTGCGACACGGCCGAGCTGGTGTGCCCATGGAAGTCATGGGTCTGATGCTGGGAGAGTTCGTCGATGATTACACAGTACGAGTAGTGGATGTCTTCGCCATGCCGCAGTCAGGAACAGGGGTATCGGTCGAGGCAGTAGATCCTGTGTTCCAGACCAAGATGATGGACATGCTGCGGCAGACGGGCAGGTGAGTACGCGTGGGAAAAGCCAAATTTCCTGATAGATGCTGACTCTCTGGGCAGACCAGAGACCGTCGTCGGCTGGTACCATTCACATCCCGGATTCGGCTGCTGGCTGTCTAGTGTCGATATCAACACTCAGCAATCCTTCGAGCAGCTTACACCTCGCGCCGTTGCCGTTGTCATCGACCCGATTCAATCCGTCAAGGGTAAGGTCGTCATTGATGCCTTCCGCCTCATCAACCCACAAACCCTCATGCTCGGACAAGAACCCCGGCAGACCACCTCCAATCTTGGCCATTTGAACAAGCCCAGCATTCAAGCGCTCATCCACGGCCTCAACCGACACTACTACTCCATTGGCATCGGCTACCGCAAGACTGCACTCGAAGAGGGCATGCTTATGAACCTGCATAAGACTGTCTGGACCGAGGCACTCACAATGCCAGACTTCGCTGCTGAGGGCACTCGGAACGAGGCGAACCTCAAGAAATTGGTCTCGCTTGCGGAGGGCTACGAGAAGCGCGTCAAGGAAGAGACGGAGCTGACCAAGGAGCAACTGCGGACACGCTATGTGGGCAAGGTGGATCCCAAGAAGCACATCGAATCGGTCGGGCAGGAGCTCATCGAGGACAACATCGTGTCTGTGTCGAGACAGATGATTGACAAGGAGGCGAGCGTGCCTGCTGCACCGACGGAGGCTCTGGGCAGCGCAGGGAAGGCCATGAATGGTCATGCAAACGGTCCTGCCGCAAACGGGCATCCTCCGGAAGGTGATGCCATGGATGAAGATCTTTGAGCGCATCAAGTAAAAGTATGAACACGAGACCTTGAAAGGGAGGTGAACGCTGGGACCGGACAGGAATACTTTTTGATGTGCATAGCCTCGGCGCCTGGCGCAGCAGCAAATATGGGCATGAGCTGCAGGACTGGCTGTACTTCTCTGCACTGACATGCAGGAAATGAAACGATTACAAGACTTTCTTGGTTTGACGACTGGCTCAATTCGATCCTCTCGCAAGCATATACGTGATCTCAAGGTATTAGGTATCTGCGCTACGCTAGCAAGCACAAGCCAACCAAGTCATGACACTTAGCTCGATGGCAGTAGTGCGCGCGGGCGCTGCCGCCTACCACAGCATCAATGTCCTTCTGGATCCTCCACTCCAGCATTTCCATGATCATCACCACAGGTCTCAGATCAAGCGTGATGAATCCAACTGTTACAGAAGAAGTCGATATTAGCAAAGATTTATCGTCAAAACACGCAAACAAGCAGATTGAAGCCCCATTACTTACACAAAAGAAACCTACACGTCGCTTCTTCGCCACCGTCACCCTCATGTTCGGAACGTTTCACAGCAGCGAGCGAGCGAGCATGCGTGCCCGAAAGTGTTTTCATTCCGGAGAGGGAGCTTCTTGGGCTGCGTCGATGAGCTTCTGGAGGAAGTATTCGAGGGAGTTGCTTGCTATGGCTTCGGTTAGGGGTGTGGTAGTTACTAGGGCTGTTTTTTGAAGCGATCGAGGATGTTTTGGGAGGTGAGAAGGCGGTAGTCGTGGAGGGCATCGTCAATAGTGTCTCTTTCTTTTCTGTGGACGCCTTCGTAGGGCCTGCGGAGAGGGGTGCTGTGCGGTTGTGGGTTGTGGTGGGGATGGGGTCCACGCGGGCATTTTGCAACTTGATCCTCCAATTTCCTTGGGAACTAATGACTATATTTCAGCTCAAATGCTGGAAGGACGAGATGGATGTTTGCCACTCTGTGAGTAGAGACTGAAAGGTCCTTTCGGAGATGCCTTTACCATGGCAACCAAGGAAAGCCTACAACATAGAAGAGAAAACTACAGTCTCATGCGATACATGTATTTGTTCAATTTTTACCCTGGTTTGTGATAGATTGTGGCATTTTGGCTTCTGTCTGGGAAAGAGGTCAGCCTTGCGTGACAAGCGCATCTGATCCAGAAGTCCGTGCGCCTTCCCGAGAAAACTCCGGCTGCTTCAACTCAGCCAACGCCAAGCCAGCAATTGCCGTACATTAGATTGCTGAAGATTGCTCTTTCGTTGTCGAGACCGCTGGTGCTGAAACTGATGCCTTCGTCGCTGTTGGCTCATGTTCAGATTGGAACTCGCACAAAAGACCCGTTCGCTGCGAGCTGCGAAGGGTATGCCGTAAGATCACCTCCATCGACGATGGCATTCCAGGTAACGGGCGAGTTGCTGTGGAGCAATTTCGGGCTACTCAGACCAAGCCAGTCTATCAGTGCTCGTCCAACATTCCACGGTCCTCGTCAAATTCTCGAAGGCCACATTATGGAATGGCAACGGATTCAGAGCCGCTCCACCCGCACGTCCCGATCCAGAATGAGACCTTGAAATAGCCCGTCAGCTCTCCCTGCATATGCATGCTCCGGCGCCGCGTCTGAGAAGAAGGTAGCTTGATGGAGACGCCGATGAAGGCTAGTGGGATGCAGAAGCGGTTTTCACGATGCCGCAGAGGATGTATTGTGGGTCTGCGCTAGAAGCAGCGTAAAGACCGCCGCTGTACATCCAGGCGAGGACGGGGAGAGGACGGTTTGCGTAGCCAAAAGATCGAACGACTTGATTCTTGATCAGCTCTTCTCTTCTTGTTCTCCATGTTCAGTGCTTACCATGGAGCGTCAAAAAATCTTCGCTTAGATTGAAAGAGCTACCGTACTGGTAGCAGCGATATCCATACCGACTCGCATCCTTTTGCCGGTCCAGGTTGTGTTCAGGGACTGAGGCCGGCGGAAGTGTAGCTGACCGAGAGGCGGCTGAGCGACTGGAATTTCGAGGAAGAAGTCTTGATGCCATTGCGGGCTGCAGCTTCCAAGCAAAGTTCCACTCTTCACCTGGACCGCTGGCGATGTCGATGCTGCCAGAGGAGATACTAAGGAGGCCGTCAAAGCTAGTAGACTTTTCATGGTGCTAATGAAAGAAGACTGTGGCAAGGTCAGAAGAGGAGGCAGAGTCCACCAGACGACTTCTTCGTGACTTGTTTGGGGATTATCATTGCTTTGCTCGGTCGCCAAGCCTGTTCTTCGAACTTTCCCGGTCAAGGACTCGACTTCGTACCTGCATATGCCGTGCGTAGTACGCATGAGAAACTGATCTGCCCCATTCGGCAGTTCCATTTCCGTCCTGCTAAGTTACATACCTGACTCGTCCTTTGTGCTATACCATTGTTATCAACACAATCCCCCTTTTTGCTCATTGTTCATGCACCTTGCCCAGAACGCCATTCGCTGATGCGTCAAAATCGTCACAAGTCTCCGTGGCAGCTCACGTAATGAGTTCTTAAGCGAGGTTGTCGCTGCGATCGACCCAAACATCCTCCAACTCCGCGAAGTTCTGGAAGTGCACCGGGCGATGCACATCATCGTAGAATCGGCGCGGAATGCCAACACCCACGTAAACTCTGCCCTTCTCCCTCTCTCCAAATCCACTGCCCAGGAAGCTCCAGTTCCAGCGCTCGTCTTCTGGAACTAGGAAGTAGCCTCGAATCTTGTCGGACAGAAGAAGCTGAGACTTCTCGCCCAGGTTATTATTGAACCCAGCAGGCTGGTCGGAAGACATGTCTTTGTTCTCGGCACCCCATTGGTAACCCTGAGGAGTTAGCGTCCAGGCAGACAAAGAAACAGAGCCAGGCGTGAAGTTCACGGTCATGGTGACAGTCTTGCGATCCCAGGATTCGTGCGCAGCCATCAGCTTGGCGTGCTGGGTAACATCTTGAGCAGTCATGTAGTTGGTCTCGTTGCCGGCCGAGGTGTGGATGAGACCAAGAGGCTGGAGACCAGCCAGCATCTCGTTCTCGGGAAGGTTGCGTGGAAGCTGAATGTCCCGAGTGCTTCCCACCTGTGGGATCATGACAATGCACTTGATCTCCTTTACTTGCTTGTTGTCCGGCGGGCTGGTTCCGTAGAGGTAGCCAGCGACCTGGACACGGAGATCGGAGATGGCGATGAAGCGCTTCAAGATGTTCTTTGGCACGACGTAGGTAAAGTGATGCTCGTCGTCACGAATGTCCTCGGAAGAGATGTAGATGTTGTTAGCTCTGGTTCGGAGATTGCTGGTGGCGATAGCTCGAGTGCGCCACTCAGTCTTCGACGCGAAGCTCTGCTGCTCGTATGCCGAGGTCGTGGTAACGATCATGTCCTCGCCAGCAACATTCTGCGTCTTGGTGGTGACAGCAGTAAGCTGTGCCTGATCCTGCTGCTGTTTCTCGATCTCGGCAGCCTGCTGTCTCTGCATACTTGGCGCGCTGATCTCCATACCCAAGATGATGTCTCGAATCTCGCTGTTTGTGAGCGACGAAGTGTTGACGTTGTTCTTCTTTCCGTAGTCATTCAAGATGAGATCACGGAGCTGCACTTCGACCTTTACCCAGTCATCGTCGGACAGCGTGGGCCATATATGGTGCTCCTGGGTGATGACAGTCTTGTCTGGTCGCAGGAGCAGCTTCGTCTTGTCTTGATTGACGTGGAGCGCACGCAAGATCAAGATGAGACGCGAGAAGGCAGTGTACGAAGAGATGCTCTTGAGCCACTCATCGTAGAGGTTGAACAGCACCATCTGCGGCTCTGTTGCTCGCAGAATCATGTCGCCAAGCTTCTCGACCTTCATGGCGGCCTGAAAAGGCAGCTGCAACTCGGAAGCGCGAATGCTGATGTTCGGGAAATCAAGCAAGTGGACTTCAAGAGGGTCCAACAGACCCTTTCTGGTCACGATGAGCTGCTTGGGCTGCTCTTCGACGGGTAGGGAACGAATGAGCGCAGCGACTTCTTCGGCCGTCTTCCATTTGGCAAGCTGGCCAAGACGCTTCTGTCCAGCCCACACGCTGGTGTGAATGATCTTGAGGAAGAGCTGTCCAGTTCGTGGGTTGAAGATGAAGATGGCTCCGTTGATTGGCTTAGTAGTCAAGTTGCCTTCGAATGTCTTGTGGATGGTGACGCGGTACACATTGGTGTCGTCAATGAACAACTGGATCTGGTTACTGAACAGTTCCGAATAGTTCTGCGAGTTGAGGAACTCTTGGTTGCTCTCTGATGCGTAGAGCTGCAGACCCTTCCGAATACGCTCGCGCAAGACATAGAGAGCTGGGTTGGCCTTCATGACCTTTGCCATCGCTTGTTGCACGAGCTGCTTGAGACCAGGGAAGTATTGTCCATACGCCGAGTACAGGTTGTAGGCCAGATCGATACCAATCATGAGACCAGTGGCAGACGGGTAGATCGACATGCTATCGGTGGTGTAGTCCAGGTACTTGGCACGAACGTATCGCTCGATATCGTGAGAGTCGTAATCACCATATCGCAGTTGGACGTCGATCCAGAACTTGTTGGTTGTCGTCAAGCCCATGTTGTCCTTCGTGTCGTAAAGCAAGCTGGGGTTGCTGACGCTCCACTTGTGCGAAGCGAAGAGCAGGATGTCAGCGCACGAGGAGTTCATCTTGTAACTCTTTCTCGGATGGATGGTCTCTTTCTGCACCGTCTCGATACCGAGAGCCTCAAGCTCTTGATCAAAGACTTGGCAAAGATCCATAACAACCGACTCGTGGATCTTCTGCCACAAGTGGGCACGGAAGATCTGGATCAACGAGATCTTGAGGGTAGGAATCTTTCCGTGAAGGAAGATACCAGTCAGATCAAGCTGGACTTGGAAACCGACGTAGACGTTGGCGCGGTTGATGGTAGGGCTCCACCAAAGGGTGAATCGACGGTTTGGAATCTGGTTGAGACCAGAGCGTTGGGCGTTGGTGAGCTTCTTGAATTTCATGCTCTCTTCGAATCCGGACTACGAAATAAGTCAGCATTGTTCTCATTCTCATCCTGAGTGTCAGTGGAGCTTATTGTCGCATTGAAGGGTCATCTTGAGCGATCTGCCAAAGACAGAGGTATAAGGGGCTCGTTCAGCCGCATATTCGTGACAGCAACCATGGAGATAGCCCCCCAACGCGACAACATGCTCCACGGGTATAAAAAAGCACTTACAGCCTTCTCCCAGAACAAGCCTTCCCATGATGGGAAGGCCGTTGCCTTGAACAGAGTGTGTTCCAAGATGGTCTCAACTCCTCCAAGAGCCTGGATGACATCCGTACGATAGGCGTTCAATTGCCACAGCTTTCCGTCGTGCCGTTGGGATGTCCACCAGAAAGGATTCGATTTCATATGCTGATACAGCTTGAATTCAGTTCGTGCACGGAAACCTTTGTCGAAGGAGAGGGTGGAGCGGTCCTTTTGAAAGAGGGTGTTGATTCTTGGCAAGCCGCGGTCCCACGAATCCTCAAGATCCTCGAGCGTCAGACGACGATTCTGTTGGTTAGCTTCTAACCTCTTTTGGGAGTACTCAGTCCAGACACGCTGAGAGTCGATGAACTCTGCTTCCCAAGGAATAATGTAACGGAAAATATTCGGGATAAGTGTCTCCTCGTCGTGGCTCATACCAGCGCGGAAGTGCGACACGCCGCTATCAGTCTGCTTGCTCCAACGCTTGTCGGAAGCAGGGATCAAGATGTGGGATCCAGAGATCATTCCCAGGCCTCCAAGTTCCTTGGGTGTATAGAACACCGCCGGTGGGAAACGAGACGGCATCTTCGAATTGAGCCCAATCTTCACACGGGTTTGAATCTTTGTCTCGCATTTCACAATCGTGTCCAGCAGGTTGACGGTGCTGACCGCAGCCTCACGGTAATAGGTGAAGAGTGCTATCAATGTTGTGTTCCACTTGTTCGCAATTTTGGTGAAGGTTGTGCTGCCCGAGCTCATCAAGATTTGACGAATTCGATTATTAAACTTTGCGATGTCCTCTTCGGTGACCTGCAAGAAGGCATGAGCAGTGCGTTCCTTTGTCGCATTGTTCACGAGAGCCCAAACGGAATCTTTGGTGGGGAATTCGTCGTTCATGTTTCGGCACTTCGGTAGAATGCGGACCTCGAAACCATTCATGGCGAACAGCAGATTGGGATTATCCCTACTGTAAACGCTGGCAAATGTGTCGTCCCACTCGACGGTTGTGATGGATCTCGGCAACCGGTTCTTCATGTCCCAAAAGACGGCACGGCCGAGGTTGACGTCGTGTCTCATCAGGCGCATGCGAGAGTCGCGAGGCCAGCACTTCTTGTTCTTGTATCCGATGACATTCTCGAAATTGGGATCAGGCTGCTCCGTCAAGAAACGCTGGATCAGATCGCGTGATTCGTCTGCCGTAAATCGGAAGAAGATCCAGATCTTGTCAATGTATCGAGTGTACAGACGGATGGGATGTCGGGTCTCCGTCGCACGGTCGCGATACTGGAGGAAGTCATTGGGAGCGTTGGGTGGCCCAGCCATCTCGGATGCACGCTGCAGTCCAAGCAGAAGTAGATCGATGATCAGGCCGTAGTATTGGAAGACAAACGCACTGAACTGCAGTCCACGAATCATACCGTATGCATTAGTATGGTTCATGTCCTTGTAGTTGAGCTGCACATTGTTCTTGCTGGAGATGTAGTCGGCCAAATTGTGATCCATGATTAGCCGCAGCAGTCGGTTGAGCAAGGTGATATCGATCTTCTCGTAGACTTTGTCAAGGCGAGTCTCGAGCATGACGTTGCACTCGCCTTCATCGATGCTCCAGACATTGGAGAGATTGTTGATACCCTGCGCCCACTTGTATGTGAGAAGAGGCGGCACCTCTGAGTCGGAAGGCTTGATCCAGGCAGGGAACAGTCTACGCTGGTCAGCCTGATACCAGAGATACTGGTCAAGGTAGGCATCTGTGATCTTCTCGATTGGCTCAATGTCATAGACCGGGTTAATGGAGCTGTAGTTATCGTTCATATCAATGCCGACTTCCTTGAAGGAGCGCTGCGTCAACAGGAACCGCTTGATTCTCGCAAGCGTTGTGCCGGGACTGTCGTAGGCCTGCTCAATGAGAGCAAGTTCCTCACGCTGGCTCTGGTTTAGGCGACCCTTGACAGAGTATGCTTCACGCAATCTCTCTAGCGCCAAGATGAGAATCTTCGTATCATGCTTGTAGCTGACGGACGGGAATGGAATTGGCTGGAACTTCCTGCTCTCCAGCCAATGCACAGCAGTGGTGAAGATAGCGACACCTTCCTCGGTGCTGACGTATGGTCCGTCCTTGAGGTAGTTGTGCTGTCGCTCCTGTTCAGCCTTCAGCCAAAGTCGAGTGAGACGACCAAGATTCTTCTTGGCAACAGTCTTGTCGACCGTAGCTCCGCGCCGAATGCGCTCGCGGTTGTAGTGGGCCACGGACACCCACCAGTCTGCCTTGGACTTGACGTATCGCAGGATGATGTCCTCGATCGGCTTTGGCAGTCCAGGTACCTTCCAAGGAATGTTCGACTTCCAGCATCGCCAAGCCTCCGATAGATGCTGTAGTACAGTGTTGACCTTGCTCTGCTTGATACCTTCTGGCATCATGTCCATCAAGTCGGCCATGACAGAGGCGCGCAGCTCGAGATCGAAATGCGACTCAACACGCTGCTTCGTCACAGTCTTTGCGACACCCTTGGAGTGACGGCCTTCGAACTGTCTGCTAAGAAGGTTGCCAAGCCATCGCTCGAGGAGCGGAATAATACCGCGAAGGAAGAAAAGCCAGACCCGCCAGGCTGGAGCCCAGAAGCCACAACCAGGACCCTTGCCAACAGGTCCAGAATTGAAGCGGTAGTAGATCAGATGCTTCAAATCCTTGCAAGATCGGATCTGGTGCATGAGCTTGTACTTGTATCGGTACATACCCGTAAGCTGACCAACGTGGTTGAAAGCATAAAGGATACCATCTGCAAGCTGGAAGGCGTCGATGTTTCCGAGGCGATACTGGACTTGCGCATCTACGATGAGCTTCGTCAGACGCAGGATTTCACGCATCAGGTGGAATGCGTTTCCGAATCGAGACTTCTTGCGCTCCTTCGTGGTCAACGTCTTGATAGGCTTCAAGTTGAAGTTGTAGTCCAGATGCAAGTAGGTAAGGTTCTTGCGATGGATGAGCAAGTTCAGCATGTTAAAGCCCTGTCGGCAAACCTGTAGACCAGCCTCGACCCAGTCGATCGTGGTCTGTTGGAAGAACTTGGTGCTCTTTAGACTTCGGCACAGGTTCTGCTTGTTTTGCGCCTTCGGCGGCTTCTTGTGCAATTCGTTCAAAACGTAGGTCTTCAACAGCTTTTGGTAGGATACTCTGACCTTCACGGGTTGGCCCTGCGGAACATGCTCCAAATACCACTGCTTCACAAGAGGCACATCTTGAGCACGCACCATCTTGCCAGATCGCCTGTCGAAGGGATAAGGAGCCCACCAAAGGGCGATGGCGGAAGCTGTGTCCTCGTTGTACAAGTCGTGGTCTTCCAAGAAGGGCTCGACCTCTCCCGGTAGGCTGAAGCCGCCTTCCTCCTCATCCGGCTCTTCGTTGTTCCCGTGACTAAAGATCTCATCCTCATGACTGATTGAGAGGTTCTTGGGGGCGACTGACCGCGATGAAATAGGGTTGATGACCGGATCGAAGTAGAAAGGTGGCAGATTCGGATCTTCGGTCTTCACATAGACTGTCTGCGGCTGGCTGTATACTCCGAGCTGGACGCTGCGCGGGAGGCTGTTGTATAGATATGGGAACGCGACTCGATATTCCGTCCGGATGGGTGCCCGGAAGATGATTCGATCGATGGCGTTGAACTCACCGAAATCCTCGTCGTTCGGGTCGATGTCCTTGTACAGCGGCTCAAATCGAGGGCCTCCTGGAATGGCAACATTGAGCGCCTTTGCTGTGGCGAAAGCGGACATGTCAAATAGATGGAAGTAATTGCTGTCTGTGATATCTGATAGCAGGGGATTGCTCAGACGATGGAGAGTAGCCATTTGAGGAAGGGTGAGATTCCATTCCTTATAGCTTGGTCCATTGACATGACTTGTATCTGACAGTGGGTTTGGATCATAGAACCACTCGTATACTGGGCCATCTTCATCCTCGTCCAGCTCCATCTGAATCGGTTCCAGAGGCTCAACGTCCTCGATGTTCTCACTCCATGAAAGCGGTGGCTCCTCGTCATCGAATGGTGGAAATCGCATGCGCTTGAAATGTCTCCGATCGCTCTTCTCTCGCCTCATAACAACCCACATAGTGGCCCACTGCGCGTGGAAGACGGGCTCGATCACTCGCGGAATCTCGTTTACCAGCGTTAAGCATCCGTTCACATGATACAGCACCTTGACGTCTTTGCTGCTCTCCCAAGGCATCGGCATGTTCTCTAGGAGTTTCAGAACGGCATGCGGCATGAACTTCAGCGCACCCAAGTAACTTCTCTTGTCGCTGCTGAATTTCTTCTGCGAAACATCTCCAATGTCCTTCACGATCTTGCGCAAATGCTCTGGAGGCATGTCCGCCTTCTGTGTCTCCACGAATCCGCCTTTCCGCTTCTCGGCGAAGCGCTGCCTCTGTTGCCGTACCCATTTCTGCTTCTTCTCTTGAAGTTTCGCGGCCTGGGGGTCCTTTGGTGGGGCATATCCTGGCGGAGGCGGCGCACCTGTTGATAGACCTGGGGGAGCACCTGGAGGAGGCGGAGGCGCCCAGCCAGGCGGCGGCGGTGGAGGGAGATTCGACATGGCCGTGTAGATGTGACGAACGGGTGGAAATGGAACTTCTGCTTCGGCTCACGGCGCCGAGCAGGCCGTCGTCGTCGGTCTCCCTTCTGTCTGCTGCGCTCTTGTCGCGCTTGAAGTATCGTCCAGAATCTCGACGCGATATGGTAGCGAATGCGCTGTGACCTGCGCAGATGATAGTGATGTCGGCGAGGACGTGACTGGCGATGGGTGGCGCCTCCAACTCCGCGAGGGCGAGAAACTGTTTGGGAGACGCGACTCGAGTCATGCTAGCGCAGAAAGCTTAATCTCATGAGGCGGCTGCCAAGCCCCCACGAGTGCTAGGAAATTCTGAGCCCCGAACCTCTCGCTCTGAGAAAGCGACGACATCGCCGGCGAGCGCAAAATACACCAAACGACAACTCGGCACACGACACCACCGCCGCAATGCCTTCCAACAGATTGACCTACGTACGTGCGATCCGACGAGTCGAATTGGAGATGTGGGATCCAGAAGAGATGGGATGAGGGAGGAATGGTTGGGCTAACAGGACATTCTTACAGCGCCGCCGGCAACCATACAACACCAAGTCCAACAAGGTCCGCGTGATCAAGACTCCCGGTGGCGAGCTACGATACCTCCACATCAAGAAGAAGGGTACCGCACCGAAATGTGGTGACTGCGGCACCAAGTTGCCAGGCGTACGTCCCCCCTTCAGAACATCACCGAGCGGAACTCTCACCAAATAAACCCAAGTGACGCATGGAAGAATTGACAAGAGCTATACTGACTTGACATGACTCCACAGGTTCCAGCCCTCCGCCCACGCGAATACTCCCAGATCTCCCGCCCCAAGAAGACCGTCCAGCGTGCCTACGGTGGCTCGCGCTGCGCCAACTGCGTCAAGGACCGCGTTGTTCGCGCCTTCCTGATCGAAGAGCAGAAGATTGTCAAGAAGGTCATGAAGGAGGCGGAGAAGAAGGGCAAGCGATGAATAAGTTAAAACAAAGCACGAGGCATGGAATGAATGGGCTGGCTTTAGGCGCATAACATGGTCACAGGCTGGGAATGCATCGAGTCTTGACACTCTTCGTCTTTCTTCATCATGAGAAAGCTGTTTGGCTGGATGGAGAGTGTGATGATACACCTCAAGTGAGCTGCTGAATGAAGTCCGTTCGGTGAAAAGCAAGACACTTGACTCCTATGTCTTTGCGACTTTTACTCAACATCCAATATTCCGTTGTGCTGGTTACTGACGACAAATGACATGCACTCATATCTTGCCCTCTGCATCGAGGTGTTTCCAAGATGCCACTGAAGCTCGGCCACCCAGAGCACCAAGTTGCACATGCAGTTCATGGACCAAAGACTACATCTCACCAAGTCGTGTCGCCAATTTGTCTGGATCTGGAAGTACTGAAACACTCCAGATTGATACACGAATCGGATCCAACAGTTTGCCAGCCAACTTATCCCTCCCTTCTCCGTCCGCATTCACTTCCCCGTCTCAGGAATGATCTTGTCCACAGACTCCCTCTCAATCTCAGGCGCACACTGCGCATACACCTGGCCGGAGTATAACTTGCAAGGATCTCCATCTCCGTAGCACTGCACATTGCAACAATGAGTACTCATGATATGTCTGCAAACTGTGCTTTTCTGCGTACAGTGGATTCGGGGTTGCGAACGGCCCAGGCTGTTCTGTTGAAGAGGCAGACTTGATACTCATGGAGGCATGTCTGCTGCCGAGTCGAGCATCAGCACAGGCAACGGCATTCTGAACTCGATGGATACTGATTGGAGAACGGTAGGGCCATCGGTAGGGTGGTCTGCGGTGGCAGCAAGACTCGCCACTTTTGGGACGATGAAGAAGAGGAGGGGAGTCCACGGCGATGGAGTGAGAAGGGGCTGCGATGAATGCGAAGCCATCCTTCCGGGACTGAAGCACGCTCGGTCATATGGAATTGCAAGCATGTCGATGCTACGATTGCTGAAGACCGAATAATTGCTTCTCCCGCGTTGCAACTCTCAAGAGTATCATGGCCTGTGATCCAGTGTGAAGTATGTAATCCCGCACAGCAAACGACTCTGCCGTCCTCTGCAGAGGTGATGCCTTAAAGCTCGTGGATCCTTCCAACTTGATGGCTGTAAGGGCCCGTTGGGTGTACTGGGCTGCAACAGCTCCTGGTGATGTAGCACCAGGTATCTCATGATGAGTTTCGACCTCATAGAACATCGGAACGAGTGAGTATTTCCAAGTGATCAGCGGACGTTCCTGGCATAGTCAGCGCGCGAACACGCGTAGTACAGTCCAACGGGATAGAACTCACCTTCATCCTCCTTCATCGATGTAAGGTAGCTTGTACGCATAACTCACTCCATCCGGAGCCATCAACATCCTTCTACGACCCCTTCTTTCCCTCCATAACCTTCCTCTCAAGAATCTTCGGCTCCAACAACGTAGACCGAAAAGTCGAAGAGTCGAATTCAACGTTTTCCTCACGTCGTCTTTGAGCTCTCGTGCGAATCTCAAACGGCAAGTCCCCAGCGACGTCCACCTTCTTTTGACGTGGAACTCTTCGGAAGGTAATTTTCTTGCCACTCGTCGCTTTCGTATCAGCCATGACTGGGACTCTCAGAATGTAACGGTGGGCATATCGTCGTCGCTAGGGTTGTGAAAGTTGGAGGTCTCTTAGGGTTTCTTGGGGTTAGCAGTCACAAATGATTGGTGCCTGAGGCATCACTTCCGCGGAGTGCCTGCTACAGCCAGCATGGTGACGTCCTCGCGACGCATTGACGCGCTTTCATTCAGAATTTCTTCAAGGAAGAGAACAACAACCTTCGCGCATTCAGGACATATCAGCCCATATTGCCGATTCTACTTCGCTGAGTACCCATCACACACGCTGCCGTGGTTGCTATCACCAGTCACGGAACGGACTCACAAAGACTTGGCGACGGGAAGCAACACGCGGACGCAGTTGGGCGGCACTGGAAGAAGGCTACAACAATTGCATATGGGACACACTATCGAGTAGCAGTACCGTACTTTTCAACACGCGGATCGTTGGGCAGAGCTTGCAAAAGAGTGAGAACTATACCGAAGCGACACGACTTAAGGATGTACTCAACCCGGCTTCCAAGAATTTCGTCCTCTCTTAACCCAAGAGCTTTCGCGACGCTGAGAGCTGGTACCCAATCCTCGTCGAGGCAATGCTTCCAGTCATGTCACCGCCTTTTCGCCACGACAGTGGGAAAGAATGTGCGTCTGCCAAGAGAAAGTGAGGTGTCAAAAGCTGCGAAGCGAAGGGGGCCCACACTTGAACGCCAGGCGACAAGGCGTCTACATGAATCTGTCGTTCGGCAGCAGCCACCGCCCGCCGCGCCGAAGAGCAGAGACCGCGGGCCAAAAAGTGAAGAGGATACGCAGACGGACTTTGGCGCGATGAACGTCTTGGGCAGCATTCCTCCACCCACGACTGCTGTGGATGCGTGCATAGATGACGGCTTTGCTCTGGACTCTGGGCTGAAGATTTCAGGCGCTGGCGTGCTCCTGCTGGGGGGCGAGGCGTTCAAATGGCGGCCGTGGCTAAGAGAAGGGAGAAAAGAGGGGACGATTGGATCTGGTGGTGTTGGGAATGACAACAAGGGCGTGCAAAGCATGGGCGGGAAGCTCCAGAACCCCAAAGGACAATGGGATGTTGATGCATCTGCATGGGGTATTCTCGACCTGGCCTGGCCGAAGCCCGATCTACTGGTGTTAGGCACTGGTCCTAAGATGCTGCCCATCTCTCCAGAGACCAGGAAGCACATCAACGAACTCGGCATCAGGCTTGAAGTCCAGGATACAAGAAACGCCGCGGCACAATTCAACTTGCTGGCGACCGAGCGAGGCGTGCAGCAGGTGGCCGCTGCTCTGGTACCAGTTGGATGGAAAGAGGGCAAGTGAAGTTGCCGTAGACTGACTTTGGTGCCTGGAACAATTGATCTGAGGCCAGCACAAGTCTACCTGGTAGAGCGAGACTTCGAAACCTTCTAGGTACGAGGTTTCGTCCCGCAACCGGATCAAGCAAGGCTCTCACGCGCTGCTATGCCCTGCATGGAGCTGGGTTGCAGCGCACTGGACAGATACGCGGACACGGAGGTAGAGATGTCACCTTGAAACCCGCATGAACCATCTGACAGCATGATCACCTGTGGGCTGAGACGAGGTGCGCACCGCCGCACCAGAGTCTCGGATCCGATCGCCGCCACAGGCGCGGAGTCGAAGTGCGGTGCCGGGCGGGCTTTGAAGGCACGGAGGGGTGGCGGTGCGAGCCGTGACATGTCACAGATTCTGGTCGAAATCGACCTCAGTTTCAGATCTTGGCCTGGGCGTTTCAGACTTGACTTGACTCGTGAGAGCAAATACAAATGCACAAAGACAGGAATGATATGCGGTCGACCGATCGAGCAGCACATTTCTTCTGTCACTTCACTTGGCACTCCACAGCTGTGACCTTCCCCGGATCGGCTGCCAAGGCCCGATTGCCTGGGGCCTCCGTGTTGCCGTGGATGCAGGGTCTTTCCGCGGGAGAGAAGTAAAGCGTAGCCAGCGAACCTTGAGTGGATGTTGGCAAACGATCGCATTGCGTCATGATGGGTGCGGGATGCTGCTGGACGGGCAGACGCGACTGAGATCGAAGCGCCAAGATCAATAGCACCGCATGAAAAAGAACAGTGGATGGCTTGTCGTCTCAGATGTGGAAGTTGAGCAGCCGAGGATGGCAACGGCGGTGGCTTTACGTCAGGGATGTTCCGACAGACAGGCTGTCCTCGGTTCGTAGCGGGCTGTCACGCGCTCACGACAGCACCCAAGCTGTGCAGCGCGGTGCACATCCCTGACCTAGCTCTCAGCGGACCGATATGCGTTCAGCACTCTCACCAGCAGCGTGCGATCACGACAGATTGAAGACTGGCACGATGCATGCACTCCCAGCCGGGAGTTGGCGGTCGCACAAGCGGTGGAGGTGGTTCGCAGGGGACGGAGTGGATTCAGCAGATTGTGCAATGGGCGTGAGGAATTGGCGGACGGGATCAGGCGCACATGATAGCAGGGCGTGCGCTGAGAGGGTGCTCAGCGGCGATATCGGTCGGTCTGGGCATGGAGCAATGGGCCTTCAGAATGGTGGTGGTATTGGCGTCGGGAGGTGTCGCGGTCTGCAGCATCTGATGTTCCAGCTGCGACTGGGGAAGGATGTAGTAGATGCGAAGCGGGCTACGGGAGAGGAGGATGTGTGGTGGTGAGTGCGATGGGTGAGGAGTGAGTAGTATGGCACGTCTGGGTGGTGGTGATGGTGGTGATGGTGATGATGATGATGGTGGTGGTGGTGGTGGTGGTGGTGCATGGCATGGCATGGCATGGGACAGCAGGACAGCAGGGCTCCCGCTCTACCTTACCCCGCTCTTTCCTATTCGCGAATTGCATCCCCTCTTTCCGCTCCTGCCATAACGGGAGCGAAGCCTGCTTTTGCCTGCTTTTGGGCCGCTGGGGCCTCCCACCTCACTGCCGGCCATCTCATCACTCCATCCAACACCAACCTAATACCATCATCGTCACCACCACCACCACCATCATCATCATCATCATCATCATCATCATCATCATCATCATCATCATCATCATCATCATCGCGCACCATCAGCACTCCCGCACTCCCGCACTCCCGCACCTGCCTGACTGCACCTGCTCCTTCCTACGGGCGACACCGCATTCCGCAGCAGCAGTAGCATACAGACCAGAGCAGCTTCTTAGCAACCTGAGGCGCAGCTCCCTGCCTGTCTGAACCGACTAGTAGTACTGCATCCGCTCCCCGGCCCACCAGACGAATCAACTCGGCCGCGCAACTCCACCGGTTCGTTCGCTCATTCACGCACGCAACTCACGCTATTACCCAACTATTGCCTCCTTCTCCTCGCCCTGCCGCCCAGCGCCGCTGCCCGCTAAACCGCAACACTCGATGGAGGGCCAGCCATAGGGCGGCTGGCGCATGCGACGCTCCTCCTTCTTACAGACAGACCCCTCCACTCAGCTCCCTGTGATTATCGGAGCTATCGCGACAGCCTCTCCGCAGCCGCAAAGCTTACTCTGAGACCTCGTCATTTGACGTTCATCACGCTCCAAGTCCCCAGATCCGCCCTCCAGGAACGCGACGCTACAACACGCTTCTGCAGCATCCACTACACTGCTGTCCATCGCGCTGCACCACATCCTCCCCCTCCGCGGCCGCACTGTTGCGGTGGACACCTCCATTGCCGCGACGTAGACAATACCCGAGACCCTCCCGCGCAATCGGCAAGCCTCCGGCCAATGCCCAAGACGCCTCACTGCTGATTGCGAGAGCCATGCATACAATACCTCCCGGTTCATTACTCCATCCAACAACCGCAAAGTAGCCTCTGGCCTGGCAACGGGACCGCCCAGCCGCCATGTCGTATGTCGCCCGCTTTCTTCTTCTGCTCCATACTGTTCAGCTCGCCAGAATGTAGCTCTTGCTCTTGCTGTACCTATCCCGACCCAGTCCTCTTGCAACGATCCTGATGATGATTCCGCCCTCTCTCTGATCGTACCGATACGTACATTCCGCTCGGGACCATGTACACTAACGAGTTACTCGTCAGCAATACCTCTCCCGACCAGAAACGCAGCCTGAACACCAATCTGCAGCAACAACAACACCAGCAACACCAACATCCAAGCGCATACTCAGCCTCTCCATCGCAACTAACTCTCCCCTCCGACCTGACGTCAACTGGAGGCATACCCAACCCGTACCAGCAGTATGCATATGTACCGAGCCCGCACGACCCATCGGGCTTCGCATTCCCGCAGCAGACAGGATATAGACCGCAACCGCAACTCCACACCCAATTCGCAGCGCCGCATCCTCAGCAACATGCCTACCAAACGCAGCATTCACCCATCAACCCGCGGAAACGGCGGGCGTCTGAGATGGGTGAGCCCTCTCTACCAGGATCCTCGGGTAGCAGTGCGAGCGCCTTTACGAACCCGACGGGCCTCGTGACCGGTGGGACGGATCTGGGCATGGATCCATCGTCGGCAGCTGGACCGTCGCAGCAGACGCTACCCAGCCCTGTGGCGAAGAAAGGGCGCACGAATACGCCTTGGACGCCGGCAGAAGAGCAGAGGCTCAAGACGCTGAGGGAAGCCGGGAGTAGCTGGAGTGAGATTGCAAAGACCTTTCCCACTCGGACAGAAGGGAGCGTAAAGAAGCATTGGTATAAAGTGCGCCCTCCCCTCCCTTCTCTCTACCCTCATCTTGAATTCAAAGAGCATCTTGAATGCAAAGAGCATCTTGAATTCAACGAGGTTCTCGATGAGGTGTGACAACCATGTGCTGACTCGGGAGCGTTTGTTCTAGGACATGCATTATGCGGAGTTTGCCGAAGACGAGGTCAGCAGTTTCGTTCGCCTCACCGCGAGACTTGGGAAGAAGCACTGTCATGCTGACCGGTTGGACAGAGTGCTGCGCTGTTGCAGGCGATCAAAGACTACGAGAACAACAAGTGGAAAGTCATTGGACAGAAGGTTGGCAAGCCGGCGAAGGTGAGCGATTCCAATTCCCAGTAGGACGCTTGAGCGGAGGGAAGACTAACATAGCGCCCCGTCTGTCGTAGGCCTGCGAGCAGTTCGCCAAAGAACAAGGCTGGAAAGTCTGAATGGACCCAGCCAAAGAATCAAACCACCACCGCCACCACCGCCACCACCACCGCCATCATGGACGATGGATCATCATCATTTCTTGGAGCCCTTTCCCCGTCATTGGATCACATTGCTTTGGACAGAGATACCCCTTCGCTTCTGCTTCTGCTTCTACTTTTGGTATGCGTGTACGCGAACAGCAGGACCCGGGAGAGATTGGATGTCTTCCTCGGACTCGTGGGAAGTTGTTTGAGCGCTGGGGAAATATGAGCAGCGAAGGCGCTGCGGCGTTTGACCGACTACCGCATGTCGAGGAGAGTGTTTGGTTTTGAAAAAAAGAGGAAAAGTGTGGATATACCTTGTTAATCATTTTGAGCTTTCGCTTTCACTTGGTCTGAGTTGATGAGACGACACGGTCCTGGTCGCGTGGAGCGTGTAGGTGGCGCCACGCAAGCGGTGTGTGCACCATAGATGTAGCCGTTTGACTGGATGTCGCTTCGGGTTTGGAGACGAAGCACTTGGCACTGTCGCTCGGGAGGATCAGTAGCCGAAGATGAGTAGCCGAAGACCAGCAGCCGAAGACCAGCAGCCGAAGACCAGCAGCCGAAGTCTTGTCTTGTCTTGCGGAACGTATTGTTCTCAGTACCAAGTGGCGGCGTGCATGGTGCATGGTGCATGTGCATGTGCATGTGCATGTGCATGCGCGATGGTCATCCGACTGCGTGACTGGGAGGATGGGAGAGGATAGGGCTGTCGGGAGGTCGTGCAAGCGAGGAGGTGCTATCTTTCTTTCCTCCACGGTAAGAGCGAGGCAGTGCATGCGGTGGCACGTGAGAACATGATGCAGCAGTGGTTCTTGTTGATGTTGATGACGATGATGATGATGATGATGATGCTGCTGACGATGATGGTGAAGAAGAGGTGAGAGCAGAGAGCGCGGATAGGAAGCGAAGCGAAGCGAACAGAATGGTGGTTGTCGGAAAAAGAACAGTACATGGTAAGGTAAGACTGACTGCTCGTGAAGAGTGGCGGTGCATGCAGCACAGCGGGATGCCTGAGGCAGACCTGGAAGCAACTTCATGCAGCAGCAGCAGCAGGCAGCAAGTGAGGTTCGAATAGGAGAGTGGGTCGCTTGGGTCTTTGTCCACCAAGTGGTAGATGCGACGTGCCAATACCTGGGGGCACACTGCATGGGGGCGAGCTCGCGTTGTGGTACGTGCGTGCATGCCCTGTGCATGGTCCTATGGTTCGGAGAGACGGCAAGCAAAAATGTGCAAGGGCAGAGAGAGCACAGAGCACAAACCACAGCAACCGTGCTGTTTCTTTTCCGATCTCTTCTCTCCGCGATGCGGTGCTGCTGCAGCTGGCTGGTTGTTGTTGTCGTAGTTTGTCACTTTCGCAAGCTGAAACGCAAGCTGGAGGAGCGATTCAGCGTCGGATCTGACTCGCAGGTGTCAGGGTCGGATAGTGGAGACTGCTGTCACTCAGATGTCAACGGTTACAGTGGTTACGGTGACGGTTTACGGTTCGGTTCGGCCTCTGACGGCGAAGGCGGCGAAAGAAGCACCACCGCCACGTGCGGGCGGGGCAGTGTTCCAGGTGTTTCCAGGTGTTCCAGGCTGCGACGTGTGTTTCAGAATGGGACGTTGGACGACGTTCATTGCCGGTAATAGCATAGCAGGACCCTGTGTTTGAGGATTGCTTTGACGGTCTGGTCTGGTCTGACGAAGAAGGAAGGAAGGAAGGAAGGAATGGAAGACGGTTCGCCACTGCCTCGGACTGGGAAGCTAGACCGTTATGGGAGTCGATCGGCTTCAGGGTCTGCGGGTACATCGAGGTGAACACTGGCAAGACTCGGAGACTCGGAGACTAGGCAGATCTGCCGACGCGGGCTTGCATCACTGCGCATCACGTACTGCACACTGTCCAAGGCGGGACTGCATCCCTCCTGCCCATCCGCATCCACCGAGCACGAGCACGCTGTCAAGGTGTGGCCGGGCAGCAAACACAGCAACACCCCGTCCGTCTTGACCGCCTCCGCATCAGCAGCAGCAGCAGCAGCAGCAGCAGCTTGGCGGCACCTCATCATGCGGTGCTGCTGGAAATCCCACGCGACTGGAACGACCATCCCGCTACTGACGCCTTCTTCCACGTTTCCCGGCAGAAGATTCCCTCCCGCCTTCTCCCGCCCCCGATATCCCAGTCCATATCCCTCTCAAAGCAGTAACCATCGACACTCATTCTCATGACGGGGCCCTTTCGCCACCGCACACCCTGTTTCCGATGCGGACCTTTGCGGCTTTGGGCCGTCACTGTGCACGTCGATCGGTTCTCTCTGCTGCGCTGCGAGATGCGAGAGACGGGAGACCGGCCTTTGACGTCTCTGCTTCTATTTTGCGAACCACACCTGACATGCCCCCTGCCCTGCCTGTCGATACCACGGTGTCCTGCCATCGTTGTCCACCGTAAGGCTGCCCGCTCGTCGACTGACCGGGGCGGGCATCGCGTCGCTGCGAGGGTCAGCGCTGCCTTTCCTCTCCCTCCCACTGTGGCGAGTTGAAACGGCATGCCCAAAGCGAGCCTCCGTGGGCATGCAAGCGATGCAGTGCGGACGCAGGGCAGTCTCCCGCTAGCACTGGCGACGAGGTACGGCCTCCGCTGTGAGCATTCACCATTCGCTGTTGCTCTTGTGACTTGCGTGCTCTCGTCTGCTTCACACTTCGGACTAAAACTGCCCACCACAGCCGAGGCAGGGACACAGCACACAGCACACAGCACACGATCTGGCAGCAGCCAGAACCAGCGCTGCGGGTGGAGCTGGCCAACGGTAACGGTCACGGGCACGGGCACGGTCGTGGTGTACCTGCAGGAGCCTGGTGCCTGGGCCTGGCAACGAATGCCGTTACAGCACGACGTCATGAAGCCTGAACTCAAACCTCCCTCGACGCACGGCCCCGTGTATCAGATTTCCGTGCCCACCATCCTCACCTCCCGAGCCGAGCCAATCTGGCGCTCCCCTACGCCCAAGCTCGGCGCCTTGACCCCCATCCTTCCTTCACACTTTGGACATGCGCATGCTCATGCTTCCTCCGACGGACGATCACGCGAGGATGCTCGTTTCCGACTGGCACCTCTCTTGATCGCCAGCGGCTGAGCCTTATCTGCACGGACCGCCACCACCTGCATTCACCTGCATCCACGCCCGCTTGCTTAAGTATGGGCTTCAATGCCTTACCTTCAGCTGCCCTATACCCGCATCAGCTTCTTCCCCATTATTACTACCTCGTCTCCCCATCTCCTTCTCCTCGCCTTAGCTGCATTGCCTTTCGTCCCTCGGAGCGTTCCAGCACCACCGTATCTTGGCCTTCTTAATATTGCTGCCCAGCACCCCACCCGATCTTCCCTCGTTATAATACGACACGGTCTTTCACCTTTTTTCTTGGCCCATCGGGATATCACTCTGGTTCATCTTTGCGTTCGGAGCGAACTACGACCGTCGTCGACGTGACGTCCACGACCTGACCCTCAGCATTATCATATCACTCCTCGCAACGGCGTCGACCACCATCATCATATATCGACATTCATCACATATCGATAGCGCCCCCAAGTCCAGCGATTCGCCAATCGCTACCAACGACGACAAGCTGTCGTTGTCAATCGTTCCGCCTCCCCACCCTTCGATCGAATCTGGCTCCTCCCCCGACAGCTGTCTGAGCGGAGAGCTCTGGCAGCCTCTGTACTCAGTGGCAAGTGTGGCGCGACCATTCCAAGATTTCTCTTTCGACTTTGGCGGCGGACATGGTCAAGAACAGAACGCCACCGAGGCGACACTCCCGGTGACCAGTGCCGAATACCAGCAGCTCATCACCCACGCCATTGCGGATCCGGGCTATCTGCAACCGCAGCAGTCCTCGTATGCGACGCAGAACAACTACACTCATTATGGAGCCTCCAACATCCTCCCTTCTCCCGTGTCTGCACCAGAGCCGATCTACGGCATGGGAGCGACACCACAGCAACAGATACTCGCGTCCCAGAAACCTCGCCAGATGTCCCAGATCCCGCAAGTCGCCTCGGCCCCCCCACACTACGGCAGTCCCTACCATAGTCCACCCGTCAACGTCAGCCAGTATCAGCAAGATCCCGCAGCTGCGGCGCAACAGCATCCATCGTCCCGCAAGCGCAGTTTCCAAGAAGAGTACGACCACTACAGCGCCTATCAAGGCCTTCAACAGCTTCCCAGCCGGGAGTTCACGCCCTACGCACAGCAAGCACAACAGCAACAGATCGGATTTCACTACCCCCAGTATCCGTCCCAGCGGTCCTCCCCACACCCTTCGCATTCCAGCCAGTCGATGCGCTCGACTTCCCATCAATCCACGGCCGCGCACCAACAACAGCAAGCATCCCAACACCACCATCACCGTCTCCCCAACCAACAACCCCCCAACAAACTCGCCCGCTGGGACCTCTCACCCACGGACGACGAGGATGACCACGGCCCTCCCTCCGTGGTGGGACAACCAGGCATGCCCGCACCGGCCCCGCGCCCCAAAGGGCCCAAGCTCAAATTCACCCCCGAAGACGACGCGCTCCTGGTGGAGCTCAAAGAGACGAAGAACCTCACCTGGAAGCAGATTGCCGATTTCTTCCCCGGCAGGAGCTCGGGGACGTTGCAGGTGCGGTACTGCACGAAACTCAAAGCCAAGCGAGTCGTTTGGGGGGATGATATGGTACGTTCTACTACCATTTAACAACAACTGAAAACCACCAGCCGCCGACGTAATCGTCATCTCGAACGTAATGTCTATTGTTCTTCGATTTCAATAGATGACGTGTCTGCGGCGGCGGCGCTGGTGGTTCCATGCGGTGACTCTCTCGCCCGTCCCGTCCCGTCTTCGCCCTTTTGTACCTTTTTCATCATCCTGTACGTGGAGAGTCACTTGCATTCCCCCTTGCGTTCTCCCCCTCGAAATACCACAACCCTGCTAACGTTTCTCCCCTCCTTACAGGTTGCCAGACTCCGCAGCGCAATGCATGAGTACGACCAAGACCGCTGGCGCATCGTCGCGAGTAAAGTCGGCAACGGCTTCTCCGCCGTGGCGTGCAAAGAGAAAGCCCTCGAGCTGGAGGGCTTCCTCCCACCTCCCCACCAACCGGAAGGCCTCGACGACCAAGAAGAAGCAGAAGACGAAGAAGACGAAAGTACCACAGGATTCCCACCATCACATGGGTATGACGATTTCCCAGTTAGGACGACGACAACCACAACAACGACGGACGAGCACGACGACGAGAAGCAGTCATCAGCAGCAGCAGCAGCGCCACCACTTCAGCCTCAGTCATCACATCAACAACAACAGCATTTTGGAGCTCTATCGGGTTGAATGATTTTTGGTTTGGATCTTTTTGGGCTTTTCGGATAGCGAGGCGTTTTTCATCATCATCATTTTCCCCCGGACTGCGTTTTCTGCATGCATGCAATGCGAGGATATCTACAGCAGTTTGCTGTTTTACTACTACTGTACCACCACCCATAACTTGTACCACCACCACCACCACCACCACCACTAGTCCCAACACAACGGCGGAGATTTTTCCAGGACAGGGACAGGATCGTGCTGGACATGATCCTCCCAAACCAGCAAGCGAGATATACCTCATGACGATTGATTTGTTGGATGTATTGGGGGGTCTTTTTTGTTTGTAAGATTAGCGAGGGAGATGTGTGTGAGAGAGAGAGAGAGAGAGAGGAAGGAAAGAAAGAAAGAAAGGAAAGATACTCCTAGTAGTAATAATGGGTTTCATTATTATGAGCGTGTCTATTCTAGTATCAATCATATCTAATGAGAATCGAGAAGGATTGAGAAGTGGGAAACTGCAAGTTTCTTTTGATGATTTCTTTTTTCTTTTGGATCTTCCACCACCACAATTCTTGTGTATTGAGCTTTTTCACATTGATGTCACTCTTGACGTCGATGCGTTTGATGATATGCACTTTTCTTTTGTGCAAACATGTTGATGGTCGTGGTCCTGCTGTGCTGGAGGAGGTCGTCGTTGGAGGAGGAGGAGAAGAAGAAGAAGAAGAAGAAGAAGAGGATGCTTTGGAAGGGAGGCATGGGGCTCAATGAAAATTTTTCATTGATGGATTGAGGGGATTTAGGATGGATTCAACATGGAGTGAGAAAAGATGTCTTGGGCATCCTTCCATCCTTCTTCCCTCTTCCTCTCCTCAAACTATCAAATCGTATACCTACCTACCTACCTACCTACCTACCCTACCTACCTTACCTCTCAGGCTGCAGGCTGCAATAAAATAATTCGCCTCAAGTCTGTCTGTCTGTCTGTCTGTCTGTCTGTCTGTCTATCTATCTGTCTATCTGTCCGTCTATCTGTCTATCTGTCTATCTGTCTGTCAGTCACGGCGTAGTGTGCGGTGTCGGCAAAAACTTTAACGAGTCGAGTCGAGTCGAGTCGAGGGAGATTCTTTTTTTGGGGGGAGGGGAGAGGACAGACTTTCGGGATTAATTCTTGCGTACAGTGATGCCTGATGCCTGATGCCTGACGTGGGAAGACCAGAATGAAAGAAGGACGATAGGGTTGGCCAAGGGTTTACCTGCAAGGATACCTTACTGCTCCGCGGAGTGGAGTGTGGAGGCTTCTTTCTTTCTAATTTCTTCTTTGGCGGGGTTGTCGTAGAGTAAGTTGCGAGAAGTTGGGTCGCAGTGCTTTCTCTGTCTCATCGTAGCGGATCTGGTGGAGCAGAGGAAGAAGCTCTTTTTCGTCGTTGATCTACTAGGTGTGTGGGTAGGTAAGAAGAATCCGGGCAATTTTGCTATCTTGCTATTATTATTAGGGTCGTGAAACGAGGGGAAAGTCAAGCCTAAGGAGGTGCTATTTACCGTTTCTTTGTCCCCCACTTGGGAGGGTCGATATTCTTATTATTCTTCTTCTTCTTACGCAGATCCACTCCCCTTCGCTCGCTCGCTCGCTCGTAAGCTTGTAGTAGACTGAGGTTTGTAGACAGCATCGTCGCTCCCCCCCCGGACACACCACTCCGTTCCAATACTAGGTAATCTACTAGGTGTGGATGCAGGCAGCTTTCGCGAGAAGTAAACTTAGTAATCGCTAGATCCTGCCCATTCGAACTACATCTACTCCATTTCTCCCAAAAGTGGGCAATCGCAATTCTCAATCTCCACGCTCTACATGCTCTTCCGCTTGACGTTCCGATTCAGGCGTCTGTCTGTCTGCGTTGGGCATGCCAGCAGGTGTTATGCAGTGTCGTGCAGGACCACACTGTAACGGTACAGCACGATCGATGGCCTATTTTCAGTATACCGGTAGTCGATTGCCGTATCAACAGCTGTCAAGGGTCGGAAGCCGTCGAGATCGAAAAGGAGATGCTTTCAGATCGGATGGGTCTTCCGGACAGGGATGGGGGGTTGGGGGGTTGGTGGTGGGAGGGATGTGTCTGCTTCCATACACATTATAGTTGGATGATTTCCTTGGATGATTTTCCTTGGCAGGTGAGGTGGGCGATGAGGCTCGTACGACGAGCGGAGATGTGGTACGGATGATGCATCTTGCAGAGGAAGAGAGCTCATTGGCCCGAGAGGACCAATTCGGCTGAGTTTCGGTCTTGGCGTGTAGTGTGCACGTGATGTGCGTCTTAGCGCTCGAGCTTAGTAAGGGAAGAAATCAATTCATCTCATCCGATGCATCCTTCTCCCACAACACCCTGTATTAATCCTGTGTCTGCATCAATCGTTTGTCTGATTTCGAGGCAGTAACAACACCTCAACACACCACGTCCAGGCAGGAATGGCCGCGTTCGCGCCGAGTGAACATGCCATTGCAAGCGTGCACGCCCAACTCGGAAGCGTCCAGGCCGTGGATCCAGTCGCACGCAAGAAATGTCGGCAGGTCAGCGAAGACGGAAAGTACCTTAGAAGAGTGTACTAGCTGGAGTCCATACTTCTGTCCTCAGCTCTCCGCCAGCCGCGTCGACGTCGAGATACAGAAGCAGCGCTTACCTCGAGTGATGGCCCGTCGACCCGTACCGTGGCGTCGCCTCTGGCCCTGGCCTACGGGTCGTTGTCAACGTGACGGGACTGTTTCTCACCGCATACGCTGGGGATTAGTGGATGGCCGAGCAAAGAACGCCTCAGCCCCTCGAATGCGACTTGAAATGATAGGAGCGACGGAGCCTGAAGCCAATGATGGATATCACCAATGATTGATTCACCATTGATTGATATCATCAATGATTGATAGCACCAGAAAATCTTCCGTCGTGGACGCCTCCAGCTCGCCTTCTCCAAATGGTGTGCCTCAGTCCTCACCCGCGCCTGCTCAAACGTGGTACTGCCCCGTGGGAGTGGAGTCTCAACCATGGGCAAAGATAGGCTAGTCCGAGTCTCTTGATGAACACCACCACCACACGGATTCTGGCAAACGCTCGTCGATATATAATCACTCTTCGCCCACATCCTTTTCGAGATTATCTGTTCACGAGAACTTCCCATTGCACCTCCAGCCCAGTTTCATCAACCAACAGCACACTCCAAGCAGACCTCTCACTACTCAAGAAGCCCCTCGCACGCCCACTCCTTGCAAGCATTCATCCAACATCTCCCATCTCCCCTCACATACCTTCAACATGTCGGACCATGTCAGTACTGGCCGCATCAGCAAGTCGCCCCCATTGCCAAGGGCTCGCACCCCGGTGGAAAGACACAAAAATGCCAACTGCAGATGGACCAACGACGAGGTGAATACAGACTTTGCCATCTCGTACCATCATGACTGACTTTTCGCAGAGAAAATGGGTGATCGGACAGCGCATGCCCGACCGGTGTATGCCATACAGAGCCATCGGAAAACGTCTCGGTCGCTCTGCTCAGGCCTGCCGACTTGTCATGCATCACTGGAGAACGGGCAAGACGGAAGGATGGGACGATGAGGATACTCAGTCCACTCCTGCCTCGACTCCAAGCCTGGGCGCCGCGTCAAGCGCCTCATCCTCTTCCAGCGCTGCCGGCCCGGCAACGCAGTCGAAACCCTACCCGCCTCTCGTACCGCTCAAAGCTGCTTCCACATGGACAGCTCCTGGTTGGCGACCTGCCGAGGATGCCCAGCCAGCCCAGGTATGTGTGGCGCGCAACCGTCAACCCTCAAGTCCTCTGATTCAGATTGTTCGCTGACTTCTTCCCCTTCCGCGCAGTCGTTCGGCGGTATGGAGATGGCCCCACAGCCCGCACCAGTGCAATCGCCATCCACTTCGTCAGCCCACGTCGGAGTGCATTACTACCACCAGCCAGCACACGTGTTTGTTGGCCCACATGTGCCGCATGTGTCGCCCACCCCAGGCGTCTTCTACACACATGGCCAGCCCTTTGTGTACAATGTCACGCCGGCGACGCAGCAGTACTATCCGCCTCCTGCTGGGCATGCTTACCAAGCTCCTCCAAGTCAGATGAGCCCCCTGACCTCAACTCAAGTCCAGTCTGCCTATGGTATGAATGCTGCTGGACCTTCGAGCACCTACGGGCAGGGACCAGTCGCTCATCGCACGAGAAGTGCAACGTCTAGCCCTGTCGTGGCTCCCGTTGCTCAGGGTGAGGTCAACGCTGCGTATACCTCGCCTGCTACAACGTTCCATGGTGACGCTACCACTGCCGCGTCCACTTCCTCCGCTGCAGCCGCCACCATGAACGGCGATGTCGGGCCATCTGAGCGCCCCGAGGCGGAGACCAACCACGCAGCAAAGCGCCGCCGCCAGGATCTCCACGATATGTGGAAGTAAAGCCGTGAGTGCATCGTCTACTCTTCGCTCATTGACATCTGACTGATCACCCATGCTAGCAGACACCGCAGCAAACCATTCTTGGATCTCAGCATCACTGTCCTTTACCAGCGAGTTCTTCCGGAATGCGGGCGCAAATCGTTCTTCTCAACTTGCTGTTTTTGAAGCGCATTTGGAATTTCCAGCATCACACGGTCCTTTCCCACGAACAGCAAAGTCTTTTTCGAAAAGCGATTTTTTTTTTTTGCTTTTCATTCGTTGGGTTGGTTTCAGGGGGTGCACGGGGGGTTTTTTTTGGCGGCGGCGCATGTTCATGTTGCATTGTTCTTTCTTTCTTCTGACTCTGACTTGAGAGCGTTCATTGAGTATCTTGGGAGTTTTTGATGAGGCAAGCGAGCGTTAGAGAGATTATTATAATACCCCGAGACAAGACAAGACTGGCGTTGCGTTTTTTGGTAGACAGGCAGGTCAAAAGGGGCTTAGTAGAAAATTGAGGAAATGCATAAATGCTATATTTCTCGACAGATGTTCTTTTGCCTCTTCCCCATGTATGTTCCTTCTTCTTTCTTTCTTTCTTTCCTTGAACGGTATACTCGGTTCGATTCGGTATGATTTACTCCCAAGGGACTCTCGCATTCTAGCGAGAAAAAATTTAACCAGATGTCAGACCTTATGTTCAAGTTCAAAGTCCTTTTCCCCTTTTTCCCATTTCCCCCCTTTTTCCCCCTTTCCTTCTCCCCCTTTTGCCATGCATATGTCTGTCATGCTCGTGTGCGCGTGCCCGTGTGCTCATGTTCGTGCCATTCCCAACCCAACCAAACCAAACCAAACCAAACCAAACCAAACCAACCAAAGTTGGAATTCGTCGTTTTTCGAACAGTCCCGTCTTTTCCGTCTTTCCCGTCATTTCCCGTTCTTTGTGTGAGATATCATATCCTAATCAATGATCCGGCGGGAGAGAGAGAGAGAGAGAGAGAGAGAGAGAGAGAGAGAGAGAGAGAGAGAGAGAGAGAGAGAGAGAGAGAGAGAGAGAGAGAGAGAGAGAGAGAGAGAGAGAGAGAGAGAGAGAGAGAGAGAGAGAGAGAGAGAGAGAGAGAGAGATGTGTATGTAGGGAACGGACGCGGAAGGTTATGGTTTGGTATGGATAATCATTCATTCATTCATCCATTCGTTTTCGTCTTTGGGAGGCGAGTCAGGACGGATGGATGGATGGATTATGAGATTGGGATTGGGATTGTTGTGTTGTGCCTTTCTGATCTGACGATTTCGTTCGTTCGTTTGTCGTCTGTCTCGCTGTCGCTTTCTCGCTTTGTCTTAGGGGACTATCGTCTCTTCTCGCGCTCCTTCGCGGTTAGCAAAAAACCTCCCCAAAGCTCCCCAAAGCTCTTTGGCGGTAGATAAATACTAGCTAACTAGCTAGCTACGTCCCCAGAATTCCATCCACCCCCTGTTCTCATTGATATATACATATGCCCGTAGCGTCGAAAACTTCCGGGGGCGGCGCTAGAGAATTGAACAGAACAGAACATGAAGAAGATGGTGAGAAAATGTCCCCGCTAAAGAGATTTTCTCTCTCTCTCTCTCTCTCTCTCTCTCTCTCTCTCAATCTGTACGCTATGGGATTGATGAGTGAGAAAAGGAAGCGTTCCTAGATTTTGTCGTTGGCGCGAAGAAATCCAGGACGGTGAGAATGCGGAATAATGAGGAAGAGCGAGCGGGCGTGCGTGCGTGCGGGATTTTTGGTGCTTTTGGGAGATTTCCCCCTTTTTTCTAGAGGCTGATGATGATGATGATGATGATGATGATGATGATGATGAAAGCTGATCCGCTGACCGACACTTTCCCTTAAATTCCATGAAGAAGAATCGGAAAATCTGAATGTACGGGACTCCTTGGCGAAGAAGCTGCGCGTGGACGTTCTCCAAGCCGCTCTCTCTTCTGTAAAGCATCACCATGGGCCGGAGATTTCCAGTCCAGTCGCTCGTTCGTTCGTTCGTTCGATGGAAGTGTCTGTCGTCTCTGTCAGTCCTGCATAGAACGTCAGTCAGTCAGCCAAAAGACCATGGCACAATGACACAGGGAGGGAAGTCATGGATCGCCGTCAACGACCGCCGAGAAAGAACGGTACTGAGACTGCGTCAAGTTTGGATTCGTTTCTCGTTCGTCTCTTAGATCGTGTCCTTCCTGGGTATATAGTACAACATTGCCCCCAGCGCGGCGGATTCGTATGTTCGTGGCCGCCGCCGCCGCCGCCGCTGTTTCCAAAGAAGTCATGATAATCATCATTCACAATGCAATACATGCGCGAAAGCCCAAAACGTAAGGTAGCACGCCCAATTCGTATCATCGTCAAGCATCGCCGTGCCATTTACACACCCGTCCAGTCCAGTCCCATCAGCCATATGTGTCGTGTGGGTGTCGTATGGGAAATCTTTTTCAAGCAACTCCACTCCTGTCATCGTGGAACACCCTCGTTCCAATCTGCCCTCGCAACTTCTCCCTTCGCTTCTCCAGCGCACGCTGCTCGCGCTTCTCCATCAGATCCCGCAGCCCGTCTAGCCCAACGTACTCGAACCGCGCGCCGCCGGAGAAGGGCAGCGTAAAGGTCATCCTCCTCTTCTGCTTCGCCTGCAAGCGCCGCAGCGTCTCGTGGCTCACTTGTCGCTCCACATAGTGCCGCCTGTTATTCGTGCCATGGCGGTTGATCCCCAGCGAATTGCCAACGAGGAAGCCTCCGTTGCCGCGAAACCCAGGCATGCGAACGCTCATGTTCCGCGGAAAGAGGGATTTGCGCCTCTTGTGATCGATGCTCGAGGTATCGCCGCCAGGTGGTAGACGTACGTAATGGTCATCATCATCGAATTCGTCTTCTTCGTCGCTGTCCAAGTCGTCCCAGAAATCGCGCGGCTGCCAGAAAGAGGACAGGTGCGTCGGACGCTGCTCAGGCATTGTGGTGACCCGTTTTGGTGCCTGCTTTCGGACGCTGCCTGTGCGGCCGAACGGAAGAGGGTGGATCAGGCTTTCGCTATAACGTCTGACTCGCTGGGTGAGACTGGGGCGGCGCTGCATATGTTTTCTACACAGGATGGTCAGTATGACGGAGGTATACTAGAACCTACGTTCTTTTCTTACCTCGGATTTTCCTCCGCGCCACCAAGTCCACCGAGCGGACGCTCTAGCTCCTCGTTGGGCGTAGGAGGGATGAACGTGATGGTCGGCGGTTCTGGCGCTGCACGCGGGTTCGTGAGAGGACTGTCCACGGTGTACGCGGGCCCCATCTCCTGCGTCATGTCGGTCGGCTCTTCTACAGATATCCTCAACGTCTCTTGTTGCGCAAGTGGATGGGCGGTCGAGTTGAAGTCCTCGTCCTCTTGGATCGGGGCTGCCGCGTCAGGGTAGCCGATAGCTCTGGACGCTTGCTGGATCAGAAGGAGGCTGTCGTTGTTGTGGGGAAAGAGTTGGACTCCTCTTGCCTCACAGAGCTCGGCTTCGGTTCGATCGGAGAACTGGCTCATGGACAAGGGTGTCCCGACGGAGCGAAGAGAGCGCGGATCCAAGGTCTTGCGTGGCGATGCTCCCATCTTGACAGACGAAGTGCGGCTTTCTCTCAGCGAAGTCTGCTCGTTGGCCACAGACGCTTCAGCTCCCGGCACCGCCTGCTCGTCTGCTGCCTCCTGTTCCTCGTGCGCATGGGTTTCTACTGGCTCGTGCGGATTGTCGTCGACGCCTCCGGGCCCAAAACGCAGCTCGTGGCCAAGACTAGTCCGTCTCACCTCCAGATTCTTGTCCAGTCGCCGATCCGCAGAAGTCCTTCGCAGCCTGGGCGATCCTACGGACTGCTGCAGCAAGGAGCCGTCCATGCTCCAGGGCCGAGCCTGATCCGCCGTCTTTGAGAGAGAAGCGACTCTGTCCAAGTCAAGCTCTCGCACTGATCGTCGCAGTCTGCGCGGCTTCAGATCAAGCTCTGGGGAGGGCTGAAGAGAACTGGAGGTATTCGCTTCGACGCCCTTGCGCTGTGTGTGTCTCGCGTCTGGGACAGCTGACCAGTAATCGTAGCCATTCTCTCCTGGGTTGAATTTCGAGATGCGAGCCGAAAACTTGCAAGGCTCAGAACGCTCCGGCGTCTTTGGGAAGACCGGCTCGGGACTCGTTGATCGTATAGTTCGCTTGTGTCGCAACTTGTGGCCACTGTCCGTACTGCTGCGCTTCTCGTTGCTCGCCAGGCTGACGTCGCCTCGCAAGGACGCTCGCTTCGACATGTGCCTCAATTTCCGCTTGTGCTGCGGAACGGCAACCACTTTGGCTTGAACGCTGCCGTCGCTGATCGCACTGTGCCGCTTCGCATTCTCCTCCTGAATCATCTGATAAACCTTGTTGTTCTCCTCCAGCGATGCTTTTTGCGCGGTATTCGGAGGCGATGGGGATCCCGGAGGTACGGCGGACGGAGTGAACTCGCGCAATCTCGTAGGCGGCGTTTCAGCCTCACTCAGGACTCTCGTCTGGCGTGGCGTGGAGTCTTGCGTGCCCTTTTGCGATGGGTTATCCATAGGCGATTCCGGGGTCTGTGGACGGACCAATTTTGCATTCCCCAAGAACTGCGTATCCATTTCTCGCCTTGGCGTGGCCTTTTTCGCTTCCGCAGCTTTCTGACCTCTCCACGGCACGCTCGATGAACCATAAAGCAGCGACTCATTCGGTCGCTTAAGGTCATCTCCAGGCTGGATTGGCTTCCTGAGCCGCTGATACGCTGCACGGTGGTCGAGCACTCGCCGCGCTGTCGGAGCTGATGGCGATGCCTCCTCTGCAGTATTGCCATTGGATCGATGGCTCACCGGCCGCTCCATGTCGCTGTCCGATTCCATCTGATAGTGCTTAACTCTCACTTCGCCTCTTTCTGAATCGTCCGTGTTTTCAGCCTTCCGCTCGTCGTTGTCCAGCCCAAAGCCAGCCCAGCGGAGGGGTCTTGTGTTTTCCAGCCAGGTTCGCTCCCGCTCGCTGGGCTCATCTTCCGCCGGTACGTCGGCTTCACTGGTGGGATTACTTAGGCCCTCGTGAGCAGTCTTGAAAGAATCGGCATGCGAGCTTGGACAATGGCTCAACAGAGGGCGTGGCGCGAGCAAGTTCTCGCTCGTGCCCGGAGGTGATGTATCTGGCGTGGGAGGACTCTGATTGCCCATGGCCGGAGTGCTGTGACCTGACTTCTGCGTCTCCAGAGCGTTCCTGACGCGATCTGCGAACAGAGGGGCAGGGCTCAGCGCCCTGTGGGGCTTCGCTTCCGACCCATCGCTGTTCGTCATCGTCGGCGGCGTGGGAGGAAGGCCAAAAGTGTGTCTGCTGAACTCGGAGGGGCGTGGAGGGGGTGTAATCGTGACATTGGAAGGCTCGTCGTGGTCGTTGGAAAGAGGAGACACAAGCTCCTCTTCGGAGTCTGGGATGTCGGCGTAGGTAGTCGGGACGGAATGCGCATAAGCTGACTTTCGTTTGAACTGTTTCGCAGGATCGATGTGGTATGATTGCCTGTGCGCGCATTAGCATGCTGCGAAGGAGCTCGCTGAAACATTGGCCAGCTTCTCGCGGAGCCATTCGATCTGCTCCGATGCTGTCGCTGTGCATTGCAGTAGACATGGAGAGGGATGCATACCGTTCGAATGCCTTCTCGAGGGCACGGAAGCCTTCCCGTGGGAGGTCCATTGCCTGTTCTCACTGCCGGAGTAGGAGAGGCATAGAGGTCGGATTCCGGAGGCTGGAGAGTTGGATGTCTTCCGTTCACAGGCGCGGTCGCGTACGTGATGAAGGCCTGTGGCAGCAGGACATTACAAATGTCCAACGGAGGCGTGTCGTACAGTGGCGCCTGTCGCAAGGCCGGGAGGGTGTTGGCTACGTCGTGATCGTCGGCGGACAGGTGCTGCGCACGGCTTTCTGCAGTGAGGGCAAGGAAGATTCTGGTGCAGGGGTGATGGGTTGATGGCTGGACTGGAGACCGTCGGTGTCGGGGCGTGTCGTCGTTAAAAGGGTCGTCAACAAGAAAAGAAGGATTCCGGAAGGAGAGTGGTGACAGATACAGGTATGTACGGGGTGCTGGCTTCGCTTGGTGGTCGCAAGAGAGGACGAGGACACGATGATGGTCCCAGGTCCCACTCGGCTCGACCAGCCTGGCGGCTTTCCAGAGTGATGTCAGTGGACGACCGTAGCGTCACGTGCTCCCGCGACAACGATGCATTCTCTGGGATATGAGCTCTGGGAAAAAGGTCTATGGCTTCTGCGGAGGGTCGGTGAGGTGGAAGAGGGCAGACTCTGCGCGATAATGGGCACCGGAGGCAGAGGGGGGAGGGCGACGCGGTCTTGCGCAAGTACACTGCAGTCTACGAGTCCTACCACGGCTACTGCGTCAAGGCACAGGTGCCATGCATGGCTGCATGAGTCTCTGCCGCCCGCGCTCCAATCATCGCACAGAGGCGTTTCTCCTCCCTATGACCCTCGTACCCCTTCAAACATTGCTCGCAGACGTGCGCGCATCGGGGCGTATACCTAATTGAATAGCGTCGTCTCACGCATGCCCGATTTCGTCGGTGTTTCCAACGACACAGCATCGCATCGTTCAACGACGGCGACGTACCGTTGGCGGGCACATCAGCCGACGAAGAGAGTTTCACCGACGAGCTACTGCGCCTGGCTGTGTGCAGCTCCCGAGTCGGAGTGTTTGGCCGAGATCATTCGTAACTCACCATTGGATTTCGGACTCCGCTGATGAGGCCGATGACAGATCCAGCTGCCGGCAGCCCTTCAGCCAAACATTTTTGCATCGCGCACGACAGCGCATTCGGTACTCCTCTGCTCTGTGTGGATGACCGGGTCCTTGGGATCAGATGTCGTGTTCATGCCGAGTGGCCAAGGCCCGCCAACCATGTGCTGTGCCTGACTACTGGGAGTTCGCGAAAAGGCGGAATCCTGCAGATCTGACTGCCATTCCGCCCTTTTCCGTATCAATGGCGTTGCTATATACACCTTGACAGCCCTCAGGAGAATCATTCCTGGCCTCGTGCCGAAACTGTCCTCCATTTCATGCCGTCTTCTTCGTAATCGTAACCCTGCCTGCTCGAGGCCTGCTGATATCCTCGCTGAGAAATGCCATCAATGCACCGATTCCCAATGCAATCTCGACAATGTCGAGCACATGCACAGCCCACCAGATATGCTGAACGCCGCAGATGCAAGACTCGTAGTCAAATTTCCATTCCCGGGTATCATTGTCCCACCATGCACTCAAAAGACCTGCATTTCCACCAAATTCGCCCATCGTACTTCGAACTGTAATTTCTCGAACGCCAAACCCTCCAGTGTGAGGCTCAGGAGAATAATAGTTCTGTACCTGCCAATGTTCTTGAGAGGTATGCTCGTCTTGCTCGGAGATGCCCAGTGTCTTGTTTGCACGAGAATGGTATGTCTGGCATCCCTCATGATCGTGGCCATTCAAAATTATAGCCTTGTGCCGTCTCTCCGGACCTACTACGCCGTTCAGAATGGATGTGCTGACGTCGTGGCTGAGATGATTCTGTTCTTTGATGCCTCCGCCATGATGTCCTTCGAAGTGGTCGAAAAATGGCCCATCCACGCATATTCCAGACTCTTTGAATAAAGGTATGTGAGTGAGCAAGACGGTGCCAGTATCTTCCGTGAGACGCTCCTGATGTAGCTTTCGATCCAGAAAATCCAAGCTGGCCTGTCGGAGCTCCGCATGCTTCGCAGGCTCGTCCAAATTCATGGAGTTCAGAACCGTCAGCCTCAGCTCCGGCGTTGGCGTTGGCGTTTCAAATGCCACATAATCTAGATTTGCATTCTGGTTCGCTTTGGCCTCATCCAACCGAAATCGTACCTCCCAGTTCACTCTCCCAAAAGCTTCCTCAAACCTCTTCACCCGATGATCATCCAAATCTCCAGCATATCCAACATCGTGATTACCAGCAACAGCAACAATCCTCTCTCGCCACCGCTTGTCTGCGCCGAGAACTTCTGTCGTATCCGCATCCATAATGCTCTCCTCAACCTTGCTGCCTCCTCTGTAAACCACGTCCCAGAATCTCTCCGTCCGTCGCCAGAACTCCTCATCTCCGATCCATTGGCTCCCCAGAAGATCGCCAAGCACAACGACATGCGTTGGATCTGTCCACCATTTCACACTGCGAAACACATGTGCCAGGTATAGATCATTGCCCCAGAGATCCAGCCTCTTGCGATAACTCCGAAATGCCTGTGGGACGTCCTCTTGGAACAGACTTTGTACATCTCTACACAGCTGTTCAAAGTCCAGATTGCCCTCCAGAGTCCTCTGTATCCTCTCCAGGCTGCCCCATCTTGCATCGTGAATGCTTGTGTCGCCTTCTAACTGCGGATCCGCGAGCGCGAGTAATCGGAATGGCGCTTGCTCTCCCCTGCTGACAGCCGTCTCAGCGCCTTTCGCTTCAGGAAAGGCACATCCTTGGAACACCGGGTATAGATACAGGTATGTCGTCGCAAGGATCGCAAGAGGAAGGAGTATCTGGAAGATTCGGAGGAGGAAGACGGAAAGCCGCATTGAGTTGGTCGAGAGGTGGAGGACAGGAGAGATGAAGGAGGGTATAGAAGGACGAATTACATGCTGTCGAAAGAGTGGAAGACGGACAAGGAGTCGGGTGGTTTTGATGGTCAGATCTTGGTGGAGTGTTGATCAGGGGGATCAGTGAAAGCGCGTCCGGGTGGAGGATGTCTGTGCCTCAGGCAGAGAAAGGTCGGCCCACCAAGTCGACAAGCTGCGCCTACCTGTGAAAGACGGGAGGACACCCACTAGCGTATGGTCAAAAGAAGCCAATGAGACGGGCGGAAAGCTCGGCCTACCAGTTGGAAAAGCTCCGCCTACCTAATATGAGCTCCCATTCCATGATAGCAGCGAACATCCACTAGCGTATGCACGGGAAGAGCCAATGAGCTCAAGCCTTGAACGGGCGGCAAGCTCGGCCTACCTGTTGACAAGCTCCGCCTACCCAGTTGGAAAGGTCGGCCTACCACTTGAAAAAGCTCCGCCTACCTGATATGAGCTCAGCCTACCTGTACTGTGAAAGCGGCGAACACCCACTAGCGTATGCACGATAAGAGCCAATGAGTGTAGGTACTGAACTTCGCGTGCAGGACGCGCTTCTCCCTTCGCAGACCGAGACAACACAACATCAGGACGTTTTCCATCTTTTGGGGCACGAAATTAATAACTCTGGTGGTATCTGATATCTAGGTGAATCCTCCACGACTCCTCGGTCCTTCCTGTCTACCTCGAAACCATTACGCCAAATCGAAGCCTCCGACGAGGAAGGAAAGCGTGTTCGGCTTCGCGCTCTGGACCACTCCGGCCACATTCTGCGCATCCGAAGGGCTCACATCGTCGTATGAAAAGGCATACCCCAACCCATTCGACTCATGGCGATGCACGCTCTGGGAGAAGTGGTTCCATACGCCTTGCGATGAGGTGTAGTATGTGTTCGGCGCGGCGCTGGGCTGGATGTTGCCTCCTCCGTTCAAGAGCGTTCCGCGGTTGAACGCCGCACAGAGACGAGGGACAATGGCGTAGTGCACGTCATTATCACCACTCTGGAAGCCAAACGGACCAGAGTTGCAGCCGAAGATGTCAGCCGCGGAAGGTGCTGGGTAGCCGCGATTGTCGCCGTCGCAGTGCAGAGTCATGGAGCCCATGTCGGCGTAGCAGTTGACGTTTCCGGCTGCTGCTTGGGTGTCGATGGTCAGAGGGCTGGATGAGTATTGTTGGTACACTTCGCGGATGTAGTTGTCGAAGTAGCCGCTCCAGGCATTGGAGTTCTGGGAGAGGTAGTCGATGGGTGCAAGGACACGGATAAGTTGGCCGTTGGAGCTGTAGACGCACTCCTGGTCCCATGGCATGCCGTCGGAGCTGTGTTGTTTCTGGAGATCCGAGCAGACAAGCTGCACTGCGTTGGAGGGCAGGCCTTGCGCTTCCTGCTGAGCTGTGCCATCGTTGGTGGTGAGACGGATGCCCAGCGGAAGACCGACGAAGTCGACGAAGCTGATGTCGGCGAAGATGTTGGCCGAGTTCCAGGTGAGCTCAGCGAAGCCGTAATTTGTTGCGGCGTTGGGGTCGTTTGGGTTCACAGCCGCTGGCTCAACGAGACCGGGTCCATTTGGAGTGCCTACGACGAAGAACTGGAGGGGGCCGTCGGAGAACCAAACACGAGATGCGGACCTGGCCATGGACAGTCAGCATCCGCAACTTTCCGCCACCTGGTCCATCACTGAACTTACAGGTATCCTGGGATGGTAGCCGATGTGGTGCTACCCTTTCCACCCAGCGGGATCGCAATGTCCGAATCCGAGAGAGGTACTGGCGTGCCTGATGTCGTCGATGGGTAGTAGAACTGGCCATTGGGACCGAGGAAGACGAGCTGGTTGTTCGCGTTCAGACCGGTAATGTACGACTTTACATTGTTGCTGTCCATGTAGTTGAGAAGCGCCAAGTTGAGGTACGACGCAGGCTGGCTGTCCGGCTTGACCGCAAAGGCCGAGTTCGTGGCATTGATGGTGTTGTTATGGGTAACGATAAGATCCTGGACACCACCTGGGTGTACGGTAATTGGGACTGCATTGGCAGTGTACGAAAAGAGCGACAGAGAAGCAAACAGAAGAGAAAGGAGCGACATGTCGGCTGAACGAGTGAATGGAAAAGGCCAAGAAGGTATTCCGTCGCCCACATCCGGACATCACCAAGGCTTATAGCCTATTTATTCCTACTGCCGTAGGCAATGGATCTCCAACGACCTTAGAGAGCCACACGGGGCAAATTGTATCTCCACTCCTTAGCTGCATATGCTGCCAAAGAAAGCCAGGAGAAAGGCACGACCAGCGGATGGCATAGCGACTCAGTCTTCAAGGCAATCTCCAGCTAATTGCTCTTCCTCTGATGTGGACCCGCAAAAGCCACAGCTATGGCACAGTGCCAACATGTTGAGACCGGCTAGGAAACCCTCATGCCGGCCTCGAACATCGCATTCTGCATCAGACAAGGAGAATGTCTTTTCGACGGGCTGGCCGCGCGTTGCGAGCCAGCGAATGCAAGCGGAGGGCACGTGATGAGGAATTTCCCTTTGCAGTAATATCGCAGCTCGTCAGGTCCGCAAGCTCGACAGTTGAAACTGAGGTGATTATGTTCTCCGTCATTCGATTTGTTCGCATGGAACGTGGCTGCGCTGGCGATTTGGTGCAGAATGCTTGTGCGAGCTCTGATTGGCTGGAGTGGAGATGAAGTCAAAATACAGCTTTGCAGTGCGGAGAGGGAAGTACTAGACGCGCTGCACAACAACAACAAGGAGCTGCTGCTGTTCCCAGATCTCGGAGCGAGCCAACCGGACGCGTGCCTCGAATTGGGACAGTGCAACTTCATGCCCAGGAACCGCTCGTCTGGATAGGGCAGCTCGACCGTCTTGTCGTCTCTGGATCGACACGGCTCCACTTCAGGCGGGAAGATATTGACCACACATCGTCGAGATCGATGCCATCCTACTGACACACGCTGAGCTTGAGAGTTTGCTTCTTCATCTTCTTCGTGCTCTTCTTCCACGGATCATCGCCGTTAAAGGACGTTTGGCTCGGGATGGAAGCAGGCCCTGCCATCTGCACGGGAGACGATCCTGCGCCGTGCTTATACATGGATTATCTCCTATTAGGTGCCGCGCGTGTCGAATGCTGTGGCTCAGGACATCTCCCTTCCTACTACCTTCGAGGCTTGATGACCAAGGCGGTGCTTTATTGACAGCCACATTGCCGGAGGTGCATGGAGACTGCATTGAAATATGCACGCGAACGTACGTGTTCACAGAGGAATGTCAGTTGTCGCAGCTCAATGTTTGCGGACAATGCTCCCGGTGCATCCTCATTCAGTACTCTCGGGCGTCGAGACGGCTATCACGAGCTCAAAGGTCGCCGAGTGCCAGACCGCTGTCTGATGAAGCAGATGCGGAGATAGCCATCCATATGCTGTCGGGTTCGTCGGCCCTCGTCCAAGCAGCGGCTCACTGAGCTGCGCACGTATAATCCGCAAGCTCATTCTCCTCCGAACTCTGCAGCAGCTGGCGATCGCGCAGCAGCATGACCCGATACCAGAGCTGCTCGTACTGCTGCCGCGCAGACTCCAAGAACACAAAAGTCCGAAGAAACCGCTCCCACGCGCCGCTGGATAGCGACTCCATGTCCAGGCGATGTGCCAAAACACCAATTGTATCCAGCCCATCGTCTGCTGAGACTCTGTTCAGAGCGCAGATGGTCATCATCGACCACAGCAGGATCTCGTCATACAGCTGCGCCTTTGAGACATCTTTCGCCAGCTCTACTGCCTGCTTGCACATGCTCGGAATGTCGATCGTCGCAATGCTGGCCTCCTCGCCCTCTCCGCAAAGGAATTGCAGCATCGAAACACCTGCGCTCTGGAGGATGAGATGCATTACGAGATTGAGTCGATCGCCGTCTCGGTCTCGGGCTGGGTCAATCGCCATGATATCCGTCAGGTTACTGGTAGCTCTGAACAACAGCAAGCCTTGCGCAGTATTGCGAATCATCTCTGCCTTCTCAACGATGTCTGTTGCTGAATCGATCTCACCACACGCCAGCACATGTTTGCTGAGACTGACATTGAGGTATGTTACTTTCCGCATCTTGACGAAGCCACTACCGTCATCCGATGTGAGCTCCAGTTCTGGCGTCTCCTCACGGACGTTGTCTTCTTCGGAAAAGGCGAATATTGCCGTCGCCATCTCCGTTTGTCCGCCTGCTTTTCCTATGAACGCTGACAGTGTCTTCATTCCCTTTTGGTGCGCTTTCCATGCTTCTCGGGTACCCCAGGTCCTCTCATAAGCTCCCAGAAGTGCTATCGCGCCCAAGAGGCCCAAGTCAGGATTGGGATCTTTCATGCAAGCGAGCTCCTTGTTGACGCATTCAATGGTTTTGTGTCGCAATGTCATGACGATCGGAGACTCAGTCGGGTGTTTGAACTGCCACAGGGATACTGCACAGCTCGCGCCCATGACCAGTGCCCAGAAGGAGGGCGGAGAGCTGAGCGCGGTGGCCGGGAGGCTGATCTTCCAGGTGAAGCATTGTCCGCCGGTCAGCTCAGGCCTGATGGGTAGGCGGAGATCCATCAAAGGAGCGACCACATCTGTGCAGAAGGTGAAGAGCGAGTGGAGGAGATTCGGATCCTTTATCGCGTTGAAGTCGATGGGTAAGATGGAGAATGGGTCGATCTGTCTCCTGCCGACCTCGAGCGTGGTCGGTGAAGCCTTTTCCTTTGCCACTATGTCCTGAGCAGATACTGGAACTTCCGTGGACCGTTCCTTTGCGTCTCGATTGGGTCCATGTCGTCGTCCACGCTTGGATCGAAGAGCGGCGATGGTGTCTTTCCGGCTTTGGGCCGACGCGAGCGCTGCTTGCCGCCGCACGATCTTCCTCAGCACACTGGGATCATTGCTGTCTGGGAGCTCGAGTATTCTGTCGTTCTGTTCTCCAGCATTCTGCTGTCGTCGTGGACGATTCGGTGCGTCCAGTACGATGACCGTGTTCATGGTCCGCGCAAGTGTGCTGGCTGCTGCAAGTGCCGTGGGCGCTCTTCGGTGCTCGCGAAGCCTTGTTGGTGAACGACCGGGGAAGTCAAACTAAGACCACGCAGATTCGTCTCGGGATAGGGCATCCCTATGAACGACTAGCTGTCAGCCGCTTTGTCATTTGCGTCCTCCTCCCCGTTTCCTGAGTCCGCCCTGCGTGGGGATGAATGGGCAGATCATTGTCGCTGCTTTGCCAGCGCTGCGAGTGTTGCGACCTCACGATTCGGTCTCGTGAAGTCGTGCTAGCTGGGCTCTCTTGAGTCAGTGCTGAGTTGCTGCCTGGGCTGACCTTGCGTCGGGCTAAATAAGGTTCGTCTGCAACGACTTACCAACTAAGCACTGACTCCAGGTCTCCCCTTTCCAACATCTCTGGATGCCAAAGACAGCACATCACATTGACATTATCACGATTCCGATATCTGCCGACGCGGGATCTTGATATCTGCCAACGTACCAGAGATCTGCTACAGCTATTCGCTGGAAAAGATCGTTCCAAGTTTGTCTCTCCAACAATGACCACGTACTACCAACACTCTACAAGATTCCTGGGAATATTGGGTCATCTCTCGAGAACGCTCGCATCCCGACGAAGTCTACCTTCGTCTTCATCCTGGGAAATGCTGTATGTGTTGTTCTGTTTGCGACACCTGCAACGGCCATCCAGGCTCCGGGCAGCTCCTCTTTCTAGGCATACCACCACTTCACGAACGCTTTATTCGGTCAAAATTCTAACAGGTTTTGATCGCGATTGCGTCTCCAGTGAGACGCGAGGGTTTGCTTTCTATTCAGCGGGCAAAGTATACCTAAACGAAGGCCTAGAGATGATCCTACAGGAGGAAGACCTGGACAAGGCGAAGGCCGAGTGGGAGACAGCACTGATTGACGGATATTGATTAAGTTGCCTTCAATGTTCAAGGGAAAAGGAGCTGCCCTCAGCCAGAAGTAGGAGCTTCCCGGAGCGTGGGTGCAAGGGTTGGAAAGAACTCTAAGTGGACCCAACAGCCTGGCTCAGTGAAACTCAGGCAAGGATCGAGCCTGTCGACATATCTCAATCACAGGAACAACACGTCTTGACGTCCTGACCTCTTGATAAGGCAGGCGGCTTCTAACTTGCGGCGAGTATCTAACCATCCGCAATGATCTGGCCAGATGAAGAGTTCGCAACGAGGCGCTTTCACTCGGCATTGGAATCTCGTCAAATCTACGACTACTTTGCGAGCTATCGGGCTTGGAAGAGGCCATGGGATATTGCTAATGAGGAATCGACAGAAAGTCCATGATGCTTGGTAATATCACCGCTGACTGTATGGTAAGTCGCGTCATTCTATTCCCAGGTTGCGAGCCCGAAGAATACAGCATAAGTTATCGGCTGCGGAAGAGCGAGCTCGTCCTGGTCTTGACACATCCTGACGCAAAGCATACAGGGCCTTTCAAATCCGAATGCCGCAACGAACGCGGAGGATATCTTGTCAAAATTCGAACGACTCGTTTGAGCGAAGCCCTTTCGTTCGTGGCAACTTTGACATCCAAATGTGAGATGGGCCAAATGTGAGATGGGCCTGTGGATGACCAGGATTCCAAATGGCGACTGGCGACTACAGCTTCTGTGCTTAGCACTTGGTGGCATAGCCTCATCTACAAAAAGGACTGAGGCTTTATCTACCTGCTACACCAAATATTGTGAGCTGGATCCCGACTTTGACTGTCAACGCTGCCATTTCTCCAACACTAGCCCCGGAGTGTGGCTGTGGAGCAAATGACTGTATAGAAGGCGAAGTCAATTTCTGGCTCGCTATCGAAGACCAAACCAAATTGTCCAAGTCGCTTGGACTTGATCACTGTTTACCTGGCTCATAAACTCATCTCGCGGAGGCCCTTCTGTATCTGGAGTTACAGGTATGACTTGAAGGCCGTACGAAATTTCAAACCCCATTCGGGCCCGACGTCCAGCGGGGACCGCATGCCCCATTTCTAGAATCTACAGCCGAGTGGTTCATCCTGTGTGCTCTCCTTGTGAATGCTTGCCCTCTGGGATACCCTTCTCTCAGTACATGGGACTCGCTCGCTTTGACCACTCAAACAGGTGTGCAGGCTGGGCTTCGTGGTTGAAACGACTGCTGCACTCAGTCTAGTGGGATCTTATGTCCGTAACAGGGAACGGGGATGTGAGCGAGCGAGCATTTCATTAGTTTACTAATCTGTTAACATGCTGAATCATGATCGACTAATCGCTTCGTATAGCGAATAGCCTAGTTTCTCAGTTATAGCCAACTGAGCTTATCAACATATTGCTGGTTTCCGAGACTCTTCGTTAAAATTTGGACCAAGGGCTTCGCACAACTACTAGGCAGCACGCAGTAAAGACACCTGGTCGCGAAACATGGCTACTGTCCCAGAACAACGAGCTTGTCGTCGATCTCTGATGAGAAATATTCAATTCTTTCAATAACGAGAAGGTAAAGATTGAAAAGGTCACCCCTTGTCATCGGCTCGAAGCACAGGACTATCATACGCTCGTCTCCAGTAGCTTGCACAGAATGAGAAAGATTGGAGGCAAGCTTCGAAGTCAAGACGAGAAGATGTGCCGGCCACGAAGAAGGCACGGAGATGGAGTAGAAAATTCTCAACTTTGTTGAGCTTTCATCAGCGGCAACCGGGTACAACCTCATGGTCAGACTGATTTTCAAGGGTGTGACCTGCCGTCTCCTGTATTGAGACGCACATTAAATTTCCCCGACTCCATCCCAGCGAAGCCAGCGGCGAGAGTTGGCATCACTCACCTCGCACTAAATCTGACACTGAGACGGAACTCTCCATGTTTCTGAAACCGGGAAATCCGCGTCCTCCATCTTATGCTGCTCATCGCTGAAGTCTCAAAGGGGTATCTTTCTCGACAGTATTTGCTGCTTGGCGTATTCGTGTTCGCGAAAGCGTAGTCACAGCACGAGACTGTACAATTCAACAGGTCTTTTATCGTCACCCGCAACACGAATCATTGACTCTCGAAACCTTTCTGGAGCATCTCTGCAACGACAAGATAGAATACGGCCGCTCAGCGAGCTTGGGCGAGCCAAGGGGGTTGTACACTGGAACAATGAGCCGTTGTAGTCAGTAGCCTCGGGTGCAAATGGCTCCTGTACATCCTCGAATCAATCCAACGCAAGCTACGGTCGACATGTTGCGTCTCTACAAGCTCTACAAGAAAGAGACGAGGGAGCAAGTTCTATCAGTGCAAAGGAACCCAGTCAACACAACGCGGTCGCAAAAGAGGATAACAGAAAGGTCAGTCGATCGCTGTTTAGGAGGACTCCTCCGACTCGGATAGGAAGACGGTCAGAGGACATGACGCGGGCCAGACTGTCTGCTGTGAGCTTGGGATTCAAGACGCCTTCCATTCAAAGACATTTTCGTCGCACCGTACGCCGCGGCATTTTGCGGTGAACAGAACCAACGGCACACACAAGAGGTAGCGTCGCTCCTACAGAGAGTATACTGCATAAGCCACTCTGTACGACTATGTAGACGCAAAGCCCCATAGGTGTCTATAGATGTCTAGTAGCCTTCAAACAGGCGACCGATTTGGATCTTGAGCCGTTCCACGTCAACAGTATACCATCCTCCCTTTTCGTAGAGTGGTTCCTGTACGCGTTAAGCAATGAGACAGACAAAAGCTATGATATACAAAGTGAGCTTCACCTTCTGTGCTATACGTGATTCCGCAATCAAGAAGCCAAGTGCTGATACCAGAGAAACAAAAACGCCTTCTGTACTGTCACATTCTCTGTGGTTAGAACGTATTCCTGATCTTCGAGAAGACGAGCCCCTGCTTGTCTCTCTCGTCGAGGGATCATTGTGCTGTCTTGCGTATCCTCCGACTATCCTTGCGAGGCTATGTACCTCTCGTCTACAGTGTAACGGACGTTTTCGGGTTACCCATAGAGGTATAATTGAGAGTCCCGGGGCGTGGATGGAGGATTTGTTGTGGAGTTTGAACGATGAGCTGGGAAGATTCCAGACTTGGACCTTACGCCTTGTGTCCTGAAATCGTTAGGAAGAACCGCGTTCGAGATCGGAGGTGTACGGAAACTCACTCCGATTGCAATTGAAGCATTTCCGTTGATGCATGACTCTCCTGCTGTTGATCACATTGCAAGTCGTAACGCGAGACCTAGCGCAAGGAAACGTCTCGACGACGCTACGCCCGCAGGTATACTCGTGCGTCACGTTGGTGCACATGGTGGGCATACGCGTGCTGAAGGGTCATTCGTGTTTGTTGAGCGTAAGGTGTGGGTGTTCGATAAGGGGCTCGATACCCTACGTATGCTATTGCTTTTAAGTCTATCTCTTGTAGATGTCTGACTCGATGTGAACCGTTGATGGCAAAGCAGGCTGAGACTCTTAGCACGGTTCTGCTGATACACTACAAGTACCGTCCTATGGTCAGAACCGCGAGCGGGACAGACGAGCAGCCGTCCGACCGGTCCCGGGCTTCCCGTCTTACAAGTTGAATCTGTGATCAGTTCTGATCCGATCCTTGTGCTAAGCTGACCAACATAGCCCGCATTCTGAGTATCAGATGATGTCTTGAAACTCCAAGCCACCCATGCCCGGATGATGGAGACTTTGACGCTTCCGAGTCGATGGCCAATAACGGCAACTGACGGGATTACCTTGAAAGGTTGCTGATAGAGGATCTCAATCCCACAATGTGCCGAAGTGTAACGTAACTTCCAATGCTCTTAGCAACGTCTCTTCGCAGATGCCCATTCTGCCATTCCTGGACGCACACAGGTCAAAACTCAGTATCAACTCGGCTCCACAGTAGTTTCCAATGGCCCCGTATAGTCGATGTAACCGACTGACCGAGAGCGGAGCTTGCAATAGACTTGACTCCTCCAGTCCAAGCCATTCTCTTGGGACGGCCATGCCACCATCATGATAGCAGAAAGAGCGAGAAACTACCAGAAGGGGACAGTTGTTGGAGGACGTGATGCTCAGACAAAGCTGCCACCACGTCTGAACCCCTACGAAACAGGCGACCCTCTTCTGAATCTTAGAGACCATTTCAGTTGACAGTGTGCAGTTTGCCAAGTTCCAAACACCGAGCACGGCAGTGAGGGCCCAGACGTCGATCACACACACGGGAGGTTCGCCCGGCAGAAATCTCGACCAAAGCTCTCCGACTCAAGTAACCAGTTGGTGCCTGCGGACTGTCACTATTCTGCGCGGTCGAAGATGTTGCTTCTGGTAGGGCCAGGCGCACATAGAGAAGATGTAACAGTGGGAGCAACGTTCGCGAAGTGCCAGCTCCATATGATCAACTTGAAGACGAGGAGAAGGAAGGAAGACCGACGCGCCACATTTGCAACACCAGAAATCTGTACGATTCTCAAAGCTTGTGTCTTGGTGAGTCTGGCTCGGTGAATATGCACCTCTGACCGGGCAGGCGGTAGTCGTCTGATCGGGGAGTGTCTCGAGGGTTGGACTCGACCTGGGGAATGATAGTGCTTTGAAGATGGGGCAACGTGGCACAACCGCCGAAGGGAATGTAACAGGTTATTGATCCATCAATTGCTCTACGGTGCAAAGTCACGCAATCCATGTGATCTCGGCTTGCCTTGGGCCGTGTCATGAGAGGACAAACAGAGTCGAATTGAAAGTGCGGCTTTACCAGCACTACATACAACGGCGGTATCGAGAATAAGCAAGTTGGGCTGCTGGAAGGAAGTGCGTTAGTGATGATTGCACGCTGGTGCTCCCAGATTACGAGCATCTCCGCGGCTATGCGTGAAGCTATGGAACCTAAGAACAGCGGAGTTTTCGACAATGATGCGCTCGCGGAAAGCGACTATGAGACGATGACCAGACGAATCGGAGGCAAGCTTTGAAGTTCTCGTGTGTTGCACTCAGCATTATCCGATCAAACGAGCCGAGTCATGAGGGAAACCGACCTCCAACCGGTACCGGACTGACGAGTTTGGATGATCTTGGCCTTGCTACACTTGAGGCGAGACTAGTAGATCCTGGAAATGTACCTTTGTCCCTGAAATGATGAAATGAGAGAATGCAAACTTCTCGAGGAAGTCGGCCGACGAAGTTGTGTCGATGCCGTGCTGGTGTTCGGGTCAGACTCCTCGGGTGGCCAGCTGGACTTGGCTGAAAAATCCGCTGACTTCAGACGCTACAATGGAGAAGTCCGGTGCCTCGGGTGTTTTGATGGCCCATAAAACATTGGGATGAGCTGTTTTATGGACTTCTCGTCCTGTTGCAACGCACAGCACCTGTTACTCGTCCGGAGATGGTCTACTGTAGTAATGAGATCCTCAACGGCGTCTATTGCACGGCATCAGTAGCTCAGACTGACGCTCTGGAGGTGCAGATGTCTCGGTGGCTGCGTTCGTAGTACTCCAGTCAATCCGTGTCCGCCTTCCGTTTCGAGAGAGCCGGATATCATGGACGTAACGAGACTCCAGACAGCTTATGTCTTTGGCTATGGGCAGCTTGTATGTGTAAGCATAGTACCAGTTATCCGCTTTGAATATCGTAGTGTATGTAATGTAGCAGATATTAGCGAGAGGAAGGGAGATCCTAGCGGGAGAACCTAGAGAGGAGGTAGTTGGGATAAGGTTGGGACCGCTGACAAAGCTGGATTCACTTGGTGACTGAGACGGCAGCACCCGCAATCACGTGTCAATCCCTGCGGGTCGGAGAGAGCCGTGTTTCTCTTTCCTTCAGCGAAATCGCAGGCATCGTCCCCTCCCGACACCGGAGAGAGAGAGAGCAAGCAACAACGCCTCGAGTCCGACCGTGGAAGCCCAAATGTCCTGGCACGGCGGCACCGCCTTCGACCCACCGCCCGGCGGCTTGCCTGTCGTCTCGCCGCCGCCGCAGACGTCGCCCACCGCCACCAGCCCCGACGACGACATCATCCACGCCGGCGCGCGCAAGAGAAAGCGCAGCTCCATCCTCGCCGCGGAGGATGACGAGGCCGACGGGAGCGGGGGCGCTGATGGCAGCGCTGCGGGTGGAAACGCGGGCAGTCCCACCACCACCGCCGGCAATGGCAACAAGCAGCAGCGCCATCAACCCGGCGTGAAGCGGGCGTGCAACGATTGCAGACAGCAGAAGGTGAGTGAGTGCGGGCATGAGTCGGTGCTGAAACAGAACATCCCCGATCAGCGTAGGCCGTGCGAAGTTTCATACCTCCAGCCATTTGAGTCATGACCCGCTGACAATAATGATCTGCTACAGTTGCGATGCAATGTCGTCGCTGGACCGGGCGAACAGTACAAGCCGTGCGACCGATGTGTCAAACATAATCTCAAGTGCAGCATCGACAATGATTTTAAGCGTCTCGGCAAGCGGGCTGCCCACGATGAGATGGTCAAGGAGCTGGAGCTATGCAAGGCCAAGCTTGCGCGATACAAGGCGTTAGGCATGCATCTGCCAGAAGAGACGCCCCAGGACTCTACATACAGTGGCAGCTACCAGGCATCGCCAGCAGGCGGCGCGCCGGTCGCATCAATGGCAGCGGGCGGCAGCGCATTCCTCGGTGCAAGTGAGGCTGCGGCATCCAGAAGCCTGCTCGATCTCAGTCAAGGCTATCGCGAGCTGGCGCCGACGAGCTATCCTTCCATTACTCCAGGAACATCGCACACGACACTCGGCAGCGTCACCCTCACGGACAGCCAGCTCAACGAGCTTTACCGCATCTTCTTCACATCGTACCATTCCTTCTTGCCAGTGTTGAACCCGGAGCTCACCTACAAGGATGCCTATCAAGACCACCCTTTGCTTCATTGGACCATTGTGGCCATTGCTGCCCGGCGTTATGCCGCCAAGCCTGGACTGTTCATGGAGCTACAGCGTCCCCTTGAGGAGATCCTTTGGACGACGCTCTCACAGGTGCCTCAAGCATACCATGTCTGCAAGGCGCTGGCTCTGCTCTGTACGTGGCCATTGCCAACATCATCAACGTCCCAAGAGCCGACAATGATGCTCTGCGGCATCATGTTTCAGCTCGCGATGCAGTACGGCCTGCACCGTCCTTCTCACGCACAAGACTTCAGCCGCTTTCGTGTCGATCTTCGCGAGGAGGACATTGCGGATCGACTCAACACTTGGGCAGCAGTCAATATCGTCGCGCAGAATGTTAGCACTGGCAATGGACAGCCGCCGCTGTCCCGCTGGGCTTGGTTCACGTACGGTCTGCACCTCGATCGGATGAAGCCCGAGTTGGCCACACGATGCCAGGTTGAGAAGTTTGTCGACACTGTTACCCGCACGCTTTTCACCATGCAGCGTGATCACGTTGTGGAGGTTGATCAGGCGACCCGTGGCCTACAGATTCACATGTACTCTAGAGAGCTGGGCGAATTGGAGGTGACAGTCTTGTCTACGAGCAACTCTCGTAAGTTACATGCCATTTCTGCATCTCTACGCTATCTGCTGACAAACAGCAGCCGTCGAAGTGCTCTTCCTTAAGGCGGCGCAGCTGCACCTTCGCCTGACCGCATTCTTCGACAAACCAGACCAGCGGAACTATCTTGATGATCTGCGAGACGTCTACATCGCTGCTTCGGCATTGCTACTACACCTCAGCGACATGGATGTCAAGCAGTTCGCACACGTTCCAAGATACATCGAGCAGATGATGCTTGCCGCAGCCGTCACACTTCTGAAGATTCTGAACTCATTCTACGCCGCCCATGTCGATGTCGTACAAGGTCGAACCCTGTTCTCCAGGACTGTCAGCGGCCTCCGGAAACTCAGCGTGCGCTCCAACGATCTCCCACAACGCCTTGCGGAAGTCATGGCACAGCTTTGGCAATCTAGCGGCGCGGGCGAGCAGAGACTGTTCAAGGATGACGGACAAATCGGCCATGTGGCCCGTGAGCCTGATGAGAGCCTGCAGCTCAAGGTTCGCTGCCGCTCTTCCCTTTCTGTGCTCTATGATGCGATTTGGCGCTGGCGTGAGCGTGCTGGTCAAGCTGGACGTGATAATCTCGCGCAAGCAGTCGACAACCCCACCGCTTTGCCCAGCGATACTCACTCCCGCAACACGCCGCAGCCACCACCGAACGGCATGCCTGCAATGGGCGATACACACCTGACTTTACCAGCTAACGAACTGGACGCAATGACTTGGGACTCTCCTTTCGGCGGTAATGCGGTCTTTGATCCGTTGAGCTGGGCTTTGGATGGCAACCTTGGGCTTGGCCAGGGGCTCTTCGGTGGCCAGGATGCATTGGGCATGGAAGCCTTCCAAGGATAGAGTCCTGAGGGCAGCACATTCTTGTATGCACCATCTAACCAGGCACGATTTCCTGGATTTGGGAATACGTCTCAATTTGATACGGGTTTCACGACGAACAATGGTCTCTATGGCCACGGCCGAGGAATTGGAGACACTTCTTCACTCGGCACGGGCTTCATGACGAACCATGGTGTCTATGGCCGCGGACGAGGAGTTGGAGACACTTCTTCACTCGGCACGGGCTTCATGGCGAATAATGGTCCCTATGGCCGCGGGCGAGGATTTGGGAACACGTCTCAAACAGGTACGAGCTTCATGACGAACAATGGCCCGTATGGCCGCGGGCGAGGATTTGGTTTGGGTTAGCGTGGCGTTCGACATAGACGGCTGCGCTTCACGATACCATGCGAATGCAGGAAAGAGCAAGAACAAATACGAGTACTGAGTACATAGTCACGGCCGTGAAAAGACGGGAAATCAGGAATTTCCTGTCCATCTGAGTTGATAATTCGTCAAGCACAAGAAATTGCTCTTGTCACAGTAATCTCTTGCTACAACGCGGCGGCTTGCTACAGTGTCCTCACTCTTCGATATGCTATTGTCTTGCTGAGCCATTCGCAGGATAAGTGAGCTTCTCGCGAACATCTTTACGGCAGCATTGCATCTCAAATACGAAGGTGTAAAGAGTGGAGGAAGCAGGATCCAGGTGATTGAACGCGCAATGCCGTTCGGACAGTAGTATCAAAAACATCTCAACCAAGAGTCTTGCTTCGAAAGGCTCTCGCCGAAGACTAGGTAGGGCCGACACGAGCGAGCCATGATGTGATGTGATGAACAGGAGGAGAGAAGTAGGTAGTCATGGTGCATGTATCTGAGCAAATTTCCCATCGCAAAAATCCGCTCAAGTACCTATCACCAGCGCAAAAATCGGATCATCTTGCATTGCACTGCAGGCTCTCTCTCTAGTTCCATCTATCTAGCTAAGAAAGAGGAGCACCGAAGGCATCAGACCTTCTTGCCCTTTGCAGCAGGCCCTGGCTAATGCAACAAAGTAAGAATAAAATGTACACGATGACATGGAGAAGGTACAGGAAAGGGGACAGACAGACAGACATATCTGATGGTTTTCTGAAAACTTTCTTCTCTCTTTTTCATTCATTCTCATTCTCATTCTCATACATCGATCGATAGCAAGCCAAGCCGAGCAGGCAGGACCAACCAAGGAAGTTACGAAAAAAGGCGCTTGAACGCAAAAGGGATAGATATACTACGAGCCACGCCCGAACCGATTCCACAACAGTCAATTCCGCCCAATCCGATGGGGTATATTCCCAGAGCCCAAGCAGGAGTGATCGATTCCGTTAAACGCCCATGTTCATACCCGCAAACGCCCTGACTGGGAAGCAAAACCGATTCCCAAAAACCCAATTTGTCTTTCTGTCCAGCCGTGCAAAAGGAGGGGAGGAGCAGAGTCTCCTGTTCTGTGCAAGTTTTCATGTCCATTCATCCGTGCAAGGCGCGAGAGAAAACAAGTGTCGTATCCGTACAATCAAGCAAGGCGTGATGACCATCCAAGCAAGAGGCTATCACCCAGTCTGTGCAAGAGCGAAGCATCTTTTCGTCCCATGTCCGTATAATCAAGCAAGTGGTGATGGCGGTTTCAATCAAGAGGGAAAACCCAAGTTATTCCAGCAAAAAGCAACGCAACTCAGTCAATCAATCTCCGCTCCAAGATTCAACGCCATGGTCCCTTTGTGCCTGCGCTGCTACCAGGACGGGCGAAACTGCCGGGGACGACGCTAGAGACCCGGCCGCCTGGTCGAACGGGAGCTTTGTAGGCATCAGTACGCGGAGTGCCGTTCATCTCGACCATGCTACGGCGATGAGTGAGCGCGGGACCACGTTTGGTGATGGGAGCAAAATTGGGGCTGAGAATGCTGTGCCGAACATCTTCACGGTGGCCAGGGAAGCGACGGGAGCTGGAGCCACTGAAACTGGTGTCGGAAGGCGGCGAGCTGGCAGCCGGGCTACGACGACGATGAGCATGCTGGATGCTCTCACGACTGCGGACACGAGCGGCGGTGTTGGTCCCGATGGAAGTGCGCTTCCTCTGACGGACGACTGCGCCAATCTCCTTCTTGTCGCTCTCGCTGCAGGAGGAAGCCGAGAGATCGCTGTTCGTGCGGCTGTCCATTGGGCTGTCCTTGCGCTTGGACTTTGCGCGAGCGAGTCCATTGCCGGCGATCGCCCTCAGTGGGCTGGACTCGTCGTCACTAGAGAGCGAGGCAAGGCTGAGGAACGGTGGCGGTGGCATCAAGGTTGGAGAGGAGTTGTCTGAGGAGCCCTTCTTGGAGAGAAAGCCGGTTGCGAATCTGCCGGTACCTGGAGCTTTCGAGGCCTCGCTGCTTGCGACCGGAGGTGCAGGAAGTGGGCTCGATGGGATCTCGGCCTGCAGAGTGTTTGGATCGGAAGTCAGGGTGAAGGCAGGCTGAGAAGCATTTGCGGCTTCGTTGGTATCACTCTGAGAGTGAGTCGGCTTGAATGGGCTCCCACCAGAGTAGTATGCTTTGGGAGTAGCGCTGTACTCGACGAGCGAGCCATCTGCATCGTCCTGATCTGGCCAGCGCACAGAACGCTGCTTCTTCGTTGGCGATCTCTTCTTAGGAGTGCTGCCAGTGAATGCCTTGCGTCCGAGCCCGCCGACCTTGACGCGCCTCTTAGGACTCGCCAAGTGTCCACGGGCAGGACTTGGGCCAGAGCGCGGAGTTGGAGGATGCATATCTGCTGCCACCGACCGTGGAAGATCCTTCATGCCGCGCTTTGGAGAGGATGTTGCGTTGGGAGAGGCACGACCCTCCAGAGCCATCGATAGCCGAATCTTATCCTTAATTGGAGTCGGCTCCTTGAGCATCAGCTTCTTCTTCTTTGGAGTTCCGGCCCTGGATGGTGGGACAGCTTCGACGATCTGAAGGCCACCGTCGGGCTTGATGACCTGGCCGAGAGACTCAATGCTGGCATTGAAGACTTTGCCGAGCATGGAGCGAGCTGTCTTGACCGCATCCTCTTCGCTCATGTGAAGCATCTGGTTCATGATGGCGATGGCCTCAAACTGAGACGACTGCAAGATGTGCATGAGTCCAGCTTCACTTCCTCGCAATTGCTTCATGATGGCATGATTCATGTCCAGCTCTGCCTGCATCTTGAGCTTGTCAACCTCCATGTGCAGAGCCAGTGCCTCGACGCTGTCCACGGCGTCGTCCTCGGAAATCGCAATGTCGGGGGAGGAGCTCTTGAGACTCTGCAGTTGACGCCGACCTTCTGCAAGCGCAGTCTCAATTGCACGAGTCCAATTGTTCTTCTGTTCCTGCTGATGCTGATGCTGGCGGCTTGCCTCCAGCTCAATCAGAATGCCGGTCGCCGTCTTGCGGAATGCGAGCAGTGAGGCCGGTGGCTCTTCATCTTCGCGGTTCGCACAGCAATCGTCGAAGTTCCCGATCCAGGCGTTGATAATGCTGATGCGATTGCTGATCATGGACAAGCGTACAGCGATAGTGATCCTCTCGCCGCGCTCCTGGGAAGAATGTGCATATGCCAGCCGAATGCGCTGAAGACACGCTTTGAAAAGTTCGTACTTCTTGCCCTCCAACTTGAGAACCTTGGCGAGTGCAATCTCGTCGTGGTTCTTCTGGGCCGCGTTCAGCCTGTCGATGGTCTGGCGCTGCTCCTCGATCTTCTTCACGTAGTCCTTTACGTGGCGGTCGACGTTGAAGATATTGCGTACGCTCTTGGTCTGGATATTCTTTGCCCGGTTTGCGTAGCGAAGTGTGTTCTGAGTCTCGTCGTAGTGAACGCTGCTTGGGGAGATGCAGACGATCATGACGGTTCGGCAGTTGCCTCCCAAGCTGAACTTCAGCAGGCGAGTGAGTTTTGAGTTGCGATATGGCACGTGAGTAGTCTTGCCGCGCTGGTCGCACAGGGCGTTAATGCATGAGCCGAGCGCGAGCAGAGACTTGTTGATGTTTGCGCCCTCTTGGAGACGGGCACCGCGGTTCTTGGTCGCAGAAGCTCGCTCCGATCCGGCCAAATCTATGATAGAGAGCGTGGCGAAGGTGACGGGCTCGTGGACAGAAGCATCGCGGTCCTTCAAGGATACATTGACCTGAAGTACAGCATGTGAACGTGAAGACGTGGCATTGGCTTCGGTCGGTGATTGTGTGCGCGCGGCGTTTCCGCGAATGACCATGTCCATGACCTCTTGCACATTCTGCGGTCGGTGTGAGGTCAGATCGGCGACCGACACAGCTTGCTGATTGTCCTCGCGCAGCATGAGACTCTGCTTGCCGCTCGCATCGGGATTGAGCAGGTCGCGGATGGTCTCGTTGTAGATCTCGAGGTATGACAGCGTAATCTCGCTCTCTTTCGCCTCGTTCACTTCGTCGACCTTCTCAAATAGCTCTTGCATGGTCATGAAGATGATGCCGGGAGAGGCGGAGGTGCCGGTGATCGTGTGCGTCTTTCCGCAACCCGTCGCACCATATGCGAAGACGGTAGCGTTGTATCCGTCCATAACAGAGTCGAGGAGGTTCTTGGTAGTTGCCTCGTAGACATCGACTTGGGTGGCATTCTCATCGAAGACTTTGTCAAAGCCGTATGTCTGATCTTTGGTCTTCTTGCCGCTGGGCAGATACTTGGTACCGAAGCGGTGGACGGCATTGTCGTCGGGCGGGTCGAATATGCTGTGAACGTGGTTATTAGGAACGGCTCACCATTACGAAAATTCAATGTATACACACAGAGTCTTCTCATCGAGCACCTTCACAACACTCCGGATGCCCTTCTGGCCTAGTCTCGTTTTGGGAGCGGCGGCGAGGGAGCCATCGCCGAGAAACAGCGGACCATCGTCGCTCTTCTGCAATTGCGCCGCCTCTTGCACGGTGAATGGACGCAGACGGACGGCGACCTGGATGCTGGATGCGCCATCAGTCCGGGCGCCGGCCGTCGCGGCCATGGTGACGGTGGTAGCTTCTCAATGCGTGTGTTGACGGCAATGTTTTGATGACGATGCGGAGGAGGCAAGCGTATGTAGCGAGGGTGCAATCCGTCCGACGACGATGTTGTCGACCAACACACCGGCGTAATAAGTGGATGTGTGAAAGCGAGTGGAGACTCGATGCTGGGTGGTGGTGGTGTTGGTCGGCGGGCGGAGGACGTTTGGGAGAAGTCGCGTGTTTCGTGTCTCTGCTTTGCTTTCAGCTGATGTGAAACAGCGCCAAGCAACGTCGGCACGACAACACTCATTGAACGACCCTTGAACACTCGCGGCCCGAACCCAGTCTGCGTCCACAAATTAAGGTAGGTAGTAGTAGCTACTAACCCGGATATGGCTCCGGCGCAGATTCTTTGCAGTGAAAGCTGCTATTGTCCTTCAACTGCAGGAAATAACGATCAATTCACTCCATCGGTGGCTTCCAGTCCAGAGCAAGCGTTGTAACTTTCCACGGTTCAATGTCGACAAGCACCTTCTTCCCCACGGATCCCGTCACGTGGAACCGTTGCTACCACGCGTTCCGTACCACAAAGTCGTTATGAACCGTCTACTGACACCACTTCGTCGACATTAGCACTGCATCAGCGAGAGATGAGCCTCCGAATACCGCGAGTATAACTACCATGAGTATGCAAGTTCGCATGCGACGATCGTTCCACACTTTTCGCAGATGCCTTCGTAGACCGATAGTCTCCGCTGAGTCCTCCGTCCCATCATACCATCTGTCCCCGGACGAAATAGCCTCGGACATCTCCGCTCCTCCTTCGCGGCGCCATCAAAGTCCTTCGCAATGCTCAGCGAGCATCAGTGGATCGTTTGCGTCAAGAGATGGGAGAGTTTGAACGTCCATGATGACGATCGCAACGCTTCGGTTCTCGGCTGCGAGCTTCTTCTCCACGCGGAGCTACCTCGCGGTGCAGTGCCAACACAAGAGATAGACATTGCACATCATTTCATACAAATACCATGCTTGCTTCCGTGCGAATGGCGGCCAATCGAAGACTCAGTGCCATCGCATCCCAGACGCGAAACATGTCAAACGCAACGATGAAGGAGGCAGTCATCGCAAAAGGACCCAAGGTCACTATACAAGATGCTCCCATTCCCAAGCCTGGCCCATATCAGGTCGTGACAAAAGTGGTATACAGCGGTTGTAATCCGAAAGACTGGTCTGTTTAGGCACAGGTTGACTGGTTCGAGAGCCGTCATTGACCTGCGCACAGGAAAAGAGCAGAGAACATGCCCGAGAAAGGACCAAAGAATCAAGGCGATGACATTGCAGGATACGTTCACGCAGTGGGAGAAAAGGTTTCCGAATTCAAGCCAGGCGATCGCGTCGCTGCTTTCCACGAGATGATGAAGCCGGGAGGCAGTTGGGCAGAGTACGCAGTCAGCTTTGCACACACAACCATTCATCTTCCACACCATACCAGCTTTCAAGGTACAGTCCACATCGTTGAAGAGAGTACAATCCGTTTAACCCTCTTGTGCAGAAGCCGCTGCTCTCCCGCTCGCCTCCTTAACAGCAGCCGTTGGACTCTTCGCTCGTCTCGGTCTCCCTCCGCCCTTCCTCCCAGCAACCAAGCCCATTCCTCTCATAATCTACGGCGCAGCCAGTGCAGTAGGCTCGTATGCAATTCAGCTGGCTTCCAAAGCCAACATCCATCCCCTGATCTGCGTCGCCGGAAATTCCACCTCCCATGTCGAATCGCTTATCGATCGGAGCAATGGCGATACGATCATCGACTACAGACAAGGGTCAGAAGCCATCGTGAAAGCGTTCAAAGAAACCGCAGAGAAAAACGGAGGCAATATTGGATACGCATTCGATGCCGTTTCAGAAAAGGGAAGCTATCAGAACATCTGCCAAGTACTTGACCCAAATGGCGGAAAGATCACAACCGTCCTGCCAGGGAAGAAATACGACGTGCCCAAGGGAATCGAGCAGAACCTCACAACAGTGGGAAGCGTCCACGGCGTTCCGGACGACCTGAGGGATTTCGGATACGTCTATTTCAAACTCATATCCAAAGGATTGGAGGACGGCTGGTTCAAACCTCAACCGCAACAAGTCATCCCAGGTGGACTGGAAGGCATCCAACAAGCCATGGAGAATTTGAAAAATGGCAAAGCGAGCGCGGTGAAGTATGTTTTCAAGATCGAAGACACTCCGGGAATCTGACAGCGCATCCCGACGAAATTACTCTCTACCATGCCGTGGAATCTCTTCTCGTTCGTTCAGTCGTTGGTATCATATTGGGGAAAAAAGTGAAAAAAAAAGAAACCCCCATTCCCTCCTCCCCTAACCTGTAGCCGTCCAGCGGCGGAACACCCCCCCTCCTCTCCTCCCTTATCCTGAAGCCGTCCAGCGGCCGGATGCCCCCCCTCCTCTCCTCCTCCTCCTCCCCTATCGTGATGCCGTCCAGCGGCACCACGTCCCCCTCACCTTCCTCATCCACCTCTTCACCCAGTTCTCCCCCTTCCCCTCCTCCTCTTCCTCCCCCTCCCTCTCTCCGTAGAACTCTCTCATTTCTGCACCTCTCATTAGCATTCTATCCCCTTGGTGGTCGAACAGGGGTCTAGTCTCTTACCCTCAGCAAACTCCGGCCCTTGGCCGGAGAAGACGGCGGTGAGCGGTGTTTGCCGGCCGCGACGGCGCTGTGCCGCCTCGCCGGCGGCGATGCTCTTGTTGAAGGGGAGATTGTTTGCGCGAGTGTTTGCCATTTTGTGTGGCGGTGGTTGTGGTTGTGGTGGTTGTGGTGGTGGTGTTGTTGTTGTTGGTGTTGGTGGTGTTGGTGGTGGTTTTGGTTGAGGAAGAGGTCAGTGGCATGGTAGAGAGCGAAGAGATGGAGATGCCACGGCGGTTTGGAGATTTGCATGTGAAAGTGGCCAGGCAGAAGCGGACCAGGTGAGGTGAGGTGAGGTGAGGATGAGAGGGTGGACTGTCACATGCTAGGCGTCAGGCTTGGCGACAGCGGGGGCTCACCTGGGAAGGACTGAGGAGGGAACCAAGAGAGGAATGAGAGGAGTGGAGGCGGCGTGGAGGTTGAGGCATTGTACATGGAGCAAAGGGTGCATTCGTTCCGACGAAGATACTAAGCAGAAGGCAATGAACCATCTCCAACAGCAGATCGAATGGACAGGGTAAATGCCCTGCATTTGATTGACTGCCCACAAACACCACCTTGCTGACCACAGCACCATCATCACCACAACTTAGTGTGAACCCGGAGAAGAATGCGCTTCTCGAACGCCCTCCAGTGGTATCCGTAACACGATCTCCCGTGAGCTTTTGGCCATGTACACAGCGTTGGTCATCATCATCATAACCACGGCTGCCGCCGCTACCAGCTCAAGATATCCGGACTGTGGCCAGGAACAGAACGTGCTCCTTGAACGCTATCCGCTGGTATCCGTGACACAAACGGTCGCCAGTGCGCTTCTGGCCCATGTCCACAGCCTTCGGTCATAGTCTTGAAGCCAATTTAAATTTCATCAACACCCGTACTATTGCCCCACATCCTGCACACGTCGCTGTGTTACAGCAAAATCAAAATGAAGAACGGAGTCTTCATGAGTTCAACAGGATTACCCAAACCTTCATCACCTTGGCCGGAAAGTCTGGGCAATCTTGTTGATGTTCAGAGTCGTATCCGAAGAAGAGACCCTCGAAGTATGCGAAGCTGCAACTGAGAGAGGCCTTCCGGGTAACTGGTGAGTAGGATCAGGGTTAGAGTCAGGTGATTGGCATCGCTGGTGGCCGCGAGGGCGCCCCCAGGCACGAGTCTGTGAAGCCCAGGTCGTCACCCATATTGATTGGACACTCCGTCACTGTGCTAGTAGATCTCAAGTGCGATGAGGTGTTGAGCCGCGAACATACGTGGAAGGCGGGTGGCGCCTGGCGGGATCGATGCTGTGACAATTGGCTTGTCAAAGGGAAGGTTTTACGCGCGACTTTGCTTGCGATTTTGTGTGGCGATGTTTCCAAGCATCGATGGGAAGAAACCCGACCCCCGAAGTGCCGATGTTCTCAGTGACGATATCGCACACTGCACCGGCGCGAAGACCAGCTGCGCCGGCGTCGAAAGTCTGTCGGAGATTGAGATGGTCTGTCGAAGAAACAGACCAGCTGAGCTCGGCAGAGGTGAAGACAAGGCTTTCAACGATGAAGCTGAAAGTTGCGATGGAAGCGGTGACGGCGAAAGCGGCCAGCAGGGTTGCGGAGCTGGCGTCCGCTAGCATGCAGTTCAAGGTCCTGCGTCGAGCACCTTCTGTGAGTCATATGAGCCAGAGACAAGATTGCTAAGAGTAGAAGTGAAGCAGCAGTGATGTGCAATGGTCTTCAATACGACAACTGTCAACCGTTCAATACTCCGGCGGCCCAATGTGAGCAAAGAGTGGTGTGAATACCAACGAACGGGTGGCCCCAGATCATCGTCTTGCTCTCGAGGAGGATGACGAGGTGTCGATTGTGCTCCATTCGAGACATCACCAGCAATGATGGCTCCGAAGAATGTACCGACTGAGAGGATAGAGAAGATGAGAGATTGGTAGGAACCGCGCTAGATTCAGTCGTGGCAATTGGACGGCGGGAGGTAATTTGACGATTGCGGTGGTGCGTATGGTCATGTGAGCCGATGAGCTCTTCATCGAAGACTCTGGCCCCATGGATGGCTCGCTAGTGAGAGCTCAGCTTTGGCCTGTACAGATTCCACCTTGATCTCGCTCCTCGCAGCATAATAGCCAGAGACATTGGCACAGCAGGAAGTATGGTCGCAAGGCTGAGACTTAAAGACATCGACGGATTGGTACCATGAATGGAGGAGGAAATGCTGAAGCCGACAGCGACAACGATGACGGCGACGATGAACTGGTAGATCAACATGCCAAGGGCTTCTCAGACGAGCAGTGGAAAATTTCGCCCCTGAACGATCCAGGAGGAGATCGAAGTGGAGCACACGTTGACCAGTGTGAAGACCAGAGACCAAGATAAAGGTTGCTGATGGCGCGGATGGACAACAAGACCGGTTCGGAGTATCAGAAGATGAAGTTGCTACCATTCGACTGTTGCATCATCTGGGGAGTCTTTTCAAGAGCTGCACTGACGAAAGAGGGCGACGACCAAGCTTCAACAGCTCAGAAGGAGACTTGAATCAACCAGCCGCTGACCAGGATGAAGATTAGGGAGATCAAAAAAGTGTTGCTGACGGTGCCGGTAGACTGCAGGGACGGCAGTAAGCGAAAGTGAAGTTGACCTCGGTCCGTTGTTGCATCATCTGGAGAGAGGTCGTGTCATAGCGACGACGACGACAGAGATGCCAACAGCCCAGAAGGAGACCGGCCTCGAGCACCCGTTGACCAGTGTGGATATGAAGGCGATCGAGAAGGTGTTGCTGATGGATACCGCCCAGTTTGGGGTGAAGGGTGAAGCCAGAGGAAACTGTGGTAGAGGTTCCGCATGCTCTTTGCTCATCCGCTAGCCGGGCTCCACAGGCGCAGGCAGGCCTGTCATTTGATTAGCTCGATTTCAAAGAGCATGAGACATAAGGACTGACCCATGCGGTATGGCACCGCCGCCCTTCCCCGTGTCGAAGTCGTACACATGGCCAAGAAGAAGGTATCCCTCGTCCACGAAGTCGGTGCTGACTTCGCCCTCTGCTCCAGTCAGCCGGACTTGCGGGCTGTTGCTGTATTTCATGACCGGGCAGCTTCCTCGGTGGTGAGTGAGATACTGCCTTCAGAATCATTCTCGCTCTTATCGGAGTCCTCGGAGGAGGACATATCGTTGTCGGACGTTTGGTCTCCAGCATCGTTCATGAGAGTCGCTGGCATTGGAATCTGAATGTAGTCTCCGACTGGTGCTCGTCTCTTCGGTGTAGTCGCCGGCAGGAGTCGTACAATTGCCTTTGCGAGCCGGGAAAGGCGCGGCAGTAGTGGAGCAAGGTCGCAAAATGTCAGAGCAAGGAGTGGTAGTCAGAGCTGTCATTCGGCGTTGCTTGATGGCTGTGTGGTGCTCAGAGAATGATGATGCCTTACGGGCGTAATGTCCCGGGCCGGCCGTCACGCGAGGGCAACCAGTGGCAGTTTAATGTCATGCCGAGGACGACTTTTGCTGTCAGTGGCAGCAAAGTGAGGTGTTGGGATGGAATAGACAAGGGAAGGAGAGACAGCAGTGTAAAGATGAAGACATCGTTTCATTCGGCTTGTGATATTCTCTCTCCCCTCAAAAGCAGAGTCCTTCTCTTGCGGATGATATAGATAACTTCCAGTTCCTATGACGAACGACCGTTGAGGAGTTGAAGCACCGGGTCGGGCAGGGCATAGACGCTGCTGATTCGGCCGAGCAACCCTTCCGATGGTGAGAATCGGATTTGGAGGTGATGAGAGGATAGTGTCGTGCTTGCTAATAGCGTAGCGGATCGAGTTGCGGCGGATCGAGTCGCGGTGGTCTGAGTGACGGCGAGCTGGCGAGCTAGATGTGACTTCATGACAGCGGATGGCATCGTGCTTCTCCTGGATTAGTCTCTCAGCATCTCGCAGTGGGAGAATCTCCATCTGGACCGTACTTCAACTTGTGTCCCATCTTGAGCAATTGGTTGGCAAGCCTCCTCAGTCTCCAACTGGACGAAGAGAGAGCCCTCGAATGTAGACGCCCGTGACCACAGGCTCCCTATCGCAGACAATGGGAACATCCAGTGGGCGGACTGGCGGAGATTGGAGAGATGGAGTCGAGCTTCGTCACGCAGACAGAGACAGAAATGCGGTCTAGCCGGCCGCTGCCTAAAAGATGTCCTTGCATCAAGAGACGGAAGTCGCCTGGAAGACGGCTGGAAGCGATGAGGTTGCCCAGAAACCCTGCAGTACTCCCGCGGTTGCTGTTTCTGGAGATCGTGGACAGCATGCAGAGAGCAAGGGTAAATGTCGGAGGGAAACGGCTCCTTGGGTGGAAGAAGCCATAGACGAGGACCAAGTGTCGGTTACGTATGGCTTACCGCATATACTCAGAGCTCCCTCCACCGGATTTCAGACTTTCCGAGTCTCTTCCGTGGTCTTGCCTCTGTTTCAAGGCTCCGACGAAGAACTAGACTATCGTAGACCCAGTTGCGAAGGCAGGAAAGGGCCTTAGAAGGGCTTTATGGCATCGGCGAGCTATCTAGTGGGGACAGAGCTGGTCATTCGGCGTGAAAGAGGTAGGATGAGCGTTGCTGCCTATTCTTAGCATGTGAAAGAGCTCTGTCAACAAAGTGGGTGGGTCAAAACCCACGGCCTCCCCTTGAGTCATCTTTATTTCCCCCAACTTTCTTCCACACAACCACCACAAGCCAACCGTGACAACCACCACCACCATTCCAACCACGACACCACTACGGTTCAACGAGGAGGGTATCCTCTGTACCGTGCTCTGCAGCCACCCGGCTGCAAACCACGCCATGAACAGCAAGCTCACGAAGAAGAGATCGCCCGCGCCGCCTCCTGAAAAAGGGCTTCCACCGCCAGGATCCGGGTCGTACGTCTTCCTCTCCAGCTTCAGATTTGCTCATGTTTTCCACTGACAAGATTCACAGCGAGAGCCCACCATGTCCGGCTCGGAGCCACGGCGGCAGCGGTGTTTCTGCGGGTGTGTACGTCACCCAAATTAGATCTCCAACGCACAATGCTGACATTGTCCACCAGCAGAGCCTTCGTTCCCCGCTTCTTCGCTGCTTTACACCACAGCCGCTACGTTCGACGCGGAGACTTGCTCTGATCGGCGACGGCGGCAATCTGGCGACATCCAACACTCCATCACTCCACTTCGAACGCCTTCCACCCGACAATGGCTAGCGACGATGAGGGAGCCAGGCGCGCGGTTTGCCCACACTCTGCAACTCGCCCTCCCTCTCCAATGACAGCAATATCTACACCGAACCCAAGTCCGCCTCCGCCACTGCAGACAGCATTCAACCGCTGCTGTTCCTACGGCATCAGGATCGGAGGGATCGATGAGCACCGAGGTGCAGCCTCCTGCGTCAATGACACCAAGTAAAGGCGCTGAAGATGGTCTTTGTGAGTCTCATTGACCTTCTTCAACGAACACGGCTGATACTGATTGCTGCAGGAGCTCAAGACGGCACCGCAGCGACGGATTTGGCGATATTCGCACCCGCATCTCCCTTTGATCTCCTCCTTTTTCTCCTCCCCGACTACAATCATAACATCCACTGCAACAGCCACTGTCATGGTGCGTGTGCATAAGATGTACCCACCGGGCTCGCTCCAGTCGGCGCCAACGCAGGCACGCCAGCGGCGACGATGCAGTGACGACGTCCTGGCCAGCTTAACAACCTGCTCGCCGCTCACCGCTCACCAATGCCACGGCAGTGGTGACGTCGACCTCGTTTACACGCACTGAACTCTCGCGCAGTCTCACGGAATGGTGAGGAGCCGCTCAAAATGCTGAGATCGGTCTGCAGCGACACCATCTTGGTAGGTTCTCGCCGAGCAGCCAGCACACGTTCATCGGATCCAGCTGCATCTATTGCAGCACATCTCGCAAGCTTGTCAGCAGCTCTTTGAGGTACACTGCATCATCAGAAGCCTTTGGTAATGATGCTGATCACCATATAGGAGCATGAGCCGTTGGACCACCACAGAGCTTCAGCAGCAGTGGTGCCGCCAGCGAGCTCGAGGACGGCTCATCGATCATGGTGCAGTCCGAAGGCGAAGCCAAAGAGACGACAGCAACAGCAGCGACTCAAGCGACTATCAGAGCTTCAGCATCGAGGGCCTCTGGGAGCTTTGGGCCGGATTTTATCTCACCGAGCAGCTCCGAGATGCGTTCGCTGCCTCAAATTGAATGAACAGTTGTCGGCGAGCGAATTCCATCTTCCCCTTGGATTGACCAATCGCCACGGCTACATCGCGCCCACCGCCACATACGAAGGCTTACAAAAGGCCAAGCTGTTCGAGTACAGGTCAGCTCGCCGCAAGGCATTCGACAAAATGACGGAGCTCTATGAAGCCGGCTACAAGGTCCACATGGATGCCTGGATCGACTTCTCCGATGGCCGCGCACCATATTGTAACACGAAACAGTGGCACAAGGCCCGCTCCGCTACAGTCAGAGATCCTCTCGTTTGAGTGCGCACCGACTCGATGGAGGGCATACGACAAGATTGCACACCACCAAGCAAGGTGCGCATGCAGGCCGAATCACTTCCGAATAAGCCAACACCCTGCCAAATCAAGCGGCATCCTGTCAAACAGCGCTCCAAACACCGACAAACGCATCGCCAGTACTAGTAGCGTGGACTACACGGTCTACCGCCAGTAGCTCAACCGCTGTAGGACAACACCGACTGAGTGGAAGACGGAGCCGCTTGTTACCACACCTTTCCAGGCGAAGAGACGATGTCAGTGGATTGAGGACACCATGCGAACCTTGCCGATGACTCGTGGGCACATCTTGGCGGATTCGGCAGCAACCGATGGAAACAGTTGCAGCAAAGCCTTTCTGACGACTTTCACTTCCTCCAAATGGCTGAATCTGACCAACTTCCAGCCTCGGAAATCGGTGCTTTGCGACGGCAACGCTGGAGACTCCCGATCCATGCTGGGATGAGGGACCGCGAAAAGCCTTTGTCCTTTGACCAAAAGCCCCGCAAGGAAGGCGACAAGGCAGTTGTGCTAATGCTGTTATTGAGGAGATGGGACCCAATGCTGTATGATGTGCCCGCACATCAAACTTCGATGACTATACAATCATGTCTTGGGCAGCGAGTCGTACTGCTCCGAACCAGAAGCCGTCTAATATGCCGGCAAAAAGCTCCTTGATGATGCAGACTTCTGGATCTCCAGATCCATTCGAGGATATCGGAATAGGTCGACGGCGGAGGTTATGCTTGCCTTTTTGACGACGTCGGCGGTGCAGCGTGTGCTCGGCGTCCCAAAACTCCTCGAGAACATCCTCGAACACGTCACGCAAGACGACATCGGCCCACCAGCCTTTCACACTCATTACGGAGAGCCATCCGCGATGGCCAATCGCCGCCTCCACAGGCCAACGATGGCAGGGTGCGCGGCGACTCAGCACTGTGCAGAGCCGTTAGCAACTTTGAATTGAAGACCAGCGCAGGCCTTCCTCCGGAGCAACGGATGGTCACACCTTTGCACTTCCTCTCTGCGCCGGTCGCAGAAAGCCCATTGGCCATGACCCTTATGTCAGTCCTCTTCCTCTCTGCGCCGGCCGCAGAGAGCCCATCGACCGTGACCCTCATGTCAGCCCTCTTCCTCGCCCTCTTCTTCCTGGTCTTCGTCTTCCGCTACCTGCGAACGGTCGTCTCGATCCACTCCTGGAACACCTACAAGCCAAAGCCGATCCCTGAGCCTAACCCTAACCCTAACCCATCGGCCATGACCTCCATGTCAGCCATCTTCCTCGCCCTCGTCGACACGGGCGTCAAAGGCCGGAGAAAAACGGTCACCATCCAGCTGCCAGGGGAAGACGATTACATTCCGATACCCCCAAGCGTGGCATCTTTCGAGGAGGAAGACGATGCTGCTGGAGACGAAACCTCCGACGATTGCGACATGCCCTCTTCTTCCTGGTCTTCGTCTTCCGCTACCTCCGAAGGGTCGTCTCGATCTACTCCTGGAACACGTATAAGCCAAAGTCGATCCTCAAGAGCCCGACCTACACCTCTGCCGACGTCTCCGTCGTCATCCTCGCGCTCTTCTTCCTCGTCTTCATCTTCCGGTACCTGCGAACGGTCGTCTCCATTCACTTATGGACCACCTACAAGCCAAAGCCGATCCCCAAGAACCCGACCTACACCTCCGCCGACGTCTCGGTCATCATCCCCACGGCGTTCAAGCAGCCGGTTGCATGGGTTTTGAAAATGAGACAGTTTGATAGAGGCCACTGGGAGCACTTTGCTCGCAATTTCGCGGTGGGAGCAGCGCGAGCTGGCGAGCTTCTTGAACCGCCGCTAGGGATGAGAAGCAAACACGCAGTGAGCGGAATAGCACTACAATGAAGCGTAAGGGAGAGCTAGCTTGAGCTAGAAACCAGGCCAACAGCGAGCAGCCTGAAAAGGGTGAACACGAGGCTTGAAAAATGCGCTATGCACATGGTACCATCATATCTTTAGGTATCTAACCCTTTCTTCCATATACGCCCAGTCCTTTCCAGTAGAATGAAACAGATGCCGACTCCCTTCTCTCTCGACTGTAGTTTTTCAGGGTTTCAGGCGCTCGGCATTGGCTACGTAGTGCATTCTTCAGCGGGCAAGAGTCTAAAACCTGAGATTTATACTCTAGCAAGTTTAATACTTGTATCTAGCATTAAGCACTGTAGGCCCTTCGTGGGAGGCAACAATGTGACCTTTCGCGGCTGCGCAGGGTCATCTCGGCCCATGCCGAAACAAATAGTTGGAAGTAAGGTACTCTAGACTACAAAGCTTCTTTGCCTTGACAAACGCGGTCCACTGGTGCTCTCACCGACAGACTGCTTTTCACAACCAAGCTCGTATCTGGTCTCCACAACCGGCGAGAAGCCGCGCCACTTTCGCTCTTGTTACCTACAACACGGCACCACCAGAAGCTCGAGAAACACGACAGCGATCGTTGCACGCACAGAAAGTCAACATTGAAGCAATTTCCTCATGTCAACGTCATGAGCAAGATCTCACGCTCCAAACGACCACGAAAAAGACAGCAGCGCCTACAGCTCCAATCCAAACGAGAAAAGCAAGCTACAAACGACTAGATGAGCTTCAGCAGCATGGTCTCTACAAGAGATGAGATTTCGCTCCTTGAGCATCCTTCTGCATCCACGATCATGTCCATCATATCACCGACAAGAAACGTGCAACGGCAGGATACTGACAAACGAACCTCATCCGCCAGCTCTCGAGAGCAATCGCCCTCCATCCTTCAACCGCAGCAGATCTCAATCGTGCCGTGGTACCGCGTGGCGCTCCTTCCATACCTTACGCCGGCTGCCCTCGTCTTCACTCTCTCCTGAGTCCTGATCGATCACTCGCACCGACGACAACCACATCCCCTTCACCACGAATCCCCTCGACACGTCGCCACGATGATGAAGACTACCCCTGTCCGCCAACTCTGTAGAGCATCTGCCACCGCCGTCCGTCCTCTCGACGTAGCTGTCATCACCCGCACCGCGCAGCGCACCTTTCGCACTTCCGTTCAGCTTCACGAGGACAACAAGCATTGTGTAATAAATATAGCGGAAAAGCCTGGTGCCTTCGAGCACGAGGATACACCCCCTCGTACGGACAACCAGATCAAGATTATGCACCCAGAGGAGGAGGAGTACCCGATCTCCCGCGCTATGCAGGGCCACGCAAATCCATCATATCGAGCGCGCACTGTTCTCGCACGAATCACACAGTGGTATCTGGGTCGGAGAAGAGGGACAAGGGAGCCTCCATGGATTGAGTTGGGACTTGACCTGCAAAGAGAGCTCTGGAATGCGATATATTCCTTTGGACGCCGCCATGCATGATACAGCTTGATCTGTATTGACCTATCCACTGTCTAAATCTGACAAGCGCTGGCTGGGTTCTGTTAAGAGCACCGGAAACAAGGGAGGCGACCTAGAGCAGTCAGCTAGGAGAGGAGTCTTCTGTGATTGACATTGGACAAAGGAACACGTCAAACGCAGAAAACACCCAGCAGCTATCTGGAGGTATTATGTGGAATAGATCTGGAGCAAAACAGGAGGGAAATACAGAAGACCTAGAGAAAGTAGCAAGAGAGCGACCGTGGATAGCGGGCATGGAGAGAAAATCGGAGACAGAAGAGCCGGAGCAGTTAGCGAGAGAGATGGTTCCTGACGCGCAAGTCCATCGAGCAAAGGGAAAGGCAGAAAGGGAAAATTCAGAGCGCTCCGATCAGGGAGGCCGCGAACAAAGTGGGTTAATACCTCTCTCTACCCTTCAAAGCAGGTCAACGGTCCGACACAGAGATCGCATGCGCCGTCAGCTAGACGAGAGAACAATATTCTGCCTCCGACAGCTCTCAAATCGCACAGTACAGTTGAGCTTATCCTCCGCTACCAGCCTACAATTGCACTCCCAGAATCTGCCTTTGGTCATGCGGGGGTCAATGCGATTATGGCGAGGAAGATGAGGCCAGTGAACTACAGTCTACACGGAGAGCAGTCACAGGCGATGGAGAGCTTCTGCACCTGCTAATACTAGGCATAAGCCGGTCCGTCCATGAGAATAGGCACTCGTCACCACCGGCGACAACAGGTGATGAGCAACGAAATTAAGCAGCTCAGTGCCTCAGTACCTCCCGTGGAAGTGGGAAACCATCAGAGATAATGGTATGACTGGAGCTTGCCTGCCTGAGTCGCCCAACTTGACAATGCTGACGAAACAATTTGTCTGACCGTGAAAGCCTACCAGCCGCTGCTGCCCTTCACGAACATCGGGAGTGCTCTGTGCAGCAGTAAGTGAACGAGACATCACATTTCGCTCATGAAGAGTCTTCAAGACGCTCTGGAGGAAAGACCAACGGGTCTATTTCGCGGAAAAAAGGGCGCTCACAGCCAGTGGAACACCCACACCGTTCCAAGGATACTAGGTACGAGTCATCATAAAGCGATTGAAGATTTACCATGATCTACATGTCTCGCACTATGTCGAGCTCTTGAGCTTGCTAATTCCGCAGATAAACTTGCTCTATGTCACAGGAAGACCACACAGACAGAAGCAGTGTCAGGCAGTCACCTGTGACCTGGGTCGTTGGCCCAAGCTCAGTCTGTCTATTTCTTCCTTTTCCTCTTCCACCTCTTTCTCCTCCTCAAGCACCCGCTCTGAGTAGGTACAATCACAATCTCACCGCCTCTTTTCATCATAACTGATCATTTCCCAGCTTCCACGTTAGACACACGTCAAGCTGACTCCAGCCGCGCCAGCATCTGCACAGGCTCGCAGCAGCTCGAGCCTCCACCATTATCGCAAGGTCGTAGGTGCTGGCCGCGGCTGTCCTGCTTCGATCGTACATTTAAAACTACAGCACCTTCTTGTCCTCCATCATCACGTGCTGACAGCTCTGCAGAAAACGGTCGGCCTGGGTGAGCCCAAGACCAATTCACCCGCGCCGGCACCTCCACGCCGCCGGAGACACACGCCGAGTTGAACGCCATCTCTGGCAACTGGAGTCCTTCTGCGGCAGCATGAATGACTTCGACCTGTCCGTTGCAGTGAGAATCATCGCTCCCATCTCTTCCCTACTGACTTCTTCACAGGCCGCTCTGGCAGACATATGCCAAATCAAGGCGATTTTGGCGCTCAACATGCCATCCCGCCTCACCCCATCCGGCTCAGTGAGGATGCCTAAATCAAAACTCACGACTATCCCATAGCCTTCACATCTGCCGACTCATTCGGTACTCCGATCGTCATTCTCCAATACCTCCTCATCATCCTGGCCGCTGACACACGCCAACTTAACGCCATCTTTGGCTGCATCTTCCTTGACTGTAACCTCACCGACGACCTCTCACCGTCGATGCGGCTGGCTGCTCTTTCGACTATTGTCGACGAGGAAGCCCTTTACTATTCTTTGGCGTCGGCGATGCCATCACACAGGAAACATTACGGCCTTGTTGTCGGAAACATTCAGGTATGTCCTCAAAATCCATACCCACACAAAACAATCTCATAACAATGCTGCAGGCATCATGGCTACATGACCAAGATAGGCGCCTGACCGGCCAAACGATACATTGCTCGCATTAGGTACTGGCCTGGTGGCAGAATCATACATGGGCGGAGAGGAGTGCCACTGTATTTCATTTTGATGTATGGCAATGCGAATTTCCTAGCAGCTCATTGTCGTATCATTGACCTCCCTCTTGTCCATTTCGATGATCTCCCTTGCCCTCTTCCAGCCTTTCTCCAGTCTCGCTGCCACCTCGCGCAACGTCCAGGCCGTCAACAATCACCACTTCTCCGCTCATTGATGACTCGCGGTGACGTTGCAGTCGCAACTGCCGAGAGCAGTCTATGAGTACGTGCCTTAAATGGGCCATGCCTCATGTCACAAGATTCGCCGCAATTTCATGTTGCCGTAGACGCTTCACCGCCTAGCGAGGGGGTTGCTGCTTGATTAACAATCAAGTTGTCTCCTGATGGGTAAAGCTCGATCACGATGGCGAAGGTGTGGTGGAGTTCGTTTTGACATATGTGACGTTCGGGTTTGTCTGGCGAAAGGGGCCACAGTGATTACCGATCAATTCCTCGTTACTACCTTAGGCCGTCACAAGAGCAGCGTGGGAAGGCATCGGCCTATATCTGTGTTGATTACTTCATGCCCTCTGCCACTCTCCTTCCCGCGTGCACGTAGGAAATGTATCAAGCACAATAGAGCTAGCCCAATGGATGAGGTCTGATTATCGCCGTTGCAAACGCTGAGCGCTCTCCAGGCCAAAGATCAGCGACATGCAGTAAACGAGCATATCATACAACCTGAGAGCGCAGTCTCACTTCACCGCAGAGTAAGACGAACGAGCTCTATGCCTGAGGCCAATAAAGGGGACTGAAGACAGCAGGCACAGTTGACCCCTGCAGTGCGGTGCGTTACGTAAAAGTCTAAATCGACGCGTCGGAGCAAACGCTGCAGCTTCTTTTAGCTTCTGACTCTTTCCTTTCTTCCTTTTCTTGAGACACACCGCCGTCGAAGTTGGATCCCGCTGCCACCCTGACGCGAGTGGACGGCAACGGCGGCGGCGACCATACTGCTCGTCTTTGGTCAAGCACGCCGACGACGGTTTCAGTGAAGACCAGTTCTTCATGATCGCTGCGGCTCTGGTCATCGAGGCCGGTCGGTACGCACTGCAAAGACATCAGCATCCGCATTCCGCGCATGAGACACGATTGCTAACACTCTTGAAAGGCATGACCGCCGCCGTTGAAGAAGTCGCCGTCAGCCGGGTGTGTGTCGCTCTGACACCACATCTCGCTGGTCTCGCTGCGTCGTCGACACCTACAGCACGGATGGT